CGGCTGATTGCCCGTCGGCGGGGCACCGACCTCGATGATATGCAACTTTCCGCCGCTGGCGGTGCGCACGGCGAAGCAGAACAGCGTAGTTGGCTCCTTGTTGGCGTCGATCTTGAAGGTGGCAAAGCTGGCCGCATGGCCCTCGATGGCCTGCGAGACCTTGCGCTCCACCGAATACAGCTGCATGGCTCCGGCGACGCGAGTCGGCAGGGCAGAGATGCCCACCAGGAGCAACCACTGCTGGGAGGCATTGCAGCGGTAGTTGATGATCTGACAACCGTTCAGCGAGGAGTGACGATCGAACATCTTCTGCGGCATCGAGTCGCCCTCCATGGACCAGTGGTACACACTCGTTTCCGTGACGAGAGCCAGCGTGTTCAGGGATATCCACTTCCAGAACACCACATCCTCGGTCATCGTGTGCGCCTTCATCTTCGATTTCATCTCAATGTTGAAGATCTGCAACGTCTTTTGCGCTGAAAGAGAGGTTCAGTTTATAGGTAACGTGTTCGAGATCTATAAGCCAGCCGATCAAGAATCTATCTTGATTTTCTACTAGAATTTCTTATCCTATAGTTTAACATACAATAGAATAACAATACTCTGTAAACCGTAAACTTTGTAAGGATAATATTGTATTATTTAGAATTCACTATTCCTGAATTATATACCATTATAACCTTGGTATTCTACTAGAACGTTTTATCCTACAGTTTAACATTTCTGGAAACAACTTTTTTTCAAAATACTTTTTAAAGATATTTGGAATGCACTATCCCTGAATTACTTAATGGTATTATCTTGGAATTTTATTAGAACGTTTTATCCTACAGTCTAACATTTCTGGAAACAACTTTTTTTTTTAAATACTTTTCAAAGATAATATCGTAATATTTGGAATGTACTATATCTGAATTACTTAATGGTATTATCTTGGTATTCTACTAGAACGTTTTATCCTACAGTTCAACATTTGTGGAAACAACTTTTTTTTCCAAACATTTTATAAGACCGTATTTATCTTGGTATTCTACAACAACTCTTTCTGGCAACAACTCTTTCTTAAAACATTCTGTAATACTCTATTTAAATTGTTATTATACTAAAACCTATTATCCTAAAGTCTAACTTTTTTTCATAGATTAGCTTTTCCTAAACTTTTTAAGGATAATTTAGAAATATTTAAAAAACACTTTCCTAGGCTGTCGATCGGCTGGACCATCGCTTTGAGTTACCTTTGAGCGCAATGACCTTGCTAGCTGGATTCATGATGGCCGAGTCCGCTGAGATGGGACGCCGGGTGGGATTGGTGGCGTCGTTCATGTCGATGATGACCACCTGGGCGGTATCGTTGACCTTCTCCCGCACGCAGATAAACTTATCCGATTCCATCGTGAGCGTGCTGAATGAAAATGAACTGGCGTTGATCCCGACATTTGTGAGCTGTACGAAAAAGAGGAGGAAAAGGTGTAGTTTTAGTTAAGGGATCTATATCATGTACTAAAAAAAGGTGTTCTTTTAGTTTAGGGAACTAGAACGTGTACTAAAAATGTGTAATTTTCGTTTAAGGAACTAGAACATGTACTAAAAATGTGTAATTCTAGCTTAAGAAACTAGAACGTGTACTAAAAAGGTGTAATTTTAGTTTAAGGAACTAAAACATGTACTATAAATTGTATAATTCTAGTTTAAGGAACTAAAACATGTACTAAAAATTTGTAATTTTATTTCAAGGAACTAGAAAGTGTACTAAAAAACAAGTATCTGTACATTGTACATTCTTTAATAGAGGGTTTAGAGATTCAGTGGTAGAAAACCGTGGAAAGACAAGAAAATGTCGGGAAACTTATTGAACCGTGGTAAAGTGAAATCGGTACACTTGTTCCGACCAGATTAACACAGCATATTGGAGGGTCGTAGCTCCCAGATGGGAGATGATTAGACCCAAATACCAGATATAACTAGGTTACTCACCTGTAAATGCTCCTGAAAGCGGATGGGCAGTGGTTGCGTCATCTTGACTACAGTGAAGTCTAGTTATTGACAGACTATTACAACGTAAATGGATCTCTGATTCAATTGCACGCTCCTTCAACAGTTTTTGATTCGTTTCGGGTTTTAGTTTAGTTTTCAGTTTCGATTTTAGTCGTTTTCCGTGTTCAAGATGGGGTTTCCATTGGAACTCTTTAGCTGCGGGACCAAAAACAAGTATTAGTAGCGCCGATGCAGCAAGAATGAGGAAAAATCCAATTGTGGGCGTTATTTTATTGTTGATAGAAAGTGACAGCGTCACCGGATGAAAAAATGAAAGATAAAAACTCGTATGTACATACATAAGTCTTGGTGTAAACGCCCTCAAAAAAAAACAAAAAAATACAGCCTATGCAAGTATGTGGGTGGCGTTGTTGTTGCCCTGCAACAAAATATAAAAACAAATTAATTTTCGCCCGAATAATCCTTTGTATCGGTATTTTTGCGACGGGAAAATTACCAGCACTTTATTTTATTTGAGGTGAGAGCGAGAGGGAGCGCTAGGGAGAGGAGAGCGGTGAGCAGCGAAGAGAGCGAGAGAGTTGGAAAAGAAAAGAGGCAGCATTATCATCAAAAATCGCTGCTCACCACAGAAAAGTCAGCCATGTTGAGTTGCGCTTTGAACAATTAGTCACTGACTAATACATGTACACGACCTGCTCTCGTTTCTAGTATATGTGCTATGTGCACGAAAATCGAAAATCGAATTTAAATGTCACTTTCTTTGCCTGATAACAATGGGACAATGCCAGGAAATGGCCAAGAATCGGTGTACATACATCGAATTAACTAGCGGTACTTTCCAATCTGTGGGAGTACACACACACACACACACATACACCACACTACACAGGCAGTGCCGCAATATGCCACATAAACAAGAACATAATTAGATAAACGGTAAACTAGTCGGGCACTTTTACATCAAATAAACAAGATGTGTATGTACTCGGTGCACTAGCGCAATAGCAGCACCCACACACACTTTCTGTCGATTTTCTGGGTTTTTTCAAGCCCGCAAGCCCGTATGTTTACTGCAATTTACTGCAATAGGGATTTGTGTGCCTACTCGAGAAAATACGTCGATTTGTTGCTTGATGACGGGCACACACACAGAAGACACAAAGAATTTAATCAAGCTCTAAGTTTATTTTGTTTGACTGAGAGACGAGACGGTAGAGGTGTGAAAAAGTTATACAATTGTGCCGATATGTCGAGGAATCTGCCGAGTGCAGTGAAAAAACATCGATAGGCCGGCGGTGGCTGCAGTCGATGTTGTTATCGGACGCAACATCCGGTTTTTGCGTTTTAAGCCGGTGTTTTAAAATTAAAATAAAATAAAATACTTGCCTTATTATATTTATTTTTTATCCGGGATTGGGGATGGGCCAATTTAAAACCAATATTTTTTAATTCAGCAATATAACTTCAAACCTTGCGTTCGATAGGTCAAGATACGTGGGTAACAGGTGTTAGCAGGTGGAAAACCATTTGGGAAAACCACCAGCTAAGGAACAGGTCTTTTGAAGAAATTATAAAATTGCACTCCAAAATTTGGGTAAAATTAATAAAAAAACAAATCATTTTTCAGTTCAGTTAGCCAATTGGAATAAATTAACAGTACCGATTTTTTCCTTGTTGTTTAAAGACAATTTAATTTAATATAAAATGCTGTAAATTACTTTTTTCCACTTTCCAAAAAATAAATTTTTCGAAAAGAGATGAGTATTTTTAGTTTAGGTTGCTCAAAACAGTAGGTATTTAAATTGTCGGGCTTGATTTTCATATCAACGAATGTCAGTTGCAAAATTAGATATATTTACGTCATCGATAATAAAAATTTAAAAAGATTTTCTCGGTGGGTGCTTATAATTCCCAACTAGTTCTAGGCTAAAAATATACGACTAGGTGCTATGTTCGCCGATAAATCAGTCGACCGGAAGTCGGTGTGGGTGTTGGTGGTTGTGAAGTGACTTTGGGAGATCCATATATTGGGATGTCATCTGGCTAGAACTCTGTCCAAGATGCAGTGCATCGAGATCCTCTCCAGAAATGGGCCTTAATTAGGTTATTTATTAAATTAAATTAAATATAAATATTAGTAAAAACCATTATTTCCATTGTTGTAGCCAAAATACTGTTATTTTGTGGGGCGGAAGATCAGGTTCTTGATATTTGGTTAAAATTTGATTTTTTTAATTGGATTTTTTGCTGTAACTCGGGCAAAAATGGTCCCAAATCAAAAAGGCGCACCGTTTTGAGCAGCTAACAACCTAATTATTAATATCAGTGCACTTTCCGGCTGATTTGAAAAAAATTAATTTTCCACCCAATTTTTGCATTTTTGATAAGGGGTAACATCATGATTTTTTGTGAAAAATGGCAAAAATAAAAAATTTCCAGGTTGAAACGCCAATCGATTGGGAATTTAACTACGAGTTCAACGAGGTATGACATTCCATATTTGGACCATTATTTCCATTGTTACGGCCGAAAAAGTGATATTTTTTGGGGCGGAAAATCTAAATCTTGATTTTTGGTAAAAATTCGATTTTTTTATATTGGATTTTTTGCTGTAACTTTGTCAAAAATTGTCCCAAATCAAAAAGGCGCACTGTTTTGAGCAGCTTACGAGTTTATAATTAATATCAGTGCACTTTCCGACTGACCTGGGAAAATTGATTTTTGACCAAATTTTCGCAATTTTGATAAGGGGTACTATCATAATTTTTTGCAAAAAATGGCAAAAATTAAAAATTTCCAGGTTGAAACGCCAATCGATTGGGAATTTAATAACGGGTTCAACGAGGTATGACATTCCATATTTGGACCATTATTTCCATTGTTGTGGCCAAAAAACTCATATTTAGGGTCAAAATATGGATACGAATTTTAGACAAAAAAGCTTGTCTAGGACTTTTCGTTTGCCTTACAACTACTGGATAGACTTAAACAAACATTAAACATTCTGTATCAAAATTTTCAACTTTTATTCGCGTACATTTAATGTAAGACGTCGAATTTTTACATTTTCGAAACTGGTTTCAGGCCGAGTATATAGAAGCATTGGCGCAGCACAGCTGCAGTTGCCTCGCACAGGAGAATTCGGCTGTGGTTGACTTCGATAATTTCGCCAAGTTTGTTCTTCTCAATACAATAACAAGAGTCGTAGAATTCGGTGAAAACTGTGCACACCTCGTAGCAGAATTCACACAAGAAATGCAGGAAGAGTTCCTTCGAGCACTTGATCAGAATGTCGTGCAGTTTCAGCAGGGTTTTGGCCAGCTTCCACTCCTTTTCGTGGGCCAACTCGATCTTGACCTTCTTCAGTATTTCGGGCAGATTAGAGAAGTCCTCGCCGGAGTTCCGGGCAATTGAGCAAATGCGAGTATATGTGTAGAGTAGGTAAACGGCAGTATTGCCGCGGTCCTCGAGCATCTTGTCAAAGGAGAATATATAGTCGCTGATGCGGTTATGACACAGATCGGAATACTTTATGCAGCCGTAGGCCAGCGACTCCTGGGCGTCCTTCAGCTCCTGCGGAGTGAGGTCCTGATCGCGGCCGCGACTCTGCAGCTGCTGCAGCGAACGCTTCATTCCCTCGTCCAGCAAATCGGCCAGCTTAACCGTATCACCCGATCGAGTCTTGAATTTCTTTCCATCCTCGCCCAGCACAACGCCGAACTGAACATGGTCCACGCGATGGCTGCTCGGCTTCAGTATCTCACTGCGTTCGGCAGCCCTGAAGATGGTGTTGAAGTGCGTGCTTTGTCCCGAGTCAACCACATAGATCATCCAGTCGCACAGCTCCTCCTGCACGCGGTGGCGTATCGCCGCCATGTCGGAGGTGTCGTAGGTGAAGCCTCCATCGGATTTTACGATCGTTAAGGGAATGCCGGTCTTCGTATCATCCGGCCACATGATCTCGCGGCCCTCGTCCTGCTCCAGCAGGCCCTTGCCACGCAGAAACTCCACCACGGACAGCATTCGCGATTGGTAGAAGGATTCACCGCGCTCCTTGATGCTAATATCCAGTCGTTCGTAGATCGTTTGGAACTCCTTGCGCGACACATTGCAAATGAGTTCCCATGCCTTTATGGAGTTCGGCACACCCTTCTGCAGCGAAACCACTCGGCTGTAGGCGCGCTTCTTGAACTCCTCGTCCTCATCGAAGCTGGGGAGATTATAATATGATCAAGGGTTCATTAAGAGTGGTGTTATCTAACTTACCGCTTCTTGGACTCCTTGTAGAACTGCTGCAGATCGCTGATGGGTGGACTTTCGTTGAGGTAATTGGGGAAACGGTCCTCCAGGTGGGCAATCAGCATGCCGAACTGCGTGCCCCAGTCGCCCAGATGGTTGATGCGCAGCACATCGTGCTGCAGGAACTCCAGCAGGCGGCACACCGATTCGCCAATGATCGTGGATCGCAGGTGACCCACATGCATCTGCTTGGCAATGTTGGGCGATGAGAAGTCGACCAGGACGCGCTTCTTGGGCACTTCTGGCGGCTGAACGCCGTTGCGGAGTAGATTGCTCAAAGCGGAGGCGGCAAAGTCCCTGAAAAGATCAAGGTTTAATTGAGATTGGACCTTAGGGAACCCCTTTTTGCCACCCACTTGCTGAGGAAGACGTTCACGAAACCCGCGCCGGCGATCTCGAGCTTCTCGATGAGCGGCGACGGTGGGCAGTGGCCTTTCAGCTCGGCCGCAATATCACGTGGCGCCTTGCTGACGCCCCTTTCCTTCAGCTTCTTGGACAGACCCATGGCATTGTTGCACTGGTAGTCGCCGAATTTCGCCGAGGAGCTATTAACGGGCGCTATTATGACAGGCGTGTCGCTGAATTCCGGGAAGGCTGATGCAATCGCCTGGCCAAAGAGACTCTCCAGCTGCTCGGTGATCGAGGAGGAGTCTTTCGGCTTCATGCCGCCGGCACTGGATTCCTCAGCAATGGACTGTGGGATATAGTTGGATATTATAAACCCTATATCTTATATGGTGAGCTATTCACCTTCTTCAGGATAAACAGGCGGTTCTTCAGCTTCTTGTTCTCAATCTGCAGCTGAACCAGATCAACGTCCAGTTGCTCCCCATTTTTGGCAGTTTGTATTCTGGCGGCAAGACCTTTCGTCTTGGATTCCTGGAAGGATAGCACATATGTCGCAATAGGGAAGCGGATTTGGCGGCTGCTCCTACTTACCAGTTCCCTGAGTTTCTTAAGCTCCAAATTTAGCTCGGGCATTTCGAGTTTTTGGTTTTCGATCGCTTTCGGCGAGACAACGGGGCAACGATGCCACATGGATGGCGGTTATCGGTTATCGAGAATCGGTAGTGAGTCTGCGTCCAGTCTATAATGCAGTATTCCCACTATTACATTTTGTGCATTTTTGCAACATGTGAAGTCACCAATTTGAAATAGAAATAAGTAACTAAAGGGGATTAAAGGTAGAGAAACCAGTAGAAGAAATCCAGAATCTCGCTGTTACTCGTTCGTTTCCTTGTTCGCAACAGCAAATGTGCCTCGTGGGAACAGTGTGTAACCTTCACCTGCGTCCGCCTAGTTCTATCGATCCATCGATTTTTCGCCCATCTCTAATGTGATTAATTGTGATTTTGTTCGCTAAAAAGGTGCCCCAAAACTTTTTATGTGTATGTGTGATTAATTAATTTATAGATTTTGTCACCTTGTGCCCAAGTACCTGAGGCGGAGTGTTGGGAACAACTTGAAGTGCTTCCGAGAGGCACATTGCCGCCCAGAGATACACATGCATAAATTAGGGGAACCAGATGTGTGTAACGCCGCTCCCATTAAAATTACAAATTTTACAAATATAAATAGTGGCTAAAAAGCGTACTTTCCGGGGAATGGACACTGTTGAGCAGCAACTGCCTATTTATAAACGGGAGATAAACTAGTTTTCAAGTCCCTGTGCCAAGTGTCGACGAGGAATTTGTTAAAGTTAACAAAAAAAAGTCATTATGCAGAGCAATGCAAAAAAAAAGTTTACTTTATTTTCATTCACCGATACGCACATCGTTTGAATGTATGTAGGCTTCGGCACCAATAACCAGAATATATACACCGATTTTTATATAAGGCTCTACCCGATAACAAGTTGTGTTCCGATGATAAGGTATCCATATCATATCATTCGCGTAGGATCATCAATAACATTCCGAAACGTTTACTAATGCGAAATTTCTTGGAGTTTTGCAACTAAATTCGAGTTTTTATATTATCTCATAAGTTAATATTTAAAATCCTATGATTTAACTGAAAAAGATCTTCTATTTTACCAGCGTGCGACCGCATACGCTAATTATAAAACGTAAAGTTAAAATTGAGCTCAGATTCAATGGAAAGTATCAGCACCACAGGTCGGCGACGGAACAACATGCGAATCAATGCCGAGGATAATGCCCTGGATCAAATTACAAAAGAGGTAAGTGTCGGTGGGATTATAGAGTTGGAAATCCTGTAACTAAGATTGATTGATTGAAGTATCAAGATCCCGGAAATTTATAACTATTTTAAATATATCTTACAGATCTTCAGTGATAGATATTTTAAACATTTTCTATTTTTAAAGGTAGTTCCTGTAACTAAGATTCGTTCTTTCAAGACCCCAAAAACTATTACTATTATAAATATATCTTACAGATCATTTGTGATAGATATTTTAGATAGATATTTAATATTTTTAAAGGTATTTCTAGATAGAAGATTATAAAGCTGGAAATCCTGTAACTAAAATGCATTATTTCAATACTCTGAAAATTGTAATTATTGTATCTTACAGTTAGTGATAGATAGTGTAACTAAGATTTGTTCTTTCAAGACCCCGAAAATTATTACTATTATAAATATATTTTACAAATCATTAGTGATAGATATTTTCTATTTTTAAAGGTAGTTCTAGCTAGAAGACTATAAATTTGGAAATCCTGTTACTAAGATTCGTTCTTTCAAGACCCCGAAAATTATAGCTATTATAAATATATCTTACAGATCATGAGTGATACATATTTGAGATAGACACTTACAATTTTTAAGGCAGTAATAACTAGGAAAATAATCAATTTGTTAATTTAGTATCGAAATTTTCCCTATTTTTTAACAGAGTATCTCTATCTTTTTATCCAGGCGGAAGCGCGACTGGCCGCGCGTCGACAGGCGCGTGCCGAGGCCCGGGAGATCCGCATGAAGGAGCTGGAGCGGCAGCAGAAGGAGCAGGAGATAACCGCCGACCGGGTGTTCGACATGCAGAACTCCACTGCAGTGGGCCCAGAGCCCCTCTCCGTGCATCCCGTGCGCCTCGTCTACGGCGGCCTGCTAAACGTAACCCGTGCCTCAGCCTCCCGCCGCAGCAGCGAGGACTCCGTGGAGGAGGAGGGCCGAAGTTTTCGCGACTTCAAGCACGAGCTTAAGGTAAGACTAAATTGCCTGATAATTCCCCTTATAATAAACATGTTATATATATTCCAGGATGTCGAAGAACGGTTTCGGAAGGCCATGATAACAAACGCCCAACTGGACAACGATCGCGCCTCGCAGGCCTACGAGGTTAAGCTGCTTAAAGACAAGTGCGAGATCATGGAGGAGTCATTCGCACAGCTGCAGCGCGAGTTCAAGGAGAAGATGCGCGACTGCAATGCCCTCAAGCGGAACCTGGACCGCGCCAATCTGGAGCTTAAACTAGTACAAGGACAGCTGAACGAGCGCGACTCGTTGATAGCCGAGCAGGGCCTGCTGATTGTGGCGGTGGAGAATGCCGATGGCAGCGATGCCAAGCGGGCTCTAGTGAGTGTGGAGAATGCCAAGGTTCTGGCCTCCGTTCAGGGTTCTCTAGGTGAATTGTGGCTTTACCTCCGAGCCTAAATCATTTCTCAACCTGTAGTTTCCTGTCCCTTTTTTCAGACGTAAGACTTAAGAAGTTCAGTGACGAGAAACAGCGACTGCTGTCCGAGGTGCAAAAGCTGCACGAGCAGCTGGATGAGTATAAGAGCGATGGGATGACTGGACGTCGCAGTCTTTCGCAAGGTTCCTTTGGTGATGAGAATGACTACGAGGCCCAACGTACGTTAACCATAATTACATAATGACAACTATTCCTTTTGTAGCGTTTCCCCACTGTATTTATCCTTGATTTTATTTAACCTCTGGCACTGCGTAACTTAACAAGTTCTTTCTCAGAATTAACTGATTTTCAGAAGGATATTCTTATATATTTTTTATAACTATCATTTTTCCGATTGCACCGATCGGCCGCATTTTTTTCGCCTTTTTGTATATCCCCATAACTTGCGTTTTAACACAATAAATTGTATATACTTGTCGCAGTTTGGTCGAACATACAGCTGCGAAATATTTGTATTATATTATGAGTCTTATTTCTTGTACTATCCGACAGGGGAATCAAACAAAATCATTTCAGACCATAAATATAAGCTGCAGAAGGCGGAGCAGGAGATCGCCAACCTGCAGTCGAGCTTAGCCCGTTCAGAGACTCAGGTGATTCGGTACAAGAGCACTGCGGAAGCCGCCGAAAAGGCGGAGGCAGAGCTGAAGGTCGAGCGCCGCAAGCTTCAGCGCGAGGTGAGTTCAAAAATGATCTATTTTAAGTAGTAACTAACTTAAAACTTGATCTTACAGCATCGGGAAATTTTGGAAAAACTGGAAGAGGCCGAAACGTCAAACAACCACTTGCTGAAGCGGCTCGACAAGCTTAAAAACGCTAAGAGTGCCATTCTAAAGGACTTATGATCGAAGATGGGAGGAGCTGCAATCTCGCCAACCATTGAAAGGTCGCATCCGATGACATAGAAGACAGAAAACAGTACGACATCATCAACATACAAATGCTGCAATTAAAATAGCACTTCGGTAGCAACTTAATCGGTCTTAGTGGTAGCAAAACGATCATTTTTGAAGGATAATCCAAAATACTCTACCTTAAAAACATATATTTAAATTAAAATATAAACTAACAGGATAATAATTAACATAAATAATGTCTATATGTATATGTAAAGCGCAAAATATAAGTAACAATTCAATTGGTTCGGCAGTGTGTGTGTGTGAAATCATTTTTTTTACAAAAACGCGTAGAAAATCCCATTATTGATCGAATTATTTGTATTCTATTGCTAGAAATCCGTTTCATCGGCCGCGATCTCCCAACGGAACGCCCAATAAATGCCATTTTTAAGAAAAGTTAAGACCGCTTGTTTGAATAATTCAAATTTATTTAAATTATTTTCATCTTCGATGATTCTACAGATGTTATTTGTTGCAAATCATTCTAAGGGGCCACTGCGAAGCGTCTAGGATTCCGATTGGGTGGTTTGGCGCTCTGTGGATAAGAAGAACCCAGAAAAATCAGCAATCGGCAATAGGATATAGTTTAAATATTTAAAAAGAGTTAATAGTTGTAAACTTTGGGCCAGGAATGTTGGGAGTTGACATGTCTTATTCACATGCAGTTTTGAATTCGAGAACGTGGTTAGACACTTTTTGAAAAAACAACAAAGTTAGGCACTTAAACTTTCGAGTTTAAGGCAAACACTGGGAGAAATCGGGTTCAGCCTTGCAGTGGCAGGCACTTACGACAGTTTTTAACTTATTTAATTGTCGACAGAACACTTAGGCCCTTTCATCTGAAAAATACGTACAAATATGGCAATATGTAAGATATAAATCCAACTGGAATGTCCACTGTGAGTTCAAAAAAAGGTATTCAGCGTTTCTTTCGGAAGCAGGTTTAAAAACAAAGGTGTTTTTTTTAGAATTTTGGGGAGAAACCTTTTGCATCTGAGATGATAAGTTATGATGATAATTATTATAATTATGATGATAGTTATAGAGTTTAAATTTGGAGTTATTTTCGGGTTTGAAATCCAAATAAAGAAAATAACCACCAAAAAGGTTTTCAGTTTTTTGCTATTATTAAACATTTTACCATATTAAACTTTAAAAACTTAAAATGTTATAATGGTATCTCTCTTTTTAAACCAGTTTCCATTAAAATTCTTATGAGTTTCTGGTTGGAACTTAATTGGAAGATATTCCTGGAACACCTGTATTCTTTATAACGAGTTTATCCTGGTTTCCTAGATAACTTTATATAATGTCTGCAGTGCGGCTAAAAGTTCGTGAAAAGCGGCAGGAAGTGGGAGACTTACGTGCTGGCTTGCCATTTGCCCAGGGAGTGAATTTCACATGACTCGCGTCGCGCTTGGCGGCATCGGTACGCAGAGGCGCCTTCAAGGACTCGCGCAAAATGCGAGCGGCGATGTTGGAATATTGGATGTAGCTGCAATCGAGAATATTTGTATTAACTATGCTATGTGTTATGTAATCCGGCACTGAGTGTGTGTTTTCGGGTTGATTCGAAAGCAACCACCGCTTTTCGTGACAGTCCAGACACTTGGATAATGCTTACGTAATTCCGGCAGCTCTCCAGGCAGTCATTGTGATCGGATTATTCGAAATATATTCACGCTACGCAAAAATTAAGAATTCTTAATTTCGGATTCCGGACAAGTGTGACCGCAGGTTGGTGGACCAAAAATACCAGAAATGACTGGGCCGCAACAGCGGAATGGTGGAAATTGAAACATGTGCGCTGTTGCAATGTTCTCACTATTAAAAGCGGTTATTAGCGTTTCGCAACAGCGGGTTTTTCTTTTGTATTTGGAAATACAAATAAACTAAACAAAATTTGAGAATTATATAAAAAGTATTAACTATGAGTAGGATTTAAAAATCGTGTTACTCAAAGCGTAAACGTTTTCAGATGACTCCCCATCTCACCACTAAATCTTCCACTTTATTCATCCCCAAATGCCCAATATAAAATGAACTTAAGGATATATTAGATTATTTATTTATCATTGACTTTAAGTTAGACTTTACAGATAATATTTTAAAACTTAACAGAAGAAAACACTTAACTCTAATTAAATACGTATATATACAGAACAAAAAGTTTCAATATTCTTCATCGCGTTAAAGAATCGATCTGACAAATTGCTGGTTTTATGTTTCGTAGACGCACACTTAAAAGCAGAACGCAAAGGGAAGTTACTTATCTTTCACATAATTAGAGTTCTCAATATTCTTGACATATTTGAAATAAGTGTAATTACTCTTTTTCTAATTAGGTTAACAAGTCCGATTTCTAAAAGCCATTAGCACTGTATCCGTATTTTACATGTTATAAATATGCAGTCTAGCAACTTTAATACAGAGTATACGCATTTGCAGATGCTCGTGAATTCCTGTGTGGTATATATATAAAATATATATTGTATGTACATTAATATTTTAAACAAAGCGCCTTGCTCATCCAGACATACATTTTTATAGTTTAATAAATATACTTTTGACTGCACAAAAATGTAATTTATACATATATTTTTTTATTTGTTTTTTTTTTTTTTTTTTTATGCAAATTAATTTAAATATTACACTATTATATAATAATTTAGTTACAAAATAGAGCAATTTGTTGAACAGCAGCGTCCAGAACCGCCTTTACTATTTTGTCTTTGATCTATAAGTGAAATGAAAAGTTAAATTAGAAACGAATTCAAGCCGAAACCAAAGTGGGTTTTTTTTTGTAATTAAGAAATCTTGTATTTTTAAGGCATACCTTGCGAATTGGGCTCTGGCAAATTATCACGTGGCACTAAATGCATAACAGTCGTTTTGCCTAATGGAAGTCCCAGTGCTCCTAAGGTTACATTGCAATGGAGAAAACGACCTTGATAAATCAAGCGCAAGATTTCAGCTTTCGATACAGTTTCGTGAGTCCAATCTGGGAAATATGATTGGGGAAATTGTAATAATATAAAAATATATATATTTTAGAATAATATGCAATTGAAAAATGAAAATCTTACTTTCTACTCTATGTTATAACACTAAATTTACTCACCTTCTGGCCAATTATCAAATACTGTTTGTGCAATATCACCTGCGGAATCTGAGGGGCTAAAAATAAATTCTTTTGTTTTACCACTAACAAGAATGAGGCGTAGGTTAATCTGGAAATGGAAGAGATTTCATTAGGGTTTCGATGATATAACTAAAATTTATAAAAAAAAAAACTCAATAGGTCTTTGTAATATCGGACTTAAATAATATTGATTTTTATAAATGTATTCCTAGTCAGACTCACTTTATCAGATGGTATTGTTCGATGCATTTTCTGTGTGGCCAGCGGAGTGATGTTGGCCTTGACATTGGTGCAACAATGGGTGGTGACCTCGGAGGGGCTGAGGATTCCGGATCCAGGGCCATCGGCGGCCAGCGGGGACGAGGGCTCCGAGGAGGAGGTCATCGTTGGCGAGAAGTTGGCCAGCAGCTGATGATGGTGATGGGGATGGTTGGCCTTTCCCTGGTATCGCAGGGACGGGGGCTTCTGGACCAGAGCGTACGACTGTCGCTGGTGATGCACGGCTGCTATGGTGTCGGTGCAGTAGGAGAACGAGGAGAAGGGCAAATTATTCCCACTACCGCTTGAAATCTTCTCCTTCTCGGTGACTAATGGCGATGTCGCGGACCTTATCGCACCGAAGGAACCGGAACCGGAGCTGGATGCACTCGAGGACAGCGAGTACGAGCGCTTCGAATTCAAGGATTTTCGCTTCTGATTTTGATTTTGATTTTGACTTTGGCCAGTTACAATTGCAATAGTCGCTGTTGTTGTTGTTGTGGTTGCTGCTGTAGTGTTGCTCTCCCTCTCCCTCTCCAGTTGCTTTTGTTGCTGTTGTGTGGGCTTTTCAATCGAAGATGTTACCGACATGGCGAGAGGGTGGTGTTTTTTTTTTCGTACTCAGTGTCTTACTGATTTACCAACTGCCCAGCAGTGGGCAACTTTTCGGGTTGACTGTAATCATCGATTGCAATTGCAAGTGCCATTTTGCTTGGCTCAGATTTGATGTAACTTTCGATTATTACAGTGCTGCATAATCTGCAGAATTTAATTGGATTGCGTTCAATGGGTGGTTTTTCCAATGTTTTCCCCGTTTTCCTTATATACCTGCGCACTGGTATATATGTACATATGTAGATATGCCCCTTAGTCTCCAGACACTGAAATAGAGTAGAGCAGTGTGTATAGATTATGAGGCGAATATGTTACATCGAGCACTGCCCCCCCATTCGCACTCTTAAGCTGCTCAAACATTTCTTATTTCTTAATTATATATTAATGTCTTTGTACGTATATGCGCATATCGCATATGTATGTATGTGGTGGTGGTATACTTTCGCGTTTAATTTTCCCCCTTGCGTTCAACTTTATACCTCGATGGACGTTTCAATCTGCAGGTAGCGGGCGTTTCACCAACGATTCACTGGCGCTTCACTGGGTTTTTTAACATTTATCTTGGCCCGAACGACACTAATTTTTAATTTTCCTAAAGCGAACGATTGGTAAATACTTATACACTCACTTATACATACTCATCACTTTTTCTTCCGATATCCGATAATTTGTACAGATAGTTTCACTATCGGGAAACTATCGCATCGCAAAAGCTACCCGATTGTCCACCACTAATTTTGGGAAGAATTCAAAAGTTTTGGGCTATTTTAATTAGTTAATTAATAAATAAGATAAGTAATATATCTGAAGTAAAATTTTTGTGAGAAAAACGAGGTAGAAAAGCAGATGCAATCTCATTTTTCGCTGCAGCGTAGTTGCAGTCTTGTTGTCTCTTTCTAGCACTTTTATTTCTTACCGAGAACAAGTTGGCAGCGCGGAAACCCCCTTTGTGTGAACAGGCTATAAAATAATGACGTCCGACAAGCCGCACATTTTAATTATTGAACCCTTTTACGGGGGCAGCCACAAACAGCTGATTGACACCCTGATCGAGGGGCTCCAATCCCCACCGAACTACGAGATCTTCAGCCTTCCCGCCAAGAAATGGCATTGGAGAGCGCGCACATCGGCCCTGCATTTCGCCCAGCTGATCCCCCTCGATCACGAGTACCGGGTGCTCTTCGCCAGCTCCGTTCTCAGCCTGGCCGAACTGATTGGCCTGCGTCCGGATCTCGCCAAGTGCCGGAAGATCGTGTACTTTCACGAGAACCAGCTGGTCTATCCGGTGCGCGAGGTGAAGCAGCGCGACTGTCAGTACGGCTACAATGAGATCCTCACCTGGTAAGTCCCTCAATTACTGGGTGTTCTCTATAGAGTCTATAGATTTTATTTATTTATTTATATAAAGCTAACTTATAGTATAAAACTATAAGCTAACTGAGAATTTAACAGCACCAGCAACTACACAGAAAAAAAAATGGTAATGGTCAATTTGATATTTTTTGAAGATCAAGTTATTAATATCATTTTGATATGAATAAATATTATTTGCTTAAAAAATACTAAATTAGGTATTTTTTATGATATGATAAAATATCATGTTGACATGTTTGAATCTTAATTGATATGAAATAAGGTAGAAATAATCCTATTTCATATCTGTTTTTTTTCTGTGTAAGGCTTTTGGCTCGACAGTATATAGACTATAGATATTTCCACCTTTTTTAGCCTAGCCGCCGACATTGTGCTCTTCAACTCGCAGTTCAACTGCACATCATTTCTGGACAATGTGCAGCCCTTCCTGAAAATCCAGCCAGACTTTAGGATAAAAGGGATTCGGGAGAAAATTGAGAAGAAATGCCAGGTGCTGTACTTTCCCGTTCGGTTTCAGCGATTTCCTAGCAGGAGTGCCCATCTGGAGGATCGTGAGTGCCTGCATCTCATTTGGCCACATCGCTGGGAGCACGACAAGAATCCCAAGCTATTGGCCGAGGCGCTTTGCGAGCTTCAGGCGCGCCAAGTGGACTTCAAGGTGACCATTTGCGGCGAGAGCTACGAGGAGATTCCAGAGCCCTTCGCCGATATCCAGGATAAACTGGGAGATAAGCTGCTGCACTTTGGCCACCTGGAACGGGAGGATTATGTAAAGACCCTGCTCTCCGGCGACATTGTAATCTCAACCGCTGACCACGAATTCTTTGGAGTGGCCATGCTGGAGGCCACTTACTGCGGCTGCTATCCCCTGGTGCCCAATAAACTGGTTTACCCGGAGATCTATCCCAAGGACAACCTGTACAACACCTCCAGCGCCCTGATCAAAAAGCTCTACAACTTCTGTAGAAACCCAAAAGTCTTTCGCAAGCACCGCGATCAATTCTTTGAAACCTTCCATTTCGATCGCTTTGCGGCGCAGGAACTTCTTCCAAAATATCTAGACTTATTCAAGGTTTCACTTTAAGCATATTTATTTATTAAATATACGAAAAAAATGGGTTACAATAATGCCACAAAGTGTAGTACTTTAAATCTTTAAATCGTATGTATTTTGAAATGCGTTGCTCATCGAAACGAAAATGTTGTAAAAACTGTATGTGCAAATTGAGGGAGCGATCGATATATATCTACATAATTATATAAAAATGATACTTGTATAAATGTTTTTAATACCTCTTAAAAGCAACGTAGAAATTTAAAGTGAGCCAAAGCGCTCGAATGAGTTGACCAAGCACTTTTGCTTCTCGAAGTTGAGGGAGCGCGGTATGCAGGATAGGTTCTTGAGGCACGCGTACGCCTGCTCCTCCATGAATATTTGATCTTTGGTCCTGCCGCAGGCCACTCGTGCCCATTTGGGATCGATGACATGGTCGTAGGACGACAGCACGCCGCGGTACTTGAAGCCCTTGCGGTTGTGGAATGGTCGATTCTCCTTCCTGCCCTCGTCGAACGGCAGGTCCTGTTCGCTGCAGAGCGTGTCCTTCATAATGTTGCCGGGCGACGTGAGGAACTTGCTCGGCGTCTCCGTCTCAAAAGGTTGCATCTTCTTGGCGCTGGCCCCGTTCGATGGGTGATTGGAGCTCCAGGTGGAGAGCAGTGACTTCCTGGCACGTTTCAAATGCGGCGACTGGGTGCCAAACGAAGTGTTCTCCGTCATCTTGGACTGGTTTCCGTTCAGCGAACTGCTGAGATGCTCTTCGTGGATGATCTCAGCCAGATCCTCGGCCAAACTGGAGGGGCTGGAGGGCTCGTAGCGGCGACCATCCCGCTTCTTGCCAATGGCAGCGAGTGCCTTCTTGAAGGGCGTCGGCGTTCGCGGTCCCAGTTGACCTGGAAATGATAGTTTTGTGAGAAAATCCCATGAGAAAGGCAAATACTGTGTTTATACGATGCCGAATTCACGCAATCATTTCACGATTTCAGCCGATTCGTGCCTAAAATCGCTGAGAATGAATAAAAGCATGAATTCTCGGCTGTCGTATAAACAGGGGCTATTTCTATATCGCGCTTTCAAAAAATCGTCCCCTTTATAGGCTATTTCCCTACTCAGCGGTATTAAAAATTGTAAATGATCACCTATTTTTACCGGTCCGGCATCCCTATCAGTTAAGAGTGAATAAAATCATGAATTCTCGGCTGTCGTATAAACAGATGTTATTTTTATTTCGCGCTTTCGAGAAATCGTGATTCTCATCGTATAAACATAGTATATGATTTCAGCCTAAAAGCTTGATTTGGTGATAAGCAGATTGACATTGCCAGATCGCTAGAAACTTAAGTCCCCTTATAGGCTATTTCTCTACTCAGCGTTATTAAAAATTAGAAATGATCTCTTATTTTACCGGTCCGGCATCCCTATCAGTTAAGAAAGAACAAAATCATGAATTATCGGCTTTCGTATAAACAGAAATCGTGATTGCCATCGTATAAACATAGTATTTTACTTATAATATACTCACTCTTGTGCGGTGTTTCAATGGACGACGTCTCCATCTCCTTCTTGATCTCCATGCCCACGCGATTGTAGACCTTGGTCACCGGCGTGCTGGCCCGCAGGTTCATGTCCTCGAAGGTGGTCAAACACGGCGACTTGAGGAAGTGGCTGGGCGAGAAGGGCAGCGACTTGATGGGCGTAATTACCGGCGATGACTTGGCGGCAACGGCGGAAGCTGCCTCTTCCTGGCCGAACGATGGAGTGGCTTCGGGAATGTTGCTGTTGCTCTGGTTCTTTCGCGGCCGCTTCAATATGTTCGGCGTTTGGCGCGGCAGTTGCATCTTCAGTGCACCGAGGTACTGATCGGCTCCCGAAAGTTCCTGCGGCTCCGTGAGCTCCGGCTTGGCTTGGCTAACCTCGGTGCTATCCGACTTGGGAGCTGTCTTGGCAGCCTCTGCCGTTTCCGCCGTCTTTTGCGGCTGCCCCTTGCTAATCCCGCCCGACTTGATCAGCGTTATGAGATGGGTGCGCGAAGTCTTCAGATCGCTGCCCGATGCATTCACCGACCTGCGTTCGGCATCGTACTTGCGTCGCATCGTCGAGTTCCAGTGGTTCTTGATCGCATTGTCCGTGCGCCCGGGCAGCAGCTTGGCTATCTTGGCCCACTGGTTGCCCAGCTCGATGTGCGCCTGGTAGATGATCTTGTCCTCCTCCTCGGTCCACGCCGACTTCTTGATATTCGGATTGAGATGATTGTGCCAGCGTTCGCGGCACTGCTTTCCGATCCGTCCGTTCAGGTAGCGCGCAATGAGGGTCCACTTCTTCGGACCGAAGCTGCGCACCAGGTCAATGACCTTGTCGTCCTCGTCCCGCGTCCACGGACCCTTGATGAGCTCCGGATTGAGGACCTTGGCCCAACGCTGCTGCACCTGCTGCTCCATGCGATCCTTGAAGTGCGGCCCGATGATCTCCCAGTTCTCGCCGTGCTTCTCCACCAGCGTCTTGAGCAGCACGTCCTCGGATTTGGACCAGCGCTTGCCGAATCCATAGTTCGGATGCACTGCACCGATGGTGGTGGTGGTGCTGGTGCTGGAGCTGCTGTTACTGTTGCTGTTGCTATTGCTCTTGTTCTGGGTCTTCAGCTTGGTGTCCTGCAGCACCATGGAGACCTCCAGGGGATAGCCCGAGTCCGCATTGCTGTTCGGGGTGACCAGGGGCGAGGACTCCTCGTTTTCCGAGTACTCGGACTCCTCCGACTCCGAGTTTCCGTCGTAGAGCATCAGCTCCTCGCCGTTCTCGCTGCTGGCCATCTTATTTGGTACTATATAGTATGGTATAGTATAGTATATGGTATATTTACCAACTATATAGTATAGTATGGTATGGTATATACGGTATATAGTATATTTACCAACTGTATAGTGTAGTATTTTATAGTATATACAGTATATAGTATATTTACTAACTATAGAGTATAGTATTTTATAGTATATACAGTATATAGTATATTTACTAACTATAGTATAGTATAGTATAGTATTGTGTAGTATATAGTATTCCTTATAGTTCCTTACGGGTTAACTCCGTTTTATACTATATACATATACTTTATAGTATAGTATTGTATAGTATATGGTATTCTTTATAGTTCCTTACTGGTTAACTCCGTTTTATACTATATACATATACTATATAGTATAGTATTGTATAGTATATAGTATTCCTTACGGGTTAACTCCTTTTTCGGGGCGCACAGAAGTGATAGATCTCCGGATGCGACTTCTCCGCCCGCTGGAAGTAGTGAACGTCGCGCCTGCAGTACAAACACTTGTACGGATGTTCGCCAAAATCGCAATTACTCCGATCGCCGTGCCCGAAAACGTAGTGAGCGCAAATGTCGCTGAAGGAGAAGCTCTTGAATTGCTGGCGGCACGTCAAACATTGGACCAGTTCACCCTGATGACGGTGATCGCTGCGCAGTATTGGGTGCGTCGCATCATTCTCGGTGCGATCGAAATCGTATGGCACACTAGGATTCGGATTCGAAATTCCAGAATTCGAACTCGAATTCGCACTGGGAGTCTTGATTACTTCTACGTTACAGTTATTTGCGGGTCTGTCCATGGACATGCTAGGCCGTCCGAAATGTTCACATTTCACGAAATCGTACACCTATGCCCAAACATTGTGAATCTCCATTCCATAAATAGCGATAGTGGGATATATAAGTCTCCAAACTCTCTTGCCCATGCACAAATGTATCTTAAAGTCACGCTGCCCTCATTTCAAACACCAACTGCTACTCTATATATGCGCACTTTTGCGATCCAACGAATTATTCACGTTTTACACTGGAATTTGACGGCGTCGTATCGTTTATTATTTTAAAATGTAGATTTAGTAGGACCGTCCCACGAACATCGGCGTTGCCCCAGCAATCCGTTCGAGAAAAATCCTGGCCCGTTTCCACTAGCGCAGAGCGCGCTTTTGCGTTCGATAACAGTCGATGGTTTCGATATTTGGCGTTCCCTTTCGCGGAAGCGTTCGTTTTTTTTGTTTAAAAATTATAATTTTATAAAAAATAGATTTTACGTTTAATTTTAACATTACATTTATTTTTACAATTTTTCAAATTTCAAACTCCTATTTTACAAACCAAATAACAATTAAGGGCCCAATTTTAAATCTCCTATGTTCAACACTTGTCGTACATTAATATTAATACGCGAATCGTCAATATAATTCGAAAAAGGTTCCCAAAAACTGGCATCCCCTACATTTTGAAACAAACCCATATCCACAAGATGGGTGTCATGATCAGCATCATCGGCATCTTCATTTGTCAGCGGAGAATTCCCAGGTCTCCGGGTCTTCATAATTCGGGGAACTGCGTGATAGCATAACCGTGACTCTCCGGACATTATCATAACGTCCCCACACTGAAGGTAGACTGCGGTTGGTTTTTCCTCCAAAGTCCTTCCACCGATCAGAAAAATTGCGGTCTGACCAAAGCTGCAAGATATTAAGATGTTATTTTGTGTAAAAGAAACTCAGTTTGTTAAATTACCTAAACGAGAATAGCGGGGCCGTTTGATTGGGCTCAGAGTGATCCGTGTGGCCCGACAAAGTACTGCCCACTGGATAGTAGTTCACGATAGCGGCTTCCGGCTTAAAGTCACAGTAGCCCAAGGTGGACGCGAACAACCGGCACAGACTGCCCAAGTCCTCTGGAAACTGTGACTGCATCCGCTCCTCGTAGTGCTTCGTGTCCCAGTTGTGGTGATATCCGAATGTCGTCCAGCGCATCGCTGATTTCATTCGCTGGAATTCCGCCCTGTCGCGGCACAGACTAAGCTGTTTCCACCAGTCCGATCTGACTGAATCATCGAAGAGTCTTTCATTTAAATTAACGATGTTCGGGGTCCGCGGATAGTCGCGTAGACATCGCGCAATCCAGTAGCGCCGACCGCGCTCAGTAAAGGGGTTCCGGATAATGATAATGCCGGGATGATGAGTAAGTGCGTAGGATCGCCAATCACTGGGTGACTTAACGCCGGGCATGGTCTGAATAACTCTTCCATCGCTGATATCCAACCGTTGAACGATCTGCGGGATGGAGAGATACCACTATTATAAATCGCATCTGCAAGTTACTAACTTACCTACATTATCGTTTCGCAGATCGTGATCATCCACATTGATCACGCCCGTTAGATCGGGACTGCCACTTTTCGCCTTGTACTGCTTAAAAGCTAACTTAAACATATTTCATAAATAATATATACAATTTAAACAATAAATTTAACAAACTACAGGTAGTGTGACTGCGTTAGGGGAGATCTGAAATGCTATTCAACACGTTAAATTCATGGGGGTGGAACCAATCGATGTTCAGACCACCGGCTTTTTTCATGCTGAAAATTGAAAATCCAAATAGTAGATAATTAAAACAACTAAACTTGAATAGTTGACTCTTTTGTTTTCTTCAGTGATTTATTTATAAAATATTTTCGATATTCATCGACGATATGTGGGGGTGCCAGTGGAAACAGGACAACATTGTTTTCCCTCGATGGGATCAGAAAACACATTCGCGACAAAAATGAGTTAAACAAAGATACTTGTTTAAAAAAAAAAGAAACACTTGCCCAAAAAACCCCCTTTTTACGTTAAAATTAAGGAAAAATAAGACCGTATTTCAGCGTCCAACGACAAAAGTGCGAACAGGCTGGATATCCCCGCTATCGGTTGCACGCGATACATCGAAACTGCTTCCGTGCACCCGTAATTTGTTTCTAGGTGTTGGCTGCCAATTGTAGAGTGCAAATGAAAAGTTACAGATTGGTCGTTAACAAAATTTTCAGTTATTTGTGTAGTTGAAGACGGGAATTTGTTTTGCGCATAAAGAGTTAACACTGCGTGTAAGTAGCGTTTTGTCGTCAGCAACAGACTGTCCGGTGAATGAAAATTGAAGGAAAAATTACTGATCTATGGTAATGTGTGTGTATGTGCTAAATGAAAAAAATTTTCATACTCTCTGACGAGTAGGGAAAAAGGCAGTCGGCAGTCTCGAGTATTTTGCGCTACATATCCGATTATCAGGGCGGCAGTCGAGCCGATTTCGACCTGTATCCGACTGTTTTTTTCGGCTTAAAAAAAGATGAGAGATATATTCTGTGTTCCTGCCCAGCGAAAAATGTTCAACGTTTAAAATTGATTATTTTTTTTTTTTTTATATCTATTTCCTTCCCACTCTTTGTCATGTGTGCGCTTACGCGGTCGGCATGGGTGCGACTGCGACAACCAATCTCCGCGACTGTTTTTGTCTCACCGCCCGCTCTCGGGGACTTCTGACCTGCTTTTGCTGCCGCGCTTTCAATTGCGCACGGCTCGCATCCACTGGTCGTGCTCCTTGCTCCCATCGGCTGCCCACTTTGCGTCGCGGTGGTGGTGCAAAAATTGCAATTTTGGTGTACAAAAAAAGCAAAAGGAATATATCCCGTATCCCACATCTAACGTCCAGCAGAGGCGAGTCGGAATCGGAATCGAAATCGCGAACGAAAACGGAAAACGGAAACCGGGGCCAGCGAATAAGGCGTTAAAATTCGTATTTCCATCTTGTCCAGCGCCCGAGATCATTTTTTTTTATAGTATTATAGTATCCCCAAAAGACTTTTGACATCCCAGTGTCCCAGTTGAAAATCAGACAAACGACAGCGAAAAAACCCCTCGCGAAATACTCCTCCCCCCACTGAACACTGAACATATAGTATATTTAACAAAGCAAACTTTCTACAGGGATCTGAAATACACCAACTGCACATTCAAACCGACTACCAACAAAAGAAAAACCGAATAATTCAATTGGCAGAGCAAAAGGACGACGACTGAAACGTCAGAAACAAATGCACACCGCGAATATAAACTATATAAATACATAAATATAATGCGTGAATAGTAGTATTCCAAAACTAAACCGAAAAAAAACCGAAACTCTTGCAGAACACAAAGTTCATGATTAATCCATACTAGAGACAGTGCACAAAATAATCGCCGCATGCTAGCGTGATCATCCCCAGCTTTTTGTCCGACTAAGCTACTGGCCAGCTTAAAAAAAGTAAGCGTAAGTAGACCAACAAATCATTATGCACCCGACCAGCGAAGAAAGCATTTGTTTACCTTCCCTTCTCTTCCGGGTGTATATACACCCAATATAGCACATCTATCGAGCGCATCTATCGGAAGGAGCCGATAACAGAGAACCGATAACCGAGCGCACACAGAGGATCCAGAGAAAGCCGGCTATCGAATTCAAATCCGAATCGGAGTCCCAGCATCCGATATCCGAATCCTCAACCAAATCATCCCATAAGGACTCAACGCAGCACACAGCAGGATGAACGAACTGGACAGCCTGAGGCAGGAGGCCGAATCCCTAAAGAACGCCATCCGGGATGCCCGGAAGGCGGCCTGCGACACATCCCTGTTGCAAGCGGCCGCCTCGCTGGAACCCATTGGTCGCATACAGATGCGCACCCGGCGCACATTACGCGGCCATCTGGCGAAAATCTACGCCATGCACTGGGGCAACGATTCCAGGAATCTCGTATCAGCCTCACAGGACGGCAAGCTGATCGTGTGGGACTCGCATACCACGAACAAAGTCCACGCCATTCCACTGCGATCCTCGTGGGTGATGACCTGCGCGTACGCCCCATCCGGCAGCTATGTGGCCTGCGGCGGCCTCGACAACATGTGTTCAATTTACAACCTAAAGACGCGCGAGGGCAACGTCCGGGTCTCCCGTGAGCTGCCCGGCCACGGTGGCTATCTATCGTGCTGCCGCTTCCTGGACGACAATCAGATCGTGACCAGTTCGGGCGACATGTCGTGCGGACTGTGGGACATTGAGACGGGCCTGCAGGTCACCTCGTTCCTCGGCCACACCGGCGACGTGATGGCCCTCTCGCTGGCGCCCCAATGCAAAACGTTCGTCTCCGGCGCCTGCGATGCCTCCGCCAAGCTCTGGGACATCCGGGAGGGCGTCTGTAAACAGACCTTCCCCGGCCACGAATCGGACATCAATGCGGTCACATTTTTCCCCAATGGCCAGGCATTCGCCACCGGGTCGGACGACGCAACCTGTCGACTGTTCGACATCCGGGCCGATCAGGAGCTGGCCATGTACTCGCACGACAACATCATTTGCGGCATCACCTCGGTGGCGTTCTCGAAGAGCGGACGTCTGTTACTGGCGGGCTACGACGACTTCAACTGCAACGTGTGGGACACGATGAAGGCAGAAAGGTCTGGCATTCTGGCCGGGCACGATAACCGTGTCTCCTGTTTGGGCGTCACCGAGAACGGAATGGCGGTGGCAACAGGATCGTGGGACTCCTTCTTGCGCGTATGGAACTAAGAACAGAAACGGAAACAGCAACAGAAACGGAAACGGAAACGGAGACACAGAAACAGAAACGGAAACGGAAACAGAGGAGGAGAAAAACCAAAACCAAAAACAAAACAAAACAAAACAGAAAACAAAACAAAAACTAAAAAAGAACTTCAAAATGCATTAAAGGGTGGGGTGGGGTGTCAGGTCAACGGTTGCGCAGTCTGCGGATAGTGTTTCACCATCTACCATCGTCTACATTGTGATCTATAATGTATATGATGATGCGGTATTCGGTGTTACCTCTGTGGTTAATATTAAATGAGTGCCGGACGTTTTGAATATGTGGGCGCAGCTAGTTGACTAGAACGTAGACCACAACAACAAAGAACTTTATATACAACATTATTTATATTGCTATATACTTATTAACTAAAATTATACAAAAAAAAAACAAAAACAAAAACAAAATAAAAAAAAACCAAACAAAAAAACCGCAGACATACGCAGCAACATACAAATAGACATACACACGCATACAAGAATATTATTAGTGTAAATGGAAAATTGAACAAACAAAAAAAAAAAAGAAGAAATGAAACGAAACGAAACAAGAAGTAAAAAGGAAAACCAAATGAAAATGAAAACGATGGGCCCGCTGATAGTCAGTTGTTTAGTCAGAATTCCGGTTACAGCTACAGTTTAAAACGTACGTAAATTAAACTTAGTTCAAATCGTATTTCAGTGGTGAGTGCAACTGAAAGCAGAGCAAGAAAAGCTGAAAACTGAAAGCTGAAATCTCTGGAAAACCCAGGAGTTTGCCAACACCGTCAGTCAGTCAGTTAGTCAGTCGTTTGCACTTTGTAAAAGAAAAAGAAAAAGTAAAAGTAAAAGTAAATGAAAATGAAAAAGAAGGTATCATTGTAATCATGTATGTCAACAAGTAAATACATATTCTTTTGCGTATAATACATAAACTTCAGAATGTGGATCCTGATCCTGAGGAAGGGGAGGAAGTCAAATAAAGTTAAAGCATTTAAAAATAAAAAATCACGGCAAACCTAAAAGTAAAAGAAAAACAAAACGAAAAACAGAAAACAAAAAATTGCGTAATAAACTTTATAAATCAAGTAATGAAAAAAAAGTAAACAAAACACTATAACAAATTTTTGTCTTATTATGTTTAAGTCCCTAATTTATATACAAACAAAAATAAGAATGATTTAAATAACATATATGTAAACTATGCATTAGTGAAAAAGTGGAAAACTATTTATATATAATATGATGGCCATATAAGCTATAACAATAAATTGAAAAACACCTTTAAATCTTATAATACATTTATAAATGTTTAACAAAATCTTAACAAATACATTCATAGAATTGCGGCAGTAAGGGCATTAGAGCATCATGGAAATAATTTGAGCATTCATCCCTCACCACAATCGATTCAGACTACAGTTGAATTTTGTTCATTTTATTCTCCTAAATTCTTATGAGGTTTTACATATATGGCTTATATGAGGTTTGAGAATGCAAAAACGATTCTAGAATGCGAATGCAAGAATGCGAATGCAAATGCAACAAAAACTAAAGCTTATATTGTGAAAATACTGATATTGTCTTGCTGTCTTACGAATATACTGAATCATCAAGTTCTTATCTATTTTTTTTTGTTTTTTTAATTAATTTTAAGAGGTATTAATTAGGAAGTTCGCGGATATCCCGAAATCCTGAATTCCTAGCCATACCGTATTTCGTATTTCATTGAAAATTGTAATAAACTTAGCTAGTTTATTGACCTTCTTGAAGTATTTTTTAACGATAATATCTTGGTCCGATAGGTAAATTGTGATTTAAAGTGAATAGTTTTTCAAGCAACGAGAACGAGTAATCCTAAATCCTAAACAGTACCAGTACCAGTACCAGTACCAGTCCCCAATCCAAAATCCAAAAACCAATCAAAAATCTTAATCAACATTTAAAATGGATAAAATTGTGTATTTTTACCAACTTTTGATGCTTGATAATATTGAACCGAAAACCGAATATTCCTATGTATATGTGTAACTATTGGTAAGCTTACAACAGCTGCAGTTATTTGAGCTCTGCTTTTTCACCATAGATGGACTTACTTATTTTTAGTACATTCTGGACATTCTGGACGGCCATTTCAAAACTAATGCTGTTTCAAAACTATGAATAAATTATGAAAAGAAAACTTTGTAACATTTAAATAATAAAATATAATAAAAATAAAAATACGATACGATCTTATTGTTTAACTTAAACAAGGAGCAATTCGAGTCGATCCTTACTTATTTTTGCAAAAATTAAAAATGCGTCAAAGTAAGTCCATCTAGGGTTAATAGTAATTACATACGCACTTTACGAATTGTCAGGAATTTTTTACTCCAGCAGTAAGTTTAATTAAAATATTTTTCTATCACAGCCTACAAGGAACAAAGTAACGTGTTATTTCTTTTTTAATATTTTTTTTAAGAGTACTTTGTTATTAGAACGCGCATCCCTCAAGTATGTTAATATCAGAACCCTTCTCTATGTATGTGTGTTTCCGTGTAAATTTAATTATGTATACGTTATGCGTTATGTTTATATATATATGCCACACGATCATATATATGCGCATATATGTATTGTAATTTAATTACTGTTTTATTTGTCTACCTAAAGCGACAAATTAAATAAAATGGTTTATTTGTAATTAGTTATTAACAATAATTAAAAAGCTGTCAACAAAACAAATTGAAATTTAAATAAAACATGGTCATGTAATAAACATACATACAAACATACATATTTAAAAGAAAACTGAAGATTACTAACATTAATTTATAATTTGTGTCATAGCCGTCAACTCAGCGTTATATCTAGAATAAATAATAAAGAAAATTGTGTTAAGCAAATGCTGCATACATATATCATTTAATGTACGTGTGCACAAATGTACATTGTACATGCCGAAAACCGAAAACCTTAATTAAGAGTTTGGTCTGTCAGGATTAACGGGTTAATAAAACTGGCATGCTAATAGTCATACATATTTATATGCAATCAAATTCAATTTTTTTTCAATCGAGCACTTGGAAATTTCATATCAACTTTGACATGCCATGTTTTAGTCATGCAAAATTGTTTATTTTGGGAGAATTTTTAGGACTACAGTACGAATGTATCATGTTTTTACGTAATGTGGTTTTTTTTTTTTCTATTTTTCCTATTACATTAAAATTTAATATCTTTCTAATTTTCTAATTGTACAACAGTTCCTATTCAACATATTTCTTATGCCGTATTTTAACTTATTTTGATCAATCAATTGTGTGTTACATATGTATACACAAAATGAATTTGAAAAAATAATTTATTAATATAATAGTCTAAAATATTAGTATCACTAAGGACGACAGTGGGATTCGGTAGAAAGGTTGCCATTTGTAGCCAAGTTTCTAGGTTTATAAGCTGGAATGTTGGCGTGAGGTCCAATAGCCCTCCATTATTAGTTTCATTACAATTTGACCGTGGCTTCTTTTTTCAAATCTGAAAAGGAATGTTCCCCATATCATCGGCTTGTTCTGGTAAGATGGTAAGATATATACATTAGCAATTTTTTAGCAAAAAATAACAGTATTTTGGCCACAACAATGGAAATAATGGTCCAAATATGGAATGTCATACCTCGTTGAACCCGCTATTAAATTCCCAATCGATTGGCGTTTCAACCTGGAATTTTTTTATTTTTGAAATTTTTCGCAAAAAATCATGATGGTACCCCTTACAAAAAAAACGAAAATTGGGTCAAAAATTAATTTTCTCAAATCAGTCGGAAAGTGCACTGATATTATTTATAAGGTTGTAAGCTGCACAAAACAGTGCGCCTTTTTGATTTGGGACCATTTTTGACAAAGTTACAGCAAAAAATCCATTTAAAAAAATCAAATTTTTACCAAAATTCAAGATCCTGATTTTCTATCCCAAAAAAAAAGTATTTTTAAAATTTATTACATTATGGTTTCTATAATTTTTTGCTAAATAATTTTCGGTGAGCGGTAAAAATATCGCAATTATATATTTACTATCGATAGCCAAGCTCAACAGCTGTGTAAAGACCATGCGCGGATCCACGGGGGGATATGGGGAATAAATCCCCCTCCCACTTGGATATTCAAAAAGTATGCAACAAAAATTTTGCTTTGAAATCACCCCCTCATCCAATTCATGGATGCACCACTGGTATTAGTATAGGCAATAACAAACTAAATTTAAAAAAGCTTTAGTTAATTATAATTTTTACTTCCTGGGTTGGGAACAATATTTACTACAAGTATATGACTTTCAGGTTTTTAAAAATGTATTGGAACTTTTCAAATGAATGTATCAAACAAGATTACATCAAATAGAATTGATTAAAACAATTTAAATATCGAATTATCTCTTAATATTTTCGTGATTATAATTTATTTTAGAATGGCCAGCAAAAATGAATTTCAAGAAATTCATGAAGCTTACATTTTTATTAAGATTTCATCACAAAGTAATATAATTTCATTTTATGGAGGCTTATGGAATTTTTGTGACTAATACAATGCATTGCGGTGTGAATTCAAAATTCATGAAATTAAAAAGCTTTTTTATTTATTGAATTTGACAAAGTTAAAAGGGAAATTAAGTAAGCACTAATGTATAATTAAATTTGTCATAATGAAGTGCAATTAGTTTTTCTTATTATCGCTTCAGATAAGAGCATGACCTTCAAATTATTAGTCCGACAATCATATGTACAAACTAAAAAATTATTCAATTAAGTAAATTCACTTTTATGTACATACATATGTATGTAAAAATAAATGTTAAAATTCATGAAGACATGTAGATATATTTATGTACATATGTTCCGGTGTACATAAATACCGGCAACCAAACTTGGAGCGGATGAATTTTCATACGAATGTATGTATGTATGTGCAAAATCTAAATTCGCATGCTCTCTCAAAAAGCTCAAGTTCCAGCAACAAAATTGAGCAGGTGAAGTGAAATGGACAAAAATAACGTAACCCAACAAACATTCTGGTGAGTAGCCCAATAAAAAAGTCCCCCAGTTATTAAATAATAAAAAAGGTTAAATATAATAAATAAATAAATAACACGTAAATAAATAACAATAAATTAAATACTAATATTAGCGTTATTAGTTTTATAACACAAAAAGACTGCTGGGTAGCCTCGAGCTTTTTCATATTGATGAGAGCCAAAGCTCGTTTTATTGCTTGACAATAACGTCCTTCATCTGACTTTGAAAATTTTCTCGCCCGACTTTTCGCCCATAGAAAGTGCTCAGCGTTTCTCAGCCATCACAGTCGATTCCTTGCTAGCAAGCCGAAAGGTAGTGGAGCTCTCCTCTTCTGGGAAATACTTTCCCTTTCATAAATTTTCCACAGCTACATATATAGTATATATGTTACTAATAGAGTTTTGTTCTTTCTAGATAAACAAAAAAGCTAACCATGTCGAAGATCGGTATTAACGGATTTGGTCGCATCGGCCGCCTGGTGCTGCGCGCCGCCATCGAGAAGGGAGCCTCCGTTGTGGCCGTCAACGACCCCTTCATCGATGTGAGCTACATGGTCTACCTGTTCAAGTTCGACTCGACCCACGGACGCTTTAAGGGCACCGTTGCCGCCGAGGGCGGCTTCCTGGTGGTCAACGGCCAGAAGATCACCGTCTTCAGCGAACGCGACCCGGCCAACATCAACTGGGCCAGTGCTGGTGCCGAGTACGTGGTCGAGTCCACGGGCGTCTTCACCACCATCGAGAAGGCCTCCACCCACTTGAAGGGCGGTGCCAAGAAGGTTATCATTTCGGCCCCCTCCGCCGACGCACCCATGTTCGTGTGCGGCGTCAATCTGGATGCCTACAAGCCGGACATGAAGGTGGTCTCCAACGCCTCGTGCACCACCAACTGCCTGGCTCCCCTGGCCAAGGTGATCAACGACAACTTCGAGATCGTCGAGGGTCTGATGACCACCGTGCATGCCACCACCGCCACCCAGAAGACCGTCGATGGTCCTTCGGGCAAGTTGTGGCGCGATGGACGCGGTGCCGCCCAGAACATCATTCCAGCCTCCACCGGAGCCGCCAAGGCTGTCGGCAAGGTGATCCCGGCCCTCAACGGCAAGCTCACCGGCATGGCATTCCGCGTGCCCACTCCCAATGTGTCCGTCGTCGACTTGACGGTCCGCCTGGGCAAGGGCGCATCCTACGACGAGATCAAGGCCAAGGTCCAGGAGGCCGCCAACGGACCGCTGAAGGGAATCCTCGGCTACACCGACGAGGAGGTCGTCTCGACCGACTTCCTCAGCGACACCCACTCGTCGGTCTTCGACGCCAAGGCTGGCATCTCGCTGAACGACAAGTTCGTCAAGCTGATCTCGTGGTATGACAACGAGTTCGGTTACTCCAACCGCGTCATCGACCTGATCAAGTACATGCAGAGCAAGGATTAAGTAATGCCCAGAGCACCCACACCCATACCCGATATATCCGATCCGCACAATTAAACGTTAGAGGTGCGGTCAAATGGGGCGAGAAAAATCACATAATTAATATTGCTCCCCGGTGGAGCAGCACGTATGCGCTATGAAATATGCTTCTGTTTTCGCTTTTCAATTTACCAGCCACGGAAAAACACATTGGAAAAATTTAAATACATACATACATCCATATACACATAAATATGTTTACTGTTGTTGAATAAAGTTTCACTCTGTGTGTAGTTGTAAAAAAATTGATGTTTAAGCATTTAAATATTTGTTTTCGCCTTTTCTTTTCATTTTTCTTTTAAAAAGGGGGATGGAATACGTAACAAGCTTAAATTGGGACCCTAATCTAAGCTTTCAAATAATTTTCTTCATTACAATTTTCATAAAAGAGTAAAGAATGGTATTGTTTAAAAAATTGCATTTATTTCATCCTTTTTTTTATAATTTCTAAGCTTTTTTTCTACATTTATTCATTTCAAATTAAAATATTTTAAAACAGTTTTCAGCCTACATGGACGCGCGTTTTCCCTTCTCTAGCGGTATCGATAACTAATTGCTTGGCACTCGATAGGTTCACGATAGTCCACCACTAGTTTTCAGAAATTTACTGGCATGTAAATAAAATAATCAATTGACGAAACACTAAGATAAAATGTGAATTATTGAACATGCCAATGTTACAGCGGGACATTAACCATCGGAATAACTAAAGACCATTGCGTCCTGCTAAATGTGAACTTAAGTGGTCGAGTGAAAACGCATTAACTGGCCTAAAACTGAAGTGGCGAACAAAGAGTATGTTTCCGAGTGATTTTGTGTGTGAGTTGGACAGATTTTCACCAATAAAATAAAAGAAAACATAGTGGCCCGTGTAAAAAACACAGAATCTAGAGTTCTCATCTTACGTATGTGTCGGGTGAACACAAGTCTGTATACAGATTGCTATATATGTGTACCCATGTATGTTGGAAATGTATGTGCGGGTCTCATTTATAATTAATAATTATAAACGGTGTCAAAACACCTCGGACCCCTTCGTAAACGCTAAGAAGCCTATTTTTCACGGATTTTAAAATTAAGTGTACGCATGTATGGAAATTTTAATAGGTGTTCAGTTGCACATGTGCAACAGTGCGTTTCTCTATATGCCCATCTATTTTGGTATATGTAAATTTAACATTTCAATGTTGTCCGTGAATGAGTTGTGCAAAGTGTTTTCCAATTGAAATAACGGTGAAAAGCGTTGGAAAAAACGCCTACTGGAATGTGTATTTGCCTAGGCGGATGAACTATTTATAATGTACACATGTATATACATATGGGACGTTCCATGTCGTATTGGCAACTTCGTGTGTACATAAGAGTGTGTGTATGTATGTATTTGGTGGATTCGAGAGAAACGAAATAATAGAATGTTTTAGGGGGTTTCCAAAGTGTTTCGGTGAAATGTATGCGTAGGAAAATTTAGTTTTATTTTTCTAAACTCGAATGTTGCTAGTGAAGTGTTTTAAACAATTTCCTTCGTTTTTTCTCTGCGTTGGAGTGTCCTATTTACCTTTGCATATACATACAAACATATGTGGGTCAATGTAGACAATACTCATAAAATCTATGTACACAATATAACGGTAGTTGTTTATTTTGTCGCTAGGTACACATGCACATGTGTACCCATGTACCCTAATGCCTTCTTAAATAATATCTTCTAGGTTACAACATTATTTATTAGCTTGAATGGCACTTTCAAGGCCACTTTATCCTGCCTTCATTTTCTCACCAGCCAGCAAAATCGAATCATGAGGCAGTTTTGAGTTTTGAGTGCTTGCCAATCGGTTGGCTTCTTATCAGCAAACAGCAAACAATTGGATCTTGGATCTTGAATCTCGAAGACTGAATGCAATAGCACAGGTGTGTATTTGTACCTAACTACATATAGAACTCAAGAACCCATCTCAAAAAGTTACTTAATCTGTCCAGAACTTTGGTACTTTTGCAAGTGCGGGGGCGGAAAAGGCGTGGTCACAACATGAAACAAAAATGTTCAGAGTTCGCATGTTTTATGATAAAGAACTAAAAAAATTCAATTTCTTTAAAAATTAATGGTGCCTAAAAAAGATTAACTTTTTAATAATAATAATTATTAAAGCTTCTAAGATTTCTACATCTTTGCTTAAATCTTCTTATCTAATTTAGATTATTTACAAATAAAAAGAATTATTTTGAATAGTCATTATTACTTATATATTTTTTTAAATTAAAAAAACCTTAAACTAAAAATTAACTTTTTTTAAATGTATATTTGGATTCCGTAGAACACTATATAATTATTAACTTATGTATATTAATTTATACATTTCTTATTTTTAATGGATTTTTTAAAGACTAAAACCATTTTATTTCATTTCATATAAATCCCCAGATGTTATCATGTCCACGAGAAGATACCTTTTCGCCAAGGGTTCAAGGAGTTTGAGCTCAGAAGAGCTAAATCTATAAAATGCACAAACAAGGTACTTTCCAAAATTCATCTTCTTTCATTACTACAATTGCTATAAAATATTCTCTATTCTATTTCTAGAATCTGGTTGTTAATAACGCGCCGCTACAAACCAATAATCGTATATACTGGCACTCTATAAGCATGAAAGTTAAAGATATGATATAGATATACGCCCAGAACCGCAGTCAGTTTCGTATTGGCCATCTGAACCGGAACCGGAGCACCGCACTCAAAATGGGAGCCAACACGTCGAGCAGCAGCAGCTATCCCACGGTCGCCTCATCGGGCAGCGGAGGTGGAGGCGGAGGAGGCTCCTCCAGCTCGAATGGCAATCTATCGTCGCTGCCCATGGGCATGGCAGAGATGTCCTCCTCCTCCGGCGGCGGCAGTTGCGGCCAGAATGCTGCAGCAGGAGGGGCTCCTGGCATCGTCATCAGTGGAACCGGAGCCCACTACCATCGGGATCAGCGCAGGAAGCGGGCCACCGGCTTCGCCACCCTCAAACGCAAGTTCATACGGCGACGCCGCTCCTCGAAGGCCTGTGATCACGCCCGCGTGCTGCGCGACTTTGTCTCCGACTGGGCGCCCGTGGAGCTGGCCGCCCTGTGCGAGGAGTTCGAGGCCTTGTCGGCCCTGAGGGATTTGTCGGTAAGCAAGGCACATAGCTATAACTAGACCGAGGTCTAGTTTGCATATTTGCATATTTTTATAGGATAAAGATAGATCCATTCCGAAAACACCAAAGTTTGCATAAAATGCATATAAATAAAATATGCAAAATATAAAATAAACTCAACTATTCAAGATTGACCATTTCATAGCCAACCTAATTTACCCCAAGCAACCTGTTTGTTCCTTTTCGTCATTTCGGAGATTTTTATTTTTTTTCTAAATTTAAGGAAACCCTATTTATATTTTCAACGAGTAGGCGAGAAGAAATAGTAAAAGGGGAAGAATAGTTTTTGGCCCTATTCAAAATTTGAGCCTCCAGTTGTTCGCATATATTTTGCATCTATTTTGCATATTTTATGCATATTTCCTAATATGTATCCGAATCTATTACATTTGAAAAATATGACACCTTCCTAGAAATTTTATTTTGCATATTTTGCATATATTTTGCATATTTTGCATATATTTCGCATATTTTGCATATATTTTGCATATTTTATGCATATATTTTTTGCATATATATTGCATATTTCCGATATGCATCCGAATTTATTACATTTAAAAAATATGACACCTTCCTAGAAATTTTGGTAAAAATCGGACCAAAAATGGACAAAATGCAAAATATATTTTGCATATTTTATGCTTGTATATTTTGCATATTTCCGATATGCATCCGAATCTATTACATTTGAAAAATATGACGCCTTGCTAGAAATTTTGGTAAAAATCGGACCAAAAATGGACAAAAATATGCAAAATCCGAGAACTAGCTATAACTATATATCCAATCTGCTAACCAAATCCACTTACAGGTGCAGGCCGAGCTGGCACGACCGCCGGCAGCCACGTTCAAGCAGGACCTCGCTGCCATTTACGAGAAGAATCTCTGCACCGACTGCGATTTGGTGTTCCGCGGAACGATCTTCTCGGTCCACCGTTCAATATTATCGGCACGCTGTGTATATTTCCGGGATCTGCTGGCCGGATGTCCTGGCTTCGGGGCGCGCATTTGTCTCGAGCTGCCCACATCGCCGATCGATGTGCAGCTCTTCTCGTCACTGCTGCGCTACCTGTACACCGGCGATCTGTGTCCGCACGATCCGAACATAGACATTTCGCTGCTGCGCCAGCTGGGCAAGGATTTTGGGACCCCCAATCCGCTGGAGCACGATCTGCGCTACCTTCTGGAGACGGGCGACTATGCAGATGCGGCTTTAGTCTTCACCGCCGACGGAACGAACGACTATTTGCGCCAGGATTCGGGCACCTCGGAGTACGGCTTTCGGCCAAAGATCGAGCTGCCCTGCCATAAAGCGATCCTGAGTGCGCGCTCGCCCTTCTTTCGCAACCTAATCGCGCGTCGCACTCGAAATATGGACGAGTATGTCGAGCGGTCGCTGCACGTGCCCACGCGCATTGTGCTCGATGAGAGTGTTATACCAAAAAGATATGCCCGTGTGCTGCTGCAGGCCATCTACCTGGACTCGGTGGACCTGACGTTGATTCTGCGCGGCGTCGGTTCGGGCACTTCGGCCGGTTCGCTGGGCGAGGTGCATGCGCTGACGAACACGGGACGCGTGCGTCCCACAACTCTCGAGGAGGCCATGGAACTCTATCAGATTGGACGCTTCCTCGAGCTGGATATCCTGGCCCAGGGCTGTGAGGATTTGATACTCGAATGGCTGTCCATTGAGACGCTGCCCACGGTGCTCAAGTGGGGCTGCCAGCCGTACGGTTCGGCTTGGGTCTTCCGTCAGGCCTGCCAGTATTTGCGCGAGGAATTCGCCGCTGTGAGCGCCTCGCCAGTGTTGCACCAGCTGGATAAATCTCAGTTAATACACATACTGCACAGCAACTTCTTGCAGGCCTCCGAATTGGAGGTTCTCCAAGCCGTGCTCAAGTGGGGCGAGCAGGAGCTCATCCGGCGCATGGAGGATCGCGAGCCGAATTTGCTCTCGCACACCGCCCACTCGGTGGCGCGCAAGGGCGTGAAGAAGCGCGACCTGAGCGACATTGAGCTGCGCGAGATACTCTCGGAATTGTTGCCGCTCGTGCGCATGGATCACGTTTTGCCGCCGCACTGCGAGGTGCTCTGCCAGGCGATTCGCCGGGGTCTTGTGAGCACTCCACCCTCGCACATGATTGGCGACGAGCGGGAGAATTTGCGCATCAATGCCTGGATACGCGGTGGCAAGAATCAGGGGCTGTACGTGCGACCACGCCTCTTCATGCCGTATTTCGAGGAGGTCAAGGCCCTGCTGGAGGATCGCATGTCCTCGTCGCACCACCAGGTCGAGCTAATGAGAATGCGCCGCTGCCGCCATCCGCCCGACATCCCAGATACCTTGTATATGGTGTCGCACATGAATTCCAAGGCAAATAGTGATCATCTGGGCGCAGCGGAGAGCCGCACTTCCGATGATATATTAGTGGGCGCTGCGGTTATCCCACCGCCGGACAACCAGACGCTGCTGGCGATGCGCAAGCGGGAGCACAAGCTGCGCCAGTCGCCCATGTGCCAGCGTGCGCTGCTGCTGCCGCTGTCCTCGAAGAGCGAGATTGACCGGCAGATACGGCTGCGCGTGGTGAGGGAGTTCAATCTGCCCGACGAGGTGTCCGATCTGCTGGAGATCGCACTGCAGGCGAATCCCAACTGCCGGGGAAACGAAGGTCATGCCGAGGAGACAGCTATCGAGCTATCGAGTTCCCAGAAAGAGGATCCCCTGCTGGAGGACGAGGATCAGAGTCCGCCGCCCTCGCCGGCGGCCACTTGCTCCGTTTCGCGACACACCACCGGCGTTGCATCGTCGTTCCTCTCGCCCCTCGGCGGCGGCGGCGGCGGCAACTCATCATCCGTGGCCTCCGACGCCGCCCATCCGTGCTACAGTCGAAATCTCACCTTCCCACGCCATCACTCCAACGGGCTGATTGGCGGAGTGGCCTCTGGTTCCGGTCCCGCTTTGCAGTGCAGCTACTCGCGGCTCTCCTCGTCGGCGCATCACCACCAGCAGCGCAACGATCTGCCGGCGCTGATCACCGAGGGCGACTTCCGCTTTCCGCACGGCAATGGGCTTGGACTCGACATGGGCGCCGAGGGGGGGGCCTGCGGCCTGGATGCGGCCAATAGCCATCTGTCCGAGATGATGCCCGATGTGGCGATGGCCACCGCCTCGCTGGGGCAGCTGCACTTGACAAATAACAGCGCAGGATGCGCCGCCAACATGGGCGGGCGGGCAGTGAGCAGCAATAACGACATGTCCGAGAGCCTGCAGTTAGATCTAGGCGATGGCCCGAGCCCTCATATAATTGGAAGTGCTGTCGGTTCGATGACCCTACGAAATATCCAGGTGAGTCACAGTCTCTTTTTGATAAATATTCCCAATCTATCATTAAACTTTCTATATATTCAAAGCACCAACTGCCAACAAACAACTATCACCACTTTATGCAGCGTTCGAATTCGCCATTTGAGCTCCTGCGGCAGGGACAACCATCGCCAACATCACATCCACAACATTCCGGGACATACAATTCTGGACCACCAAGGTTTTTATAGAGATTTCGAGTGGCCCCCGATCACGGGCATTATTTTAGCATGCCTTTCTAAATAAAAAACATCCGATACAATTAAAACTAAAAATCTAGATAAATAAAACAAACTACTAAATAAATGTCAAAATGATACCCCTTTCCGATGATCTATCAATACATAATATAAGCTGGAATAAGATGAAAATATACAATTGTCCTGCAAAATGTTCTTGAAAATTGCACTTTCGCTATCGTTATTAATGCCTGGTGATCCTGATTATAGATCCTATATAGTTATATATATGGTTTATATACATGGTTTAAAAAAGGTAGGTTTAATGACGTTATCAATCGTAGGAATAGTTGGCTAAATAAGTTATCGTCGCAAAATCAGATTCAAAAGTTGGGGCTGGACAAGGAATCTCATCCCAAATTGCTCATTTCGACTTATGTATGTATATCGACGAAATTTGTTCTTAGCTGTGAAAAAGAGCGAGAGGGCAATAGTGGAACATTATAATTTTCACATGTTTTCCAAGCTGTTTATCACACTTCATGAGCCTGAAAAAAGTTTTTTCTGGGTTGGAAAATCAGACTCTTGATTTTTGGTAAAAATTTGTTTTTTTATTATAGATTTTTTGCTGTATCTTGGGAAAAAATGGTCCCAAATCAAAAAGGCGCACTGTTTTGTGCAGCTTACAACCTTACAATTAATATCAGTGCACTTTCCGACTGATTTGATAACATTAATTTTCGACCCAATTTTCGCTTTTTTTATAAGGGGTACCATCATCATTTTTTGCGAAAAATGGGATAAATAAAAAATTTCCAGGTTAACCCGCCAATCGATTGGGAATTTAATTACGAGTTCAACGAGGTATGACATTTCATATTTGAACCATTATTTCCATTGTTGTCGCCAAAATACTGTTATTTTTTGGGGCGAAAAATCAAAATCTTGATTTTTGGCAAAAGTTCGATTTTTTTTATTGGATTTTTTGCTGTAACTTGGTCAAAAATGGTCCCAAATCAAAAAGGCGCACAGTTTTGTGCAGCTTACAACCTTACAATTAATATCAGTGCACTTTTCGACTGATTTGAGAAAATTAATTTTCGACCCAATTTTCGCTTTTTTTGTAAGGGGTACCATCATCATTTTTTGCGAAAAATGGGAAAAATAAAAAATTTCCAGGTTGAAACGCCAATCGATTGGGAATTTAATTATGAGTTCAACGAGGTATGACATTCCATATTTGGACCATTATTTCCATTGTTTTGGCCAAAATACTGTTATTTTTTGGGATCTTGATTTTTCAGTAGTATTTACTATTAGTATTTTGGTCATAAAAACGGAAGTAGTGATCCAAATATGGAATGTCATACCTCGTTGAACTCGTAATTTAATTCCCAATCGATTGGCATTTCATCCTAGAAATCTTAATTTTTTCAATTTTTCGCAAAAAATGATGATGGTACCCCTTACAAAAAAAGCGAAAATTGGGTCGAAAATTAATTTTCTCAAATCAGTCGCAAAGTGCACTGATATTAATAATTAGGTTGTTAGCTGCTCAAAACAGTGCGCCTTTTTGATTTGGGACCATTTTTGCCCAAGTTACAGCAAAAAATCCAATATAAAAAAATTGAAATTTTGCCAAAAATTATTTTTTCCGATTTTCCATCCCAAAAAATAACAGTATTTTGGCCACAACAATGGAAACAATAATCCAAATATGGAATGTCATACCTCGTTGAACTCGTAATAAAATTCCCCATCGATTGGCGTTTCAACCTGGAAATTTTTTATTTATCCCATTTTTCGCAAAAAATGATGATGGTACCCCTTACAAAAAAAGCGAAAATTGGGTCGAAAATTAATTTTCTCAAATCAGTCGCAAAGTGCACTGATATTAATAATTAGGTTGTTAGCTGCTCAAAACAGTGCGCCTTTTTGATTTGGGACCATTTTTGCCCAAGTTACAGCAAAAAATCCAATATAAAAAAATCGATTTTTTACCAAAAATCAATGTCCACATTTTCCGCCCCAAAAACAAACAGTATTTTGGCGACAACAATGGAAATAATGGTCCAAATATGGAATGTCATACCTCGTTGAACTCGTTATTAAATCGATTGGCGTTTCAACCTGAAAATTTTTTATTTTTGTAATTTTTTGCAATAAATCATGATGGTACCCCTTATTAAAAATGCGAAAATTGGGTCGAAAATTAATTTTCCTAAATCAGTCGAAAAGAGCACTGATATTAATTATAAGGTTGTAAGCTGCCCAAAACAGTGCGCCTTTTTGTTGTGGGACCATTTTTGACCAAGTCCCGATCATTTGGATTCACATAAGTAAAACCCAAAAACATAGGCCAGTGAAAAACGGATTTGTTTTTTTTGTAATGATTCTATTTTTAGTTTTATCAATTTTTACATAAATTGCATATATGATAATTAGTCCTTAAACACGTAATGCACAAAGGGAATGAAGCTGTCACTGATATACATAGAGTTATGTATCATGTGCATGATAGTTTGGATTCCATAGGCTGCATGTTGATGTCATATAACTATGAGAGTTCTTTGTATATATGTATATGTACAATCAAATTATAATTAATTTCTTGCTCAACATGTCTCGTGGCTGCTCCTAAGCTTATATTATACAAATAATACAAATACAAATACGCTTAAACTAAATTTGCGAACCTAAAGTTACTTTTATGCTTGTAATTTGTAATTTTTAATTTGTAATTTGTATTTATTAAAAATAAGTAAAGTTCGTATTACTTATGTGACGTGACGTACGTTTCAACGCGCGACCATATTAAGATCGAGGAAAGTATTTTGCCAATGTGGGACTCAGTGCTTAGGTTGAATGCTAGGTCTGAAGTATAAGGAAGTCTTAACCTCTTTTAATTTGATTTTTGTTTGCCACAAACATCTATCTCCTCCTCTGCTCTCCTCTCATCTCGCGCTACGTTACGTTACAAATTAATGTATGTATGTTTTCCAAGAATTATATAGTTTACAAAAGCGTTGCGCTTCATTTATTGGTGTTCTCTCAGGCTCAAAATGATGCTGGGAGGAGGTAATTAGGATGGGACTCTGCGTATTGCGTACGATGACATTTTGGTGGAGGTGATTGAAATTTTTAGAAAACTTCTTTGTCTTATTCGCTTTTACAATTTAGTTAGTAATCCTATCATCGACTTGGCGCCACCGACGACACTGGAGATATTCCGATTACCCCGCCGGGCACCGAACCGAGGCCCACACCAGCATTCGCCACAATGCCCATCGTGTGGTCCGCCTCCTTCTTGGCGGCCACCGACTGCGGCTGGCCCATCGAGTCGACGCTGATCATATGCTGGACTGGAATGCTGACTGGTGTCGGTGGCCCCGAGCTCTTGCCCATATTTGGGCCACCAGAAAGCTGCTGCTGCTGTTGCTGCTGCTGATTCGGCGGACCAGGCTGCTGAACTCCAGAGGACTGAACACTGGACACTATTTGCAAGCGATGATGCGGCGGCGGCGGGCCCAACTGACCAACTGAGGGCGGGATGGGACTGGGCTCCTTGCTGCGCAGATGGGCCGCCGATTGGGCGGCGTAGATGTTGATCGCCTTCTGCCGCTCCTCGGCCTCGTGTCGCAGCGCAGCCTCCATGATGGGATTGTAGCGGAGAATGGGATAGGGATCCCGATAGGGATCTATGCCCCAGCCAGGCGGTGCTGGAGCACCAAAGTGTGTGATGGGTCCACCGACACTCAGCGTGGGCGGCATCATGCTGCGGGCCAAATGCGATGGTGGGGGCGGCAGTCCATGGCGACTGGCCGCCATGAAGTTGGCATGATGATGGTGCGCCGCTGCGGCAGCTGCATTCGCCTGCGCTTGGGCTTGTGCTTGGGCTTGGGCCTGGGCCAGCGAGGAGGAATGGTAGCGCGGATCGCCACCGACACCGACAGCCGCCGCCGAGGCGCGCAGCAGCATCACATCCTGCTCGTCCTTGGTCCGCGGATGCTCCTCCTTGATCCGAATCTCCGTGTTCAGCTCGCCCACGTTGCGATGCGGCGAGCGATCGCGTACGGGCGCCGCCGAGGCAGCCGCCGCTTGGACTGCCGCCTGCTTGTTGCTCTCGTTTATCCGCTGCTGCTGCAGCATTCGCTCACGCTCCATTTCCCGCCGCTGCTCGATCTCCCTGCGCTCCCGCTCACGCTCCTTCCGGTCGCGCTCCCGCTCGCGTTCCCGTTCCTGCTGCTCGCGCTTCAGCTTCTCCTCCTTCTCCTTGCGCTCCCGCTCCTCGCGTTCGCGTCGCTGGCGGTCGCGTTCCCGCTGCTCGCGATCCCGCAGCTCCCGTTCGCGCTCCTCGGCCTCGCGCCTCGCGTTGTCCAGGCCGGGATCCGACTTCACCGGCCAGTTGGGGGACGCCGAAGCAGCCGACGGATGGTACGCCACACTCCGTTGCATTGCATTCGTCCTAGGAAATAAAGATCAAGTGTGTATTAAAATGGGATACTTATAAAATCTTAAAGTTTATAATTATATAGTTTACAAACAGAATACAATAAAATTAAGTTAAAAGTATAAGTATATTTACCCTAAAATTAAATCAATAAAACGTTTACGAACTAAAGGCCATAGTTCCTTTAAAAATGATTTAATAGACTTTATATATAATTATTATTCTTACAAAAAAAGATGTATTTTCTTCAGTATTTAAAAATGAGTTAATAGACTTTATATTATATTATTATTCTTACAAAAAAGATTTATTTTAACTTATAAAAATTAAACTATTTTTTTAAGCAAACATACTTTTCATATATTTCTATACATATCTATATAGGTAACACTTATTAGTAATAACCCAATCTAGTACGAATAAATAGTTCTCTATTGTAATAAAAACCAACTAATGTTACCATTTAATTTTTTAGATTTTACTGCTTTTTGAATAGTGCTGTTTGTATTTACCTCCACGAGTCCAAATGGCCACCGAAATGTGTGAGCCCTGTGAAACCAAACGGCGTCACATAGCGTCCAAACGGGGAAACAGCGGTTCCTGTCGATAAAATCTCGATTAGGATACAGAATGAAATGATTAGGCATATATATATTACCAATATGACTAGGGGGAGCTCCAATGAAGCTGGCAGCCAGGGGAGAGGCCTCGAAGGCCAAGCGGCCGGGCAAACCACTTGAAAAGGCGGCCGATGGCGGCATCTCGCTCGCCCGATGCAGAATATGCTGGGGCGGCGTATTCATGCCCATATTCGGCGCTGTCTTCATGCCAAGCACCGATGCAGGACCATTCGACACGAGGACACCGCCTCCGACCGCCGGAATGGCGGCCACACTGTTCACCGGCGTGTTGGCTCCACTGGGCATCCCACCACCGCCTCCTCCGCCGCCGCCGCCGCTGATGAGGTTGCTACCAGGCGGAAGTGGCGCGTTGATCGAAGATGCGCTCGACGAGGCCGTCGGAAAGCCGGTCTTTTCGGAACTCTGCTTGTTTTGGTGGTAATAGATTTCCCACGCGATTCGCACATGCATGGCATTCCAGCGACCAGTTTTCTGTTACAAAAAGGATATAGATTAATAGGTATGCTATTTTTTAACCCCACATGGTATCTCCTCACCTTGGGCGCAAAGGAAGTTAGGTGGTTGGGGGGCATGAACGGCGTTGGCCCCCCTAAACCGCTGTGCAGCAGGCCCGCTGAGGAGTAGCCCGTGTAGCCGCCCGTTGGCAGTCCCATGCCAGTGCGATAGAACTGCGGATCGACGGAGGACATCTTCGAAATATCCTTGAACAGTGGCGGGGGAAAGATTTGTCCAGAAGTTGGCTGCACAGCCGTGAGAGGAGTGGATGAGGCCGAGGCTGCTGGCGGCAGCAGCTGCGGATGCTGATGCAGATGTGCTGCGTGCTGCTGGTGCTGGAGATCGGTTCGTAAATATGTCGATGTCGGCGGCGTGGGGGTAACGGCTAGGCCAGATCTATCCAGAAATCTGCTATCCAGTTCGCGCCGCAGCAAGTCCGCTTGATCATCTGCAAAGGTAATGATTTAATGATACTTTTTAAAACAATTTAGGTCGGGACTCTTACTTTTACTTGGCTGAAAGAGCGATTCTGCTGAAAAGGGATGCGGCGCATTGGTAACCGCCGCAACCGTGGGCTGTGACAGCGACGATGCCGTGGTCGTTGTTGCCGCTCCTGCCGTCGTCGTCGTCACAATGCTGCTCATCGAGTGCGACACCGAGGAGGGAAACTGCGAAGCGGAGGAGCTGCCGATGATGGCCGACGAAGTGGAAGAAGTGGCTGGCGATGGGGAGGATGGTGGTGGCGCCAAAGGTGCCGGGAAGTATGACGAGGATTGAAAGGAGGCGGACTGAATACCGGCGCTGGCGGGGATGGAAAGCGGCGATATGGCATTGCAGGAACTTCTCGCTGTCGTTGCCGCGTTCACCATGCCACCGATGAGCGGCGGCGTCGGCCGGGCACTTCCACTCGATACGATGGGCGTGGAGGGAGCACAGGTCGTAACCACCGCTGCATTGGCAGGAGAGCTGCAAAACAAAGGGGTAAAACATGTTAATTTCGAGGAAAATCATCTATGTAGAGATTCTGATGAGTACTTTAACCACAGTGCTGCCTTTGAAGAGTATGAGGAGAGATTTCCCGGTCCCGTTCCCAGTCCCGGTGGCATTGAAGAACTCGACGATAATACTGGGGTACCTGTACCTCCATATTGACTGGGTGGCAAACCGCAAAACGAGGATCCCAGGCCCATGGCCTGCGAAACGGCAGGCATTGACCTCATATTTGTACTGCAAAGGCGATTGATTAAGTATTTATCTCAATTTTAGTCAGAAAATCACACTCACCTGTAGCTGGGATCCCGATCTTTGCTCTCTCCCTTGGGGGAAATAACTTTCTGGATCACAGATGATGATGATGAGAGTGTCGATGGCGATGACGAGCTCGTAACCGCAGTTGTCAAACTTTGCACCGCCAGCACAGAAGGGCTGCTAAAGTTGGAGGCAGCGGCCGATGAATAAAGCGCATTGCCGCAGCGCACCAGGGGTGGATTCAGCATGTGCGACACCGACGAGAACTGGGCTGACTGGGCAAAGTGCTGCGGCGGCGGCGGTTGCGGTTGCGGCGGAGGAGCAGCAGCCGCCGAACTGGACAGCGAGGTTACCGCGAGAGTAGACAGTCCTGGTCCAGAGTTCGATGCACTTGTCCCTGAGGCTGAGGCGGCGGTGGAAAAGGCACCACCGGCTGCGTAGACAGGCACATGATGGGAATGAGATATATGCGGATTGCTCGCCGAAGGAACCACCGTCACAACGGGCTGCGTTGAGCCGCCGCCGCTGCTATTGTTGAGTGGCGTTATGGATCGCAGGTTGTTCGGCGTCATCGCAATATTCGATGGGTTCGCCGCCTTCAGCGTTGATGAAGCCGGCGACTCTCGACTGCTGTTCCGACTATCCGAGCTCCTGTGCTGCTGCTGCTGTTGCTGCTGTGTTGGCGGCATGTTGGACGCTGCAACCGGCAAAACTGGCGGCAGGTAAGAGCCATGCGTTAGGCCGCTGTAGGGCGTGTAGAGCGGGTAATTTGCGTAGGGTGCTCGGTAGGGCGGCGCCTGGATGATCATGGGCACGCCAGCGCCCACATGCGACATCGGAGCAGGCGGTGCTCCCGGAAAGAGCAGCGGCGAACCGGTGCCAAAGACCACCTTGCCCATGCCGCCAGATGTCGTTGTCGTTCCACCAGAAATTCCCACATAGTTGGTGTTTATCGAAATGGCTGAGGAAACCGGTGGCGGCACCACCAATTTATTCATGGCATTCGGCGAGGCGCGTGGCAACGTGCTGCTGCTGCTTCCGCCGCTCGGAGTCACCGAAGACGTCGACGATGATGATGATGTAGCAATCGAAGCAGGCGGATAGACATTAAGGAAGCCATTGACTATGGGATTGGGCGGCGAGGAGGTGGGAACCGAGTTACTTTTCGCCATCTCCGAACTGCTGACCGGCAGTCCCTGGCCATTGGAACTGCTATTTCCCCGCGCAAAGTTGTCATTTGATTTTATGCTGCTCGCCAGGATCACATTGGAGGCGGAAGTGAGTATTGATAGTCCAGCGGCATTCGGCGGTGCAATTTGGTGTGCGCCAAATGGACTGCTTAGAGTAACTGCTGCTGGAGATGGGGCACCAGGACCACCAGCAGCAGAAGCAGGAGCAGCAGATAATAATGGAACAATTGACCGTGGTTGTTGTTGTTGCACTCCGTTTGCAACTGATGTCGTTTTGGTGTTGAAGATAATCTTTTGATCCAAGTCGGAGGCAACTGTGGACACGATTTTCTCATTCCCAGCCGATATTCCAACGTTGGGAAACTGTTGAGTAGGTAATAACCAATATGAGTTACTTGAAAGGCAAGTTATACAATCAATACTTACTTGCACTGCCGAGGAAACGGAGGGCGTAACGCACATTCCGGGATAGAGCGTCTTGGCGTCCGGCGTGGATTTCTGCAGCATTCCAAGCTCTCGATTCGCGGACTCTGATGCATTTGCCGCTGACAGGGAAACAGAAGAAGGAACCGCCTTGCCTTGCGCACTTTCCGCTGGGTTTTTTATGTTTAAAGCTTTACCCGCCTCGCCCTCTGGAGTTCCCGCAGACACCGATGCGCCCATCGACGGGGCAAAGGGCACTCCCGAGAAGGCGCCATTATCCCGATCTCCGCGATCTCCACACGCCGCACTTTTCTTCTTGAGGTGCGGAAGGTCGGTTAACTTGCGAGAAGTCGGTCGATCCTGACACGAAGAAGTATTGGAAACATTCATGGGCGTTGGGGCATTATCAATATCAAACATTTGTTCAGAATTCTGCAAGCACAAGATGTATTATTACGTAAGTTATAGACATAGTTTTAGACTAGCATTTCTTTATTCTTTCTAGGCCACAAGGCATCTTAAATTTTAAATTCTTTCTTTGAATATTCCAAAATGGATTATTTATGAGCGAGAATGAGGGAGACAGAAGAATATTTTAGCATGTTCAGAGACTAGAATAAACCCAAAGATGAGTTAATTTTATGTTTCTGATATTCATAAATATTTAATAAGCAAAAAATTTCATTTAATTTAAATTTTTGTACGGAAACTAATAAAGTTTATTCTACTATAAATTGAATTTTAAAGTATTTACTTTAAAAACAGATTACAGCATTTTTGTTTTTAAATTATTAGTATTTTGCAGTCATCTAATACGAACATGATGTATTTATTATAAAATCTATAAGTTGTATACTATACTTTACTGCACAAAATAAATCTATTCATAGCTATTCCAGAAAATTAAATTTTCAGTATTCAGTGGTAAGATAACTGCTTGAAATAAAAGCATACCTTTTTATCATTGCTGACATTATCACACTGCAAAAAAGAAAGAGAAGAGTTAGAAATGTTCATTTTATGCCGGTGAGATGTACTTACGATATTATTTCCTTTGCTGTTGCTGCTACAATTGATTGAAGAAGCCTGAACAAGAAAAAGGGAACGTTGTTTAAGCGAAATGGATTCGGATTCAGTGGAAGTTAAGCTTACGTCATTCAAAAGATCACTTTGCTCGTTCTCCTTCTTGATTACACAGCTACTGCTACTGCTGCTGGTGGCCCCAAAGGACTGCTGCTGCTGCTGCTGCGCTGGTAGACTGGGCGACGACTCCTGGATGTCCAGAGGGCGACAGGCCGCCGCCGCCGCTGATGTCGTCACGGTTTCGATGTTCTCCAACCCATTCGATTTCTAACGATAAAAAAGCAATGATAAGTGATCGGCCTCTCTTATAATCTGATAAGACTCACCTTTACGACCTGCGCTGATTGCGTTGCTCCCGCCGTTGTTCCCAGCTTGCCTACACCACCCAGATCACTTGATATCAGATTATTCAGCTGGTGCGTTGATTTGGTCACATGTAATTGGTCAATGCTGTTGTTACTGTTACTTGTGGCGGGGGAATTGTGAGATTTTTTGGCTGCCATGTCGCCGCCAGTGCAACTGGCGTGATGCGGCGTCATGCCGACGTCCAAATGGTCATGATGGCCATGCGATGCAGCGGAGCCACCAACGCCCAGCGATGGCAGGCTTATATCCAGCATAAGTGAATCGTTGTCGTTCTCCAAGAATCGTGAACTGCTTCCTTGGGTTTTCGCCGCACTACAGTTGCCTCCTACTTCTGGTTGCTGCTTGCTCGTTTGGTTTATTTGGTGGCTACTATTGTTAATTTGATTATCATCATGATTACTTTTACTGTTTGCGCTATTATCCGTTGGCAATTGCTCCTGCTGCTGTTGCTGCTGGTTGTACTCAGATCGCCAATGATGATCCCTGGGTTCCGTTTCCGCCTCCAAAACACTGCCCATGTTCACCGATGGCAGCAGGTAGACCACGTTGCTGTTATTGCTATTTGCATTCCCATTGGGACCATTGTTATTGTTATTATTATTATTGTTGTTGCTGCTGCTGATGAGGACATTGCTGCCGCGTTGATGCAACGGCTGCGGATTGTCCTTCAAATTCAGATTCAGATTGTTGTTGTTAACGGTCAAAGTGGAAAGACTGGTGACACGCAAAGGTTGCGATTGACCCGTGTCGATAACCTTTGGAATTTTCATCTCCTCTATGCTGTAGGTACAAGTTAGCTCGTCCAGGGCAGAAAGTCGCTTCTCCTTGCGCTTCTGTCCCAATTTGATGGCAAACTAGAAGGGTTAGAGCATAATTAATATATAATATAGTTAAAAGAAGGTATAGAAACCCACCTCGAGATCCTCGTATGTCTTAAACTCCAGTATGGCGAACCCATCGATGATCTCCTCCTCGAGCACCGGCGATCGCGGCAGCTTTCTTCGCACCGGAGGTGGCGGTCTAGGCGGCGGCTTGTCGCGCGGCAGGAGCAGCGTCGACGAGGACGAGGTCGAGAGCAGATCCTCGTCCAGCGACTCGCCCTCACTGTCACTCGGCGTGGCCATCAGACCCGAGTTGCACTCGGGGGAATGTGGTGGATTGAGGAGCAGCGAGGCAATGCTATCCGTGGGCGGCAGCAGGTTGTTGCTCCCGTTGCTGCTGCTGGTGAAGTTCCCGTTCGAATTGTTGCTATCCTCGCCCATGCTGCCAGCGCTGTTGATGTGATAGATCAGGCCGTTGTTCCCGGGTCCAGCCGCCGTCGATCCGTTGCCCATCGTTGCCACCGTCGATGAAGCAGGGAGTCCTCCTCCCACTCCACCCACTGGGCCGCCGTTCACCGCACTGCTGGCCGCCACCGAGGAGCCGGCGATGAAGGTGCCGCCGCTCAGGGAACTGGCATTGCAGCGACTATCCCGTTCCGCCTGCAAACGCTGGGCGCGCTCCCTTCGGCGCTTCTGCTGGCGCTGCTGCTTGGCATTCAGACTCAGGTGGTTGCTGCTGCTGGAGGTGGTGGTGCTGTGGCCATTGGTGTTTGTATTCCCATTCCCGGTCACTGCTGGCATAACTGTGACTGCTCCGCCTCCTCCTAATCCCAGGGTGGCCACCGCTGGCGGAGGCGATTGCGGGGAGGCGGAGACGGAAACGGCCGCCGCTGCTGCCACAATGGAGAGCTCCGTGTCGGAGTCAAAGTCACAGGCACTGGGGGCCATCACAGGTGGACAGGTGTTGTTGGGCTCCAGCGACTGGGAATCCGGGGGAATCGCTGGCTTGCCGCTGCCCGTCGCATCTGTGACCGATGAGGAGGAGGATGATGAGGAGGCGGAGGAGGAGGATGGCCGTGCTCGCGGCATGGAGGAGCCCAAATCCGGGATATTGGCACTTGCTTGAACTAAGGCGGTCGCCGTTGGCGGAGGAAGATGCAGTACCGCCAGGGCAGAAGTCGCTGAACCCTTCGATATACTCTGATTCTGGTGAGGATTCTGACCCACTACCGCGGGCGAGGATGCCTCGCTCTTCTCATCCTGGACAGCGGAGCCAGAGGAGCCGGAGGACCCCGTTCCAGTTACGATCTCCTGCGATGATATATGCTTGATTTGGGTTCCTAATCCATTAATACTACTGCTGCTACTGCTGGAGGACGCGGACGCGGATGCGGATGCGGACGCAGACGTCTTTGATTTAGCGCTGGCATTTGAGGGGTCCATCTCTTTTGGAAAGATTACCGCGGATCGCTTCCAGTGGATTACTGTTCCTCAGTTCCAGGGCCTCTTCCTTGGGAATATAAATTATCGATGACCATTATTAGCTATGTATGTTTCTGTGATCTGGACCAAACCTTTTCCAATGCATTCGGACTGCAGGGGGCAGGGCTTTTTATACCGTTATGTACCGAGACGAGAGCTTTTACAGTGGAATATATTGGGATATATTGGTAGTACTTTTGATTTCGATTCGCGTGTTTTTTGAAAAAATCGATGCTGCGCCGACTGTTTTGAAGTTATTTTGTTATTTTGCGACCACTGCTGCGTTTTTCATTGGCATTTCCAATTCCATTTTCATTTTCCGATTTTCCGACCGGTGGCCCTTCAAAGTCGCGAAAATCATTTCAATAGCTTTAAATTTAAATCATTGTTTTCTTTTTGCTGCTGCTTTCCTGTCAACTTCCCTATTGCGCTTTTTTCTGTACACACACACATAATATTTAATTCTGCACACACACACTTTGCAACAAACACAGTGTTTTTTTGTTTTTTTGGTTTTTCAGGTCAGCAGAATTACACAAAACAGAGCCGATGTAAAAGGATGTAATGAAAAAACATAAAAAAAATAACACACACACAAAACGCCGATTTAGGAATTCACCGAAAATAGTCCATATTTATTTTGTCTAGCACTTCATCATTCGTCATATACTCTTCTTCTTCTTCTTGCTCGTATTCCTCCTCGTCTTCTTCTTCTTCTTGTCGAAATATATGTACGTACATATGTACGTAGCGTACATACGTGCGTACATATAAATTCGTACGAGTATATGTATATTTATATACGCAGATGGGGAGGTGGTACACCAGTTCGGTTCGGTATTTTTTTTCTCTACGCTATGCCTCCATTCCGTTCCGTTCCTTTTCGCCTTCCTTGCCTTTCGCTTCCTTTCCTTGCCTTTCCTTTCCTATATTGTCTATAAGTCTACAAGTCTAAAGTTGACAATGTCGTTGCCGCAACGGCGAGGCGAGAGCGCTCGCGCGCTAGTTAGCATTGTACATACATATATGTACGTGCGCTCCGCTCCGCTCCGTACAATGTCTCTAGCAGAGAGGCGAAGGCAGCAGCAGAGCTGCAATAGTCATCTCGCTTACACTTTTCTAATTGCGATTGCGATTGCCGTGGCCATAGTGTCCCGTCGACATAGTGTCGTCCCTACATGTTGTGTACTCAGTAACAGACAGCGCAGCGTCGTTAGCACCAGTACACAGCACAGCACAGCACAGGCACAGCACGTACATTACATACATACAAAATACGACAACCGACAATCGACAACCGACAAATACGACGACGACGACGAATGTTCGTACATTTTTACATTTTTACATTTTCCACACACACCAAATGCACAACAAACGCCACAGAATCGATATCGCGCATCAACGCGAAATATGCATCGCTTGTAAACTAACTGTCATCACGCCAATTATGTATATTTTACATAAAATCCAATATTATTTTCCGAAAATTTTGTTAACCACAAAGAACCCAACACATAGTCTCAGAGACGGACAATTTTTCGATAACTTTGGAAAATCACTTTCAGGGGGATAACATTTTGGGAACTATCGGAACGGTGGTGGGTCTCCACTGCGGATGCGTTAATGCTTTGCGTTCCGTTTTGGAACGTGCGTTATATGGTAGAACAGCTGTTTTCGATCATGATGCTAGTAGAAATCATATAAAAAAAGTATTTTTCTAAAAGATAAGCAGATATTTATAAAATGGTGAAAGTTTATTTGACTCAGAATCTATTGACTTCTAAATGAATTTTAGGAAGTTAAATAACTAGTCCTGGTCCTAACTGTCACTTAGAGGATAGTGGGAACGGTGTAAAATATTGCAGTCGAACGCAAGGAACGTTTGGAATCCGGTGTTTTTCTGTCGCCCATCCAAGAACAAGCAACTCTAATATTTAAAAGAGCGCTAACATTCTTCCTAAAATATATTTAAAAAAATTACTTAGAAAGTGCATATATTTTTTTTATAAACTAAAAAAGTAAACTATCGATATACACCAGTTGTCAATTTAATTTTTATTTTCTTAATATATTTCACGCAGATTGAATGAAATAATATTATTTTAAGATTTTAACCAGAAACATCCCCTCCCTAAATTCAATTTACGCGTGATTACCGTGTGGGATAGGACGAACGTATAAAAAGAGAAAGAACGCTTTAGGTCCGATCTCAGGATATTCCGACAGGACCTCTCATCTAATTTAAAAATTTGGTTTTTATAGGGAAGCATTTAAGACAAGGACCATTAAATGCATAAACCTCCAAGAAAATATATGTACGTTTAAGTATTTAATTTGTATTTCAAATATAGTTACATTTAAATTTATATTGCCACGAAAATGACTCCCATACCCTCACACATTGGCCTCCTCCTTAATTAATTTTATGATTTCCGTTTGTTACATGTGTATGAATATCTACTATAATATATGGAACAAGATCACATCACAACGTGAAATATAGTAACAACTATAGCTTTTGTAAAGGCTGCACTCTAAGAATAACATTGTAAAAAAAACCTTCGTATATCCTTTTAAATTCTTTTCAAATGTTAGTGATCAATTTAACGCCTTGTTGTGTATGGCTCAAATTAGGGTGTTTTCTTTGAATGTTTTCCAATTGGGTCTTGTTCTCAGTTTCTCAGTTTCCAAGGAGCAGAGGCAGCATCAAAAGAGTCGGAAATGTTATTTAGTTTTTGTGTGTTCTAACCGAAAATAAACTATTACAGCCACATCCAAAAGCAAAACAAAAACCTGAATTCGCTAACAATCGGTAGAAATTGGTTCATCTTGTGCGTTGTTTATGGTTGCATTGTTGCCTTGCAAAGTGTGGCTTTCTTGATTACTGTCATCAGTCTCAGTTTTCGACTTGGGTAGTTGTTTCCGCAAGCTGTTGGTTTGGTCTGCATCATCATTGTTGACATTTTCCTCGTCCTCATCGTCGTCATAGTTGGTTGGTTCCTCGCCCTTGCGCAAAAGCTTGCCGACCAGTTCATATTTTTCTGAATGAAATCGAAATGTTAGTGAACTGCACATTGACAACAGTAGAAAACGATTGAATTACCCTTGAATTGCATTTCCCATTCTCGCACAGAGTCCATTTCCACGGCACTTAGATCGCTCAGGTCGTCGTAATCATCTTTGTCATTCGAAACCACGCTGAATGTGGCCAAGTTCCTAGAGGCATCCCTTCCTGCGAATGTGGCATAGGGTCCACCTGCAAAGAAGCAGAGAAATTAATACATTTGGTCATCGTGACCACGACACCATGGCAAGAAGATAGCGCAATCTAGTGCGCAACCTGAGGGATTTCTGCGCATCTACGTCACAGGTGTCATGCATCTTGCTCGCACTCATTAGTTTTAGTTCCTCAACTTAAGGAAACCTTTTCTACTTGTAAATGTCACAGTTTTAGATTAAGTGTATGGTAAATAATTTCCTTATTTCTATTTCGTCTTCTAACAAAATCTGTTGTTATATTCCAATTAACTAATGGTTAAGATTTATGATATATAAAAATGTTTTTATGGTTTTACTTTTATAACTGGACTCGTGGTAAATTTTGCAATTCATGCTTAATTTTAAATTACTTTAATACATAAGTTAATTGGTAAATTTGACAAGATAGTTTCCTTATCAGAGTATAGAAAGGGTTAGTTATTGATAAGCTTTTAATAATATGATGAAATTTGGCAAGATATGCGTAAACGTTGAAAGTTGCAAACAATTATCAAAAAAAAACTAAGATTAGAAAAGTTGTATGTCGACCATTCCTAGGCTATAGATATCTATACGGTTTTGTTTAAATTACCATTCATATTGTAAAATTCAAGATTGCTTTTAAATTGGATCTAAACTTTAGATTTAAAGGTTAGATGGATTTACAAAAATAGGGCTAGGCAAAACCTTACCTATAAAGTTAGGACCAACTACATTTATATTTAGAATGCAACACTCACCTGGGCCATAAAAACGCCTTCCTTTGCTAACGTCGTAAACGCTTCCATTTACGGCAACCAAAACGCGACCATCCGGCTGATTTCCATCGTACTGACGCAGCTCTTTAACGGTGAAATCACGGCGAATTTTGGGTAACTCCGGTTCAGATGGCTTCGCAACACCCACGGAGGGCACTTCAGTGCGATCCCGAACAATTTTATAGACCAAGAAGCATATTATAGCCAGTAGAGCCAAGTTCATGGGGCTGTACAGGATTTCGCGCAGTATGTTTCCCAGAAATGAGGATTCATCGTTAGTCAGATTATTTCCGATTTCCTTGTCGTAAACAGAGTTTTGTGCCTGATCTGCACCAATTTTGGAGTCCATCTTGGGGGATGTGAAGTATATTTTCTCACTGTGATGTTGTTATGCGCTGAGTCTGAATATTGCAATATTGTACATCAACCTGCAAATCGCCATCATGAATAGACGATCATTTAGATATACACATTCGGGCGGAATCCAACAGGAAGGTAAATATATGTAGGCGCATCAGTAATGGACCGCAATATATGTACATATGTAATTGCAATGTTAATTCCAAAGTTTACTCGCTTACCCTTTATCCGTGTCTTTTCAGGGCGTTTATTTTCATATTCACGTGCGTGAATCCTCCTGCACAAGGTGGATTTCACAAGTTAATGCAGCTAGCGCTCGGAAACACCGACCTTTTGGGACTTACTGTATTTACAAATTTGCGAACTATCTATGAAAATTGTGACAATGATTTAGTAGGTTAAAGGTCTTTCATTACTGAAAATAATCGACAGGAACGATAACGGCATGTTGTCAAGCAGAAAAATTGGTATTATGTGTTGTTTCCACTGAAAATATGTAGGGGGAACGAATGGAAACCGAACGTTTTTATTGTTATTCTCTATAAAATATCGTAATTTTCAAAACAACACTAGAATCTAAAACTGAAATCTGAAATTTAAGCTGTTTTTTGATGTTTTACAGATCCGAAAGTTTTGTCAAAGAAATATGTTTGAAAACTTTGTTTTGTGTAAAGTTTACTTCAATATTAATAACAATTATATTTTATTTCTAAAAGTTTATTACGCTTTCCACAACATTCAAATAGACCTCTGTAGAGTGGACCATTTTAATTCGATGATGAGAATATTCTGGAACAGCATGTCTCAGTGGGATATGGCTATCTCAAAATTGAATTATGGATGCGTTCGCAGTTTCTCCCATCTCTATGGCCTGCCATAAAAGGTCACACTTATATTTTGTAAATATTTTTTTAGTTAACCCATTAAATAATCCATTAAATATAAATATAAAATACAATTGATGCCAAATGATAGCCACACGCGTTGTGAGGCTACAAACACTCAACAATGTGTACCAACGGGCGTTTTTACGGAGTAAAAGCACAAAAAACACCAAGAAAGACAACGTAATCCGGCAGGGCAAGATATTTAGCTCGTTGTTTGGAAATCGGCTGAAGGGCAGCCATAGCCGCTGGTACCCGTCGCCCGATGCCAGCAGCACACCGGGCGGTAGCCAGCACGCCCTGAAGTTCGGAACACCCCACTCGCACTCGGCGCCGGACAACAATCGGCGCATGTCCGTTCTGAACAAGGTCTTCATGACGAACATCACCGACATTTTGGCCACCGGCTCCGTGGCCGATTCCATCGTGGGCCGGGGTGTGCAAATCTCCTATGTGAAGATCACCAGCGACTTTACGCGCATCAATGTCTACTGGCTGGGCAAGGACGGAAGGGCCGACGACGATGAGCTCGAGGAGAAGCTGAATCGCCTGAGCGGCCGACTGCAGCACGAGCTATCGCAGCTGCACCTGATGGGCGAAGTGCCGCGCATAAAGTTTGTTCGCGACAAGACGAGCAGCGGTCTCTATCAGGTCCAGGAAGTTCTCTCCAAGCTCGATCATCAGCACAAGCACCCTGCGCCTAGTTCTAGTCCGAAAAGCCATTCAGAGCCAAATGAAATCGATGTGGAGAGTGAATGGCCGGAGATGCGCCAAGATTTCCTCAGTTTTAACCAAAGCTCAGTTATGGACAAGATTCTCGGCAAGATGCGCAAGTCCAAGGATGCCTGGGTTAACCATAAGCTAAGTGTTTCCAAGACTGGAAGCCCTTCTTGAATGTACATAAAGCTAAATTAAAATAAAATAATCGTTAAAAAAAGCTTCAAATTAAATGCCAAAGGTTATCATAATAGATAAAGCCCCAAAATATCGAACGCAACCCAATAATTATGGTGCCTGCGCACTGGGGCACGTCCACTATCGATAGGCGGAAAGGGCTGACATGCGCAAAGTTAAGAAACAGTTAGGTGGACAAAAACCAATTAATCGGGAATAGAATAGAAAGGAAGGACTTAATAAAATTAGTTAATCTATAGATACTATTAATTAGTTATTAAAAGCGATAATCAGCTGTTGCAGGTAGTATCCAAAAAAGCTCCCTGCACTGCCATGGATAGCAACCGATGAATATCGATACCCAACTTGGGCTACTCGCCAGTGAATCAGCCAGATTATGATTGCCTTTTGGCATCTCTAGTTTTAGTCGAAAAAATTCATTGAAACAGTTTGGAGTGGTGGAGTGTGGTGATAGTCGTCAGTTTGCACAATAAGAATATTTGCTAAAGACAGCCCCAAATTGTTAATGTTAATCTAGCTGTGCGTGGGGCGATGGACATGACATGAACACAAACACTACACTGTTACGCCTGAGACTGAGAACCGAGAAGCGAAGGAGGATTGGAAAAGTCGATGATAATTCCCATTTCCTTGGCAGTATATATACAAATTCTTTTTGTGTAAATGTCGATAAACAGTTTTGCTTGCAACCCGACAACCTTTAGATGTCGCCACCGCCACTCGCGAGTTCTCAGAGTTCCATTATAATCAGACACTCGGCATGAAATAAAACAAAAGGTTATTGTGGTGGTATATCGGGTTAACTTAACTTAACCGTGTGGGAGAATGAGTAACTCTTGAACGATTCCGAACACACGAGCACTCTCCAATCTCCAATAACGATTTCGGTTTGCAGTTGCTTACGCATATTTGTTTTTTTTTTTTATATCTCGTATCGTATCGTATCTCTTGCAAACCCCACAAACGCTAAATGCTAAATACTACACGAAATGGAAAGTGTCCTAGTGCATAAGTAACTAATTTGGAACACACTACAGTAATTGCAGAGGAGTGCAGTGCAGAAAACCCAGAGATCAGAGATCAGAACACAAGCCACCCGGGGACGAGTCAGAGTCAGGATCGCAGTTCGATCCGAGAGCCTAATCTAATCCGATTGCGAGAGACCCCATCCACATCCAGAACTTGCCGCAATGGATAACCTAATCACGATTGTAAACAAGCTGCAGGATGCGTTCACATCGCTCGGCGTCCATATGCAGTTGGATCTGCCGCAGATCGCGGTGGTCGGTGGCCAATCAGCTGGCAAGAGTTCTGTTCTGGAGAACTTCGTTGGCAAGTGAGTATGCCCTATATCAAAAAAACACCTGGCCCACACTGCGTTTGATAATAGGAACAAATCGATTTTTCTGCTGTCGAGATTCCCTGATACAATAATCAATTAGTTAATCACCTTCCATTATAATGATTCAGAGCAGCCCTTGTGGTCTAACCCAATTTATAGTTCTGGGAACCTTTATGAATCAGCTTTCAAAGCCCATTGATAACACCACCCCCGCTTTTTGTTTATTAACAATCTAGTATTATAATTTTTCTGCGAAACAAGTGTACCTCCAAGTAATGGTCAAACATTATCAGCAGTGGGCCTTAACTTAATTATGCTGATAAGAAAATTTATCTTTTTTTTGCATGGGTTCTGAAAGTTTAATCAGAAATGTAATCAAAAAGAAAAGATATTGGTATACAACTAACAAACTAAATTGTTAACCAAAAATCTAAAATGTATGTATCAATGGCCTGTGTTTGTATCTATAAGCCTGCGCTGTCTCTCATTTTCCTTTGTTAGTGTCCACTCTAAATACAAGCATAATAAAAAACAATGGCTTACGCCCCAAAAAGTATTGATAAGGCAAATTGTATTGTATTTGGGTTTCTCCTTTACAACCGATTTGTTAAATAATAGGAATTCTAAATTGTTTACCCAAATGTCGCATGTCTCTTGACTTTTCATTGCACTTGCATTAAATGTTTTGTAACCCATTCGGTTATCTTATCTTGGCCAAGAGAATACCCAGAGTTGCTGAAAATGTGGTAATCAATAGGCACATCAATGTATTTACCAACTGCATTAAAACATGTAAAGTTGCTGCTTACATAAGCTCACTATGTTCAAAATAGTCCAGATAGATTTCGCATGCGCGGTCGCCTGTACATACATATATGCAGGGTATGTGGGTATGTCAATTAGGGTGGTTTCCCCTGTTACAAGTAGAGCAATCGAAAGAAACGAGAGAGGAAGCCACCTTCGGCAGGCCAAAGTTTTAATGTCTTGGAAATTAACGCTAATGTTGGCTAAAAAATATAAACAGGAAGAAGCCGACAACTGCCGTTTTTCTAAATTATTTTTCTATGTACTTCTATTTAGGATCTGTCCAGGCTAGAGCTTGAAAATTATCGATATTTTCGATATTTTTTCATTATTGATCCGATAATATCGATGCTTTGAAGGAAAAACTCTGATTGAGTATCTAGAAATAACAAATAATTATAAAAAAATTAAGAATAAAAGAAAACAATTTTCAAAAAAGTTCTATGTAAGCTTTTTTAAATTGTACTTCCGACCAAAATTGTATTTCTTATAAAAAAAAGGCCTTAAACCTTAAGAGTAGAATATAAATTTTATATTTAAAATATAAGATTTTTTTAAAAATATTTTTTATGGTATTTTTTATCTTGACTCATATGTTATTAATTGAATTTACTTCACAGAGATTTCTTGCCTCGTGGCTCTGGTATCGTGACTCGAAGACCTTTAATATTGCAACTGATCAATGGAGTCACCGGTGAGTTAAGCCCTTTGCATCACATTTACCTCCCATAAATAACAACCTACCTGTCATTCGTTACAGAATACGGAGAGTTCCTTCACATTAAAGGCAAAAAGTTCTCGAGCTTCGATGAGATCAGAAAAGAAATCGAAGATGAGACGGATCGTGTGACCGGCAGCAACAAAGGCATTTCAAACATTCCAATTAATTTGCGCGTCTACTCGCCGCACGTACTCAATCTAACTCTGATCGATTTGCCGGGCCTGACGAAGGTGGCAATTGGCGATCAGCCGGTGGACATTGAGCAGCAAATTAAGCAGATGATATTCCAATTTATTCGCAAAGAGACTTGCTTGATTCTGGCCGTTACGCCGGCCAACACGGATCTGGCCAACTCGGATGCTCTGAAGCTGGCCAAGGAGGTGGATCCGCAGGGTGTGCGCACCATCGGCGTGATAACCAAGCTGGATCTGATGGACGAGGGCACCGATGCCCGGGACATTCTGGAGAACAAGCTGCTACCGCTGCGGCGGGGCTATATTGGTGTGGTCAATCGATCGCAGAAGGACATCGAGGGGCGCAAGGACATCCACCAGGCGCTCGCCGCCGAGCGCAAGTTCTTCTTGAGCCACCCCTCGTACCGTCACATGGCCGATCGTCTCGGAACCCCCTACTTGCAGCGGGTCCTCAATCAGCAGCTCACCAACCACATTCGGGACACGTTGCCCGGCCTGCGGGACAAGTTGCAGAAGCAGATGCTCACTTTGGAGAAGGAGGTGGAGGAGTTCAAGCACTTCCAGCCGGGCGATGCCAGCATCAAGACAAAGGCTATGCTCCAGTAGGTCCAATAATCTGTATTAAAGCCCTGCATGAATGGATTCAATGTTTTTTTTTTTAATTTTTTGTTTTATATGCAATGAATTAATTAGAATTTTGAGTTTACTAGAATTGAATGAATTTGAATTTTGAGTTTAATAGAATTGAATGAAGAATTTAAGAAGAAAGGCCCATTATTTTGTGATTAAATCTGCATGAATTTTATTTTCTAAGCAGTTAACATTGATTTGCTAAAAGTTTTCCACCTTTTGTTCTCAAAAGAAAGCACAAAAAAAATCTAGCAAATTCAAAAAATTCATAAAAATTTATTAAAATGAATTAGAAAAACATTCAATTTATTTCACATAGAATTGAGTTAAACAAATCAGAAATTCCATGGCATACTATGATAAAACAAAAAGTGTATCTAATCTGTATCGCTTGCTTAACATATGATTCTTACCTAATCCCGCACACAGAATGATTCAGCAGCTGCAGTCGGACTTTGAGCGAACCATCGAGGGCAGCGGCTCGGCCTTGGTCAATACAAATGAGCTCTCGGGCGGCGCCAAGATCAATCGCATTTTCCACGAACGGTAGGTTTCTCTGGAGAGTATAGAATCCCTTTATAACATTTCGTATCTCCCCACAGTCTGCGCTTCGAGATCGTCAAGATGGCCTGCGACGAGAAGGAACTGCGGCGAGAGATCTCATTCGCTATCCGGAACATTCACGGCATTCGCGTGGGCCTCTTCACACCCGACATGGCGTTCGAGGCGATTGTCAAGAGGCAGATAGCGCTGCTCAAGGAGCCGGTCATCAAGTGTGTGGATCTAGTCGTACAGGAACTTTCTGTGGTTGTGCGCATGTGCACATCTAAAGTGAGTCATTGTAACCATTAACCGATTCGTATATTTATTGATTGTTTAATTGTACCATCCAGATGAGTCGATACCCACGTCTGCGCGAGGAGACCGAACGCATTATCACCACGCATGTTCGCCAACGCGAGCACAGCTGCAAGGAACAGATCCTCCTGCTGATTGACTTTGAGCTGGCCTACATGAACACCAACCATGAGGACTTCATTGGTTTCGCCAAGTGCGTATTGAATGCCCCCCTGTTTGCCCGATCGTTTCACAAATATGCCTTCTGTTTGGTTATAGCGCTCAAAATAAATCTGAAAATGCCAATAAAACTGGCACGCGTCAGCTTGGCAACCAAGTTATACGTAAGGGGCACATGGTCATACAGAACCTTGGTATCATGAAAGGTATGTATACCTTACCGACGATATTCTGAAAGTTTCAGCATATTGCAGCGGAGTTTAGGGATCAATATCTTTTTTGTGTACGGTGGTGGAACGTTAGTAACGAGTTGCGGGGGCGGTTCACTTTTAATCTTGTATTTTTGCTCTCTTTTATGTGGTTAATATCTTCGCAAAAAAAAAGATATAAAAATGGGACGAACTGGGCCGCTTAATAAACGATTTTTCAGTTCTGCTACAGGTATTCTTTTCATCTTGTTTTCTTTTACCTTTGCCTTGGATTGAGTTGCTTTGTTAAAGGTTATGTTTTAAAGTTTTAATTTATCAAAATTTATCAACGCTTTGGGGCCGGGACCTCTTTAACCCTTTTATATTTTTGGCCTTTTCATGTGATTAACATCTTTTTTATTAAAAGAGAAAGAAAAATCGGGACGATCCGGACTTAAACGGTATTTCAGCTCTCCTGCTGCAGGTATTATGTTGAGTTGTATTACTTTTCTGATTAGACCATAAAATCCATTTCCATACACTCACTCTCAACTGGCATGCCATTTTCTTCATTCATCTATGGCATCGATAGCTTTTTACGGAGCAATGTGAGTAGGTTGCTCCTCCATTCACCAACCAGTTCACCCCTCATATCTCATATATATACCATCCGTTTTGGTTAGGCCTAAGATGTTCGACTCCAAACCCCTGCATGCTTTATTTCCAACTTTCCTGACCCACAGCGAGTTTTTTGTGTTTCAGCGCAATATCATGAAAAACTGGCGAAGAAAGTGAGAGTGAAAACTAAGTAAGATAGACAGATAAGCGTTGGGCGATAAACATAACGAGCTTTACTAATCCAAAAATTTGAACTGAACCCAAGGGGTTCGTAACGCTGTAATATTTACTGCTTTTCGGCTGCTCCACTCCTTGGAAACCTACTGACTTTTCCATGTGTCTTGCAGGTGGATCGCGTCCCTATTGGTTTGTGTTGACTTCCGAGAGTATCTCCTGGTACAAGGACGAGGATGAGAAGGAGAAGAAGTTCATGCTGCCGTTGGATGGTTTAAAATTGCGGGATATTGAACAGGGATTTATGTCAATGTCTAGACGTGTTACATTTGCTTTATTTAGTCCCGATGGACGTAATGTTTATAAGGTTAGTAATTTTTGTTAACATACAAAAAAATGAGTTTTAAATGATTTCAGAAACAAAAAAAGAAAAAAACCAGAGAAAAACTAAAGTTTAAATCAAAATAGTAACCAAACTAAACTCAAAACTAAAACTTAAACTAAAACTAAACAAACGACAAAAGCAATCGATGTTTTGAACATATTTTTGTGAATGTGAAAATATTTCAAATTTCATTATATACCCCAATTTGAATCCTTTGGTTTGGAATAGTCGGGCAAGAGATCAGTTAATTATTTTTTTGTATAATATAAAAATTACTATGTTTTTATCAACATTTAAGTCGAATTAAAGGAAAAGGAGCTTGCCGCGTCGTAAACTCCTTTTGCTTTTTTTACTTTGTGATGCTATAAGCTTAAGAAGTTCACGACAATATTACAATAGTAGTATCACATCATAATTTAATCTCTAATATCTAATATCTAATCGTATTGAAAGCTTGTACACTTCAAAGCAGTAGTCAGAAAATGAAACTCTGTTTCGAAAATGCACATATCTCATGAAAAGCGAAAATCGCTATTGATTTTTTTGAAGCTTAATAATCAATAGCGGTTTTCCAAGTCCTTCTTCCTACTCAAAATTACGCAAAATAACAGTTTTCAAAAGATTTTCGAACTTTTCGCTTAGGATGAGGAATCTAAAGTGATTGTTGAACTTCAACAATGACTTTATTTTCCTTTCCTTCAAGGGACTACTAGAAAAGGGCGTTTTCATTTACCCCATTGTAAGCAAGTCGACCTTCCCTCTAGTATCCCTAAAGTGCCAGAATTTCCTCTATCGCTCTATTGCTCTACTGCCTGCAAATACTCGGTATACACAGATTATATATTTATTTTTAAGGACCAGTTTGTTATGTAAAAAGCAATTTAAAGACCGACTGCACATTTTGAACATATATTTTTGGAAAATCGATATCGCGTTTTCAGCACGAACACACAAACTTCACGGACCGTGAACTCCTGGATACTGAAGTCCTGATCTAGATGTTAATACTATATTATATTGAAAAACAACAAACAGTATTCACTTCCCAACAAAGGCGACACCACACACAATATTAATTTCTCTTAAATGTTTCATGTTTGTTATAGTTATCATTTTAACAGTCGGTCAACGGTTCCACAACTACACAGATCGACATGACTTCAATGGGTATATGTACAAATATATGGCGAATAACCGAGCAATCGATGGAGGGACAGAATCTCCAGTCCCCAGCAGAGACATCCCGAAAGCGAAGGCACAGAAGTCCGTTGTCTGTCCGTCCGTTTGAGTACCAGGATCTCGGGAACCACACATAGCGATAGATCGAGTTTACTTCCAGAACTTTGACACCTAACCTAACCTTTCCCCTTCAAGGATTTTTGATATTAAATAGGAGTTCATTATCTAATATAATTGAAAAACAAACAAAAATTAATTCTTAAGATTGTGCTATATATGTTTGACAAACTGTTTCATCGCAACTGTTTTGTTTTTCTGTGTTCGCATTGACGCCGCCGAAACACACGGTTTTTTAGGACTACAAACAACTGGAGCTGTCGTGCGAGACCGTGGAGGATGTGGAGTCCTGGAAAGCCTCCTTCCTGCGGGCTGGTGTCTATCCCGAGAAGCAGGAGACCCAGGAGAACGGGGATGAGGTGCGTATACAGAAAGCAATCGTCACGGGAATACAATTTCTAGATACCAATCGGCACTAAGATTTAATCTTCACACCAATATGGATTTAGTATTCACTATATTTTAATATAGTGAAAAATATCAGATCAAGTTTAAATACCGTATGGACTTCTATATGGGATATTTTACCCAAATTTCAGTTTGTTAGTTTTTTTTAAATTTATCTTCTTGTGATATTTACAACTAATAGTTAGGCATTAAACGAAAAAACACCAAGTATTCATGGCAGCATAATTGATACATGTTTATATATCTTTGTTTTTGCTGTTTCATTGACCGAATCTACAAAAAAACTCGCCAAATTGACGCTTTATGTATATTCGTCATCCAGGAAGGACAAGAGGTTTGTTGATCTTTGAACTTTTCGGCTATATCGTATTTAGTAAATACCCCCCATGAAAGTTTTTTGTAAACTTGTGCGAATTTGCTTACTAATGACTAATACATTATTTAAACATCCTTTTGATTAATTAAGACTCGTTTTGTTCGATTTATTTGTTTTTTAATTTTTTAAGACAATATAGTGAGGTATTTTAGCCGTTATCTAAAACAATGAAATTTTAAAAATGCTCTATAAAAAACTAATTTATCACTAATTATTAATTGGTTCAGGATTTTTCTACGGCTTTAAATGTCATCACATTAAGTAAAAGTAATATTGTATTGTATAAAAGAAGATAGTACACCTGGAAATATAAAGATGGTGGCAACCCTAAAATGGCTAGAGATGCGATTGAGTAGAATATCACAGTCCGAGAGGGAATCTTATCTAATCCATTAATTACTCACAAATATGTATTCAAACACTACCCAATTAAGAGATAACCCTTGTTTCTTGGCCTCAAATGATCTCGGGCTGTGATATTTTCATAATTAACCCCATTTTCGGTCGAGAGAAAGTAGTTTGTTCGCTTCTTTTACCCGATATATTTATTTAACTAACTTAAAATTACAGATTACAGATTATCTCATAGTCGGGCCACTCGACTATTGCATTGTTACTTGTTTCTTTTAACAATTGTGAACATGTTGTTCTCTTCTATTTTTCCGCCACCTACCGAACAAAACGACAAATCTATGAAACGCCAAAAAATATACACAAAATTAATAATTTCTTCCGGTTGGTTTTATAGCAACAAGTATGTTGATTTCAATCGTTTCCATTGAGTTCATTTTTATTTATGTTATTGTTGAATTTTCCACTTTATAGTTATACATTTAAATCAAATAGTCGGATACTCGACTATGGAGTTCTTTCTTGGTTTTTTTTTAATCTCAAGACGATTTGTCTCATTTATGAGTAAATAAAGGTCATACATACAGGAGAGGAGCTAAATACCATTTTCAGAAATGACTGAAAAATCAAGGTGTTACCATCCGTCTCTTCCTTAAATATTTATGAACTTATACTTTACCTAAATGTGGCGGCCGTCGTGTGCATGTAATTTGGTCTTTTTCAATTATTTCTTATTATATTTATCGGTATAATGATTTTATTCAACGTTCAAAATATTTAAACGCATGGAACTTAACATGTTTTTTGTCCTAATAAAGTGAGACTTTGGAAAATCAATAAAAAGGATTGTGAGATTTTTTTTAACGTGTGAACTTAGTAAAATTCATATTCGAAATATAATATGTGATGTTTTGGGTTCGCGGAGGTACAGCATTCGTTCGACTTTATAAAAGGTTACGGATTAAAAACAATGACAATGCACTTTAACTTTTGTATTCCGAACCGAAATAGTTGGCACCACTAAAGGGAATTGAATTTATAGATGTAAAACTAAAGTTTTATGGACAAAATATGTAGAAAGATAACAAAATTTTAAAGAGGATCTGGTGGCGGCCCCCTGAAGTAATTTGAATATACCTACCCTGATTGTGGAATGTCTTATGGAACAGTTGCGGTCCACATTTAAAGGGATCTCTATTAAAAAAGTTATTATTCTTGTAAAAATCCTATATATATTTTGAAGACTATCTTAGACTTAATTGGGATGGATATATTTTAAATTCCTTGTCTATCGTCTCGTATGATTTTTTTTTACAAGCTATTACGACTGAAAAGGACCAGTATTTCTCTATACGAACTGCATGCAAAAGCCTCTTGGGAATTGTACAAATTTTCACCCGTGGGTCAGCGGTTTTCTGCAGCGTTCCTTCTTGTTTTTATGTGCACGATTCAGTTGGTCATTATGTTTTCGAATATTCGTTCAGTTGGTTCTTTTGTTCTTAATACCTATGCACTTTGTAAAATTATCAACGATCATTTATGGACTATCAATTCCCCCAAACCCGCCCTTATACAAATTTCCGCCAATGCAAACAACAGTCGGCCAGCGAGGAGAGTTCCACCGATCCACAGTTGGAGCGGCAGGTTGAGACCATCCGCAATCTGGTGGACTCGTACATGAAGATCGTGACCAAGACCACGCGAGACATGGTGCCCAAGGCGATTATGATGCTAATAATAAACAACGCCAAGGACTTTATCAACGGGGAGCTTCTGGCACATCTCTATGCGTCTGGTGATCAGGTAAGCTAAATCCTGAGAGTCTATTAAATAGGGGTGTCACCGAATAATGTCCCATCGATGATTACAGTCCCAGATGATGGAAGAGTCCGCCGAGTCGGCCACGCGACGAGAGGAGATGCTGCGTATGTACCGTGCTTGCAAGGATGCTCTGCAGATCATAGGTAACTTTCAAAACATTTAGAATTCAAATGGAGATTTCTTACCAAATAAATTCCCTTTAAGGCGACGTATCCATGGCCACTGTGTCCTCGCCATTGCCTCCGCCGGTTAAGAACGATTGGCTACCCAGTGGCTTGGACAACCCACGTCTCTCCCCTCCGAGTCCGGGTGGAGCCCGAGGTAAACCAGGACCTCCCGCACAGGTAAAACTATTTGTTGGTATATTATACACACTCTGCTGTACTCACCGAATCCCTTTCCCCATCGCAGAGCGCCTTAGGTGGACGGAACCCACCATTGCCACCAGCAACAGGCCGCCCGGCTCCAGCGATTCCGAATCGCCCAGGAGGTGGGGCACCACCGCTACCCGGCGGTCGTCCTGGAGGAGCTCTGCCCCCACCAATGTTACCATCGTGAGTATCCTCGCCTGAGACAATCTTTTGCATATGCTCACTACCAAAATACACATACTTAATCATATATGGGTCATTATTATGCAATTATTTTTGTATTTTAGTAGAAAATATATAATAGATATAATAATGACCCATATATAAGGGGTGTCACAGAAATCCTAAACGATTCGGGCAATCTTAAGCGTCGCCACAGATCTACAAAAAATTATCAAATGTTTGTTGTATTATATTGCAATGATTTTTGAATTTCTAAGACTTTTCTGTTAAAATTGTCTATATATATCAACTTATATATTCTTGATCAGCAACACCAGCCAAGAGGAAGTGGTCTTCTTTCCTTTGTAGGTTCAATCGAAAGCGATTTATGTGGCACCTCCTGTGTATTTAAGTTGTATTTTTAAAAGCCTTTTCAATAACAACTAGAAGTGCCCTTTGAGTTACATTTTCTTGAAGAGTCCTTTTCCCATCCGTGAGTATTCAGTCTAGCATAATCCGATGCGACTTCGCCTATGTATATTTTTGAATGGGTATTTCATATAGTCAAGAGGTGAAACATTTATATTATGTATTTAATTTATGTTCTTAACTCTTACTAACTAAACATTACTAACTTTTAACGAGAATCATCAAACCTATGTTGAAAATCAGGAACTAAGATTCTACGTATTGGAACTGCGTGGGTTCCATGGGATTATTTGGTAGACTTTCAAAGGTGTGGCAAGAAAAGAACATCTGTGGCACTGCGAAATGGAATTGAAGAGAATCTGAGATTTAAGCGAAACCGATTTCTGTGAAACCCCTCTCTATAAATAGTCGAGTAATCTGAAGAACTTATAACTCCTCCTATCACTGTTAATCCTAAGTTGAATGATTATGTTCTTGACCAAGATATTTTGAACAAAATTAATAAAACTGTTTTTGCTGTCTCTTTTTTTCTCTTTCTATGTGATACGATAAAACTGAAACATTCTTAACACGACACCACATCCAAACCACAAATGAATAACAATTAATGTAAAATATCATTAAAAATGTACTATATCAGACGTCGTTAAATTGTTGTCAGCATCGCGATTCGCGACACATCTAGGGGATGAACCTTCAAAAAGTAGCTTGCTGACGATTAACCCACACAATACCCAATCCAATTCTACTTTCAACAATTGTAATTTGATATTATTCCGGCAGAATCCAAAATCCGAGATCAGAAATCCGAAATCAACAACGATGGGAAATCGATACATTTAAATCGCTTGCGTATTATTGTAGTCATATATAATCTGAAGCGTTGAAACCGATATAAATTCTTAATATGTGAAAAGCAACTAGTCGAGATGCACATGATTTCTTTAATTCCATAAGATGTCTTTCGTAATGTCTACTTTCCTGTGTAGATATACAACATATGATCTATTATATATGATATATGTACAAATGTGTGTGCATTTGTTCGTGCATGTCTAATTATTATCTATTATTTTATGTCCCCTTATCAATGGCATACGCTCAAAAGTTATGTAAACTATTTGTATGGGCAGATGCTTAGTGACGATATTAACCAATGATCTTAATTATATAGCTAACTATTAATAAATAGCTTTCGTTAACTGCATTGTGTTGTTGTTGATGTTGAACTATAAAACCCAATTAAATTAGAAAATGTTAGGTAAAGCAGCGTTGAAAACATTTCAAGTCAGTCACAAAGTATTTCCTTGAACTTAAAGCTAAACACTAATGATATATAAATATAAAAATACCCCTTCCATTTAATCGATAAAGTATTGGGCTATAAACTGATTGAGATTGCTTTCGTTTTTCTGCTTAAAAAATTAAAAATTTAGCTGGTTCGGTTACTTTTCTTATGTAATCTATGTAAGAAAAATGTGGAATTGCTAGCTGTCCCGTTTCCAAGAAACGATTAAGTTACAGGATTAAGTTAACGCTTACTTGAATTGTCCATTCCTTGAAATATTTTTAGGCTTTAATTTCACTTTGATGAAATAGCAATACTTTCATGTTTTATGTAACCAAATCGCAAAGATCTTTTCGAGTGGTTTGTATCGATTCCCAATAACATACAAATATTATTTAACATAATTTTATAGAGCCAATGTCAAGTGTCTTTTTAAGTTTGACATTAAACCGATTTTTTGCCACCGCAACCATAAACTAATATACGTGTTTCCAATATTTATATGTAAAATGTATTATTTTTAATGTTGATTACAAATATAAGTCATGAAAATACTCTTGTGACTTACTCAAATGGATTGTGACGATGGAAATTGCAGCAACTTATATTACATATGACCAGTTTACGTATACACAAATAAAGTGCATAAATAAATACATAAATTGTTCGTATTACATAAGTGTGTATTGCTTACTGGCTTTCTGGCGGGACAAGTGTACATACATAGCGAAGTCGCGTTTGGAAACGCTAAAGGGAATACTTTTCTGGCCTTTCTAGATCGACCCCCCTAGGATGCCTCACATTTCTTATAAATATATACCAGGAATGAAAAAAAAAATCACCATAACCTAAAAATGTAATGTCAAATCTATGATTCAAACATATCATTTTGATATTATATAATTTCGTAAAAGTTATAACAATACTGTAAATATTGTAAAACAAGATAAACATAATCTTGATCTTTAAAAAATTTCAAATTAACCTGCACATATCAATCTGATCTTACGGACCCTGGTACATATTTATATATTTATGTACGAGTGATAATTAGGGGGCCTCGAGTATATTAACACACTTTTGCTATTAATTCGAAGAGCTGAGATACCAAATTCAATAATCCCACTTATCATTTCAAGCCGTGTCACTGGATCCGTCGGCGGTGCCATTGTCCAGCAGTCGGGGGCCAATCGATATGTTCCGGAGAGTATGCGTGGACAGGTTAACCAGGCCGTTGGCCAGGCGGCCATCAATGAACTATCCCACGCCTTTAGTTCCCGATTCAAGTAATGCAAGCAAAATTAAGCACAATATGCAGAGTATGCAAATTATTTACCGACAAAATAGCAAACACTTACGCGTCATCATATCACCATCCACCATTCAAAATCAAAGAAGTATAACACAAATCAAAGCTTTCAAGATGTCTGTTGGTTTTAAATCTATGGAAAAATTCAGCGGAGTGTCACAAGATCCTTGGATATTTCCCACATACAAATTATTGCTTTCGAATTGATTTCATCATGGAACATTTACTTTTAAAAGTATATTTAAACGTGAAATAAATAAAATTATTTTCCAAAATGAGTATTTATGAATAAATGTATGTATGTAAAGCGATCTTAGGTTTATAGTTTTGTTTACAGAGGGTATTATCATACGAATGCGAATGCAACAACGCCCGCAGAAGTGCAATAAAGCCAGTATTTTTTTAAAGCTCAAATATAACTGAAGGATAACCAAAACAAAATCGTTAATTGCAGTGTTACAATGCTTCTACATTGATGGTAAATTTATCTATATACTCACTTTAAAATTTGTATGGACTATCCTAAAAACGAAGAAATGCGAACAAATATTATTTAGCATTGATATGTCCGCAAAAAATATTAAAAAAAACACTACAAAACTATTCAATGGAAATATTATTATGTGTGTTAAGGTTATGGTCTTTAATGATTCTTGTTTATAGTCGTATGTTAATAAGAAAATAAACTAAAACAAAATAATCAGCGTGTTCCTCAATCAATTGGTAACGGGCATTAAGGTAAGATTTATCTATATATATTGAAAAATTGTAATTTATGCTATTGAAGGCTCACACTTAAAAGCCGGCAGCGCTCAAAGGTATGCTATATTTTAATGGCACGAAATCACGAAAAATCTCAGTTTTTTGGGCTCTTACAACAGGAATGATGATCCAAATACCTTGCTGAGCTCGTAATTTAATTTCTAATCAAATGGCATTCAAACCTAAAAATTTTGGAATTTTGTAATTTTTTTGCAAAAAATCATGATGTAACCCCTTATCAAAAAAGCGAAAATTGATCAAAATATTAATTTTCCTGAAAGTGATGGGGATCGTTAGTTTGGGTCGTTAGCTGCTCGAAACAGTCGGTCTTTTAACTAACGGCCTTGATTTGTCCAAATTACGACCAAAAAACCACAAAAAAAAGGTTATTTTCGTCGAAAATTAGAATCCATATTTTCCACCCTAAAATATCAGTATTTTGGCCATAATAATGGAAATAATGGTCCAAATATGGAGTGCCATACCTCGTTGAACTCGTTATTTAATTCCCAATCCATTTGCATTCAAACCTAGAAATTTTTAAAATTTGTAATTTTTTCCAAAAAATTGTGATGTTACCCCTTATCAAAAAATCGAAAATTGATCAAAAAATAAATTTTCCTGAAAGTGATGGGGATCGTTAGTTTAGATCAATAGCTGCACAAAACAGTCGGTCTTTTAACTAACGGCCTTGATTTGTCCAAATTACGACTGAAAAACCACAAAAAAAAGGTTATTTTCGTCGGAAATTAGAATCCATATTTTTCACCCTAAAATATCAGTATTTTAGCCATAATAACGGAAATAATGGTCCAAATATGGAATGTCATACCTCGTTGAACTCGTTATTTAATTCCCAATCCATTTGCATTCAAACCTAGAAATTTTTAAAATTTGTCATTTTTTCCAAAAAATTGTGATGTAACCCCTTATCAAAAAAGCGAAAATTGATCAAAAAATAAATTTCCCTATAAGTGATGGGAATCGTTAGTTTGGGTCGTTAGCTGCTCAAAACAGTCATTCTTTTAGCTGTGAGCCTTGATTTGGTCAAATTACGACTGAAAACCCAAAAAAAAAATCGCTTGTTTTTGTGTAAATTTCAATTCAAAATTTTCAACCCTAAAAAATCAGTATTTTGACCGAAACAATGCGAATAATTATTCATAGTCTAATTTCAAGGGCAGGATTATGTTGTGGGCAATTCTTTAAAGTTTTATCCCAATGTTAGTATTGGTTAGAATCTATTTCTTGGCTATATCCTATTTTTACGTTCCAACGATCCGGAAATTAAAATAGATCTTCGCTGGGTTGTCCTTCGATAAAACGAAATCGTTTGTTTATTTCGGCTCAAAAGGTTTGTGGAATATAAGTAGATATAAAAGGAAATGATAGTAATACAAAAATAATAATATATTGTACAATATGTTAATGTTATTATTTTCTTATCTCTCTCTCTTTCATTCTCATACAGCTGCGTAATTCATTTATAATCATAATAATAATAATAATAGTTAATGGATTTTCTTTGCTTCTCGATGCCCCTTATCATCATCATCTGATCATCCTGATCATCATCGGCGACGGCAACTAATCAGTTTATATAGTTCTAAGCTGCGTCCTCCTCCGTTACAATTATATTTATCATTTATCATAGATATTATCTAGTTTTCCACAGTGCTATCTGGTTTGTGTTTTTCTCTTTATTCTTTAGACTTTCTCTGGTTGCTGCTGATCTCCGCTTTAAGTACGTGCGCACAGGAAATAACAATACATAATATAATATATATCCGCGTGGTCGTGTGTGTGTCTGTTCTGTATATATTTATATATAATATGAATGTGTTTGGCGGGGTAAATAAGAAGGAATATCAGGATCAGGATCAGTAAGACTCAATAGGACTCAGGACTCAGGGAAAACAGAAAACAAACACTCATTACATATAGAAATAACAAATAAACTGCGCGAAATGGCCTCAAACATTCAACTCGCTCCATCGTTTCGATTCCTTTAAAATGCTAAGCTTTTTTAAATGCTTTTGCTACATAATTTCACAATCGGTTTTAATACATTTCTGTTCTTTCTTTGTTAGTTGCCATTCTTTAATGGGGGGGATATCTGGGGATTTGACTTTTATTGTCTTAAATTAAAACTGAAAGTTGTCTTTTACACACAAAAGTTTACACACCATTTAGAATGAGAAAATTATTTATAATAAAACAAGATAAACGTAAAGAGTTTTGATTTGACAAGTAGTGTGTTTTTGTAAATATAAGTATAGAGATATAAATTAGACAAAATATATAAGTTAACTGCTTGGGTATATCCCTTGATTTCTCTGCCACCGAGAAAATGCTCTGATCTAGATGCGAATGCGACTGCGACTGCGATTGCGATTGCGTGTGTTCTGTTTTACTGTGTGTGATAACTTATTTTACAATAAATGTGTGACAACCACAGTGTGTGTGTGTGTTTTTTAGTGTTGCTGCTGCTGCGCAAGTTGCCCGTGTTGATTTATTTCCGATATTAGGCTAATCTGGTTTGCTTTAATACAGTTGCCGTGGCTCTACTCCTCGGCCACCGCCGGCTGTTGCTCGGGGAATCCGCTGACCTCCGTCTGCTCTACCTGCTGCTGGCCATCGAGCACGTACTGGATGCGCAGCCGCATCCTCAGTGTCGCCTGTGTAGCGAAAAAAAAACAAGGTTAAAGCGGACAGAAGGAGGAGGGAGAGTCTACTCACATTCGACGTGGCCACCACCCGCATCTCCTGCGTGATCACTCCTCCAGGAGGCAGCACCGAACCGGAGGGCGTCAGCATTTGCAGCTGGAAACTCTTCTGAACCGCCGCCTATAATTAAGAGATATTAAATTTTAAGTTTATATATTATATTTTTATAATATCAAATACTAATCGCACCTTTAGCAAGTACTGCTCCAGCGTATTGTCTGAGCTATTCGTGGTCGTCATATAGATGCGCATGCAGTCGCTGCCCCTGACCGAAACTAGTTGCACCAGCAATCCATCCCTGTCCAGCGCAGTCAGCCTGGGACCCTGTGGAGGCTGCCACAAGGATATACAGAGATTAACAAACGAAAGTATTAAAAAGTAGGAGTAGAAAACCCACCACTTCTACATTGTTGGGATTCAAATCGCCCAGCAAGCTGCCGCCATGGCCATCGACGATGAGGTTGCCCACGGGAGCAGCTGGAGCCGCCAAGGGTGGAGCAGCTCCGCCCAATCCGCCCAGCATGCTGGCCAAATCGTTGCCGTTCGTGGCTATGCTCGCCGAGCCATCCAGACCGGATCCAAAGCCACCCAGGTCCAGGCCACCCAGCATGTTATTCATGTTCGCTGCACTGCTCTGATTATTATCACCGGCCAAGGCCAGAATGCCGCCTCCTCCTCCTCCCACGCCCGTTGGCGCACCAGCCGTCGTCGTCGTCGTGGACGAGGGCGTGGTCAGATCCAAGTCGAGCAGATCCAACAGATCCTGATTGTTGGAAACGGGCGCCACCACCACATCGTTGGCATTGCGCGAGTTCTTTTTATGCACGGCATTCGAGAGATCCGTGGCTGCCACCAAATCGCCAGCGCCGCCCGCCGACAGATCCGTGCTGCCCAGCAGATCCAGCAGAATGTTCTGAATATAAGATACGATTAGAACAGCTCAAAGGTAGAGAATAGGATACACCTACCGTATTGTCGCCCAGAGTGTTCATATTGCTTTCGATTAGTGAGTGTCCGCCACCGCCACTTTCACCATTTTCAATGACATCCGGACTGTTGTCGTCGAAGGAGCCGCCGCCGCTCTCGCCGTTCTGCGAGCTTATCCTGCTGATCTGCATGGCCGGCATCTTCTCGAGAAGCGGCGGACGCAGATGCTTGTAGTGACCGAATAGCTGCGTGAACTCCACGCCCCGCTGCTGCAGATCGACATTCAGATGGCTGCCAAAGGAGGTGATCAGCGCCTGGATTTCCCTGTATTAAGAGATTGCATTAAATGACTAGCTTTATCTTTATCTTCAGAGCTACTTACTCTACGCACTGCTGCAGACGTGTGCTTAGCTTGGCTAGGGAGACCAGAGCATATTGCTTGCTTGTGGTCGAGACTTGAGCAGAGGTTAAAAACTTATGATACACAGCGATCAGATCGCTCTCAGTGGGCCGTTCAAACTCTGTGGATTTAGGGATTTCAAGGATTAACAATAAGTTGCTGCTAAAAGAGCTCAAGATCAACCCACCATCCTCGTTGGCGCCGTACATAAAGAGATCGCCGTACTCGCCTATGGCCCAGACGGCGACCTGGAGGAGCGGCTGCTTGTCCTCGCAATGATTGGCCACCTGCAGCGACTCCCAGAAACGGTTCGTGATGTACGTCTGCTCCGGGAGGGGACTGCTGGACACCAGCTGGATGGTGGAGGAGACGACGTCGTCGCGCACATAATTCCCGGCCGCAATAAGGACGCTCAACTGCGTATCCAAATGCCAGCGAGTGGTGGGCGAATAGCGTTCGGCGGCCAGGATCATGCCCGAGCTGCACTGCGCCTTGAACTCCGCGTCGGCCTTCTCGAGGAAGAGCAGCAGCTCCTTGGTCATTGTACGTATGTTTTGTGCATTGATCAGCGCGAACGAGAGCTCCATGGCACGCCGGCGTATGGAGACATCGGGATCCTTGAGGCACTCCAGAATGGTGGTGCGATGCCGCTGCACCGCCGACGTGTCCGCGTGGACGGTTCGCAGCAGCGTGTTCAGCGCCACATACCGTATGTTCTTGTCCGAGTTGAGCAGGAATCGTCCCAGGATATTGACGGCCAGCACGCGCAGTCCACCCTCCGAGCTGGAAGATAAATTCTCGCTGATTAGGCTATCCAAAAAAGGAAGGGTCTATCCACTCACCGTATATCCATAATAGAAAGCACCGTCTCGTAGAGAATCGTGTTGCCCACATTCTTGCTCGTCTCCGTGTTGGTGGCCACCTGGGCCAGGATGTCGTTCATCGCTTCCGAGGCGTCCGGATCGTTGTGGCCCAGAATGCGCAGCAGCCGCAGGATCTTCACCTGCAGGAAGGGATCGCTCACCCCGCTGACGTCGTGCTCCGGCGAATAGCCGCCCAGGATCAGGTTCTTCAGGATGCGCACCAGATTCGGCACAATCTGCGGGGTTTAGTTGTACACCAAAATATTATATTAATAGGTTCAAATTATAGCGATTACTTTATGCGGGAAGTACGGAAAATTGTGTGACAGTGAGAGCGTATAAACAGGTGTGCTATTTCATGTGTGTTGTGTTGTGTGTGTGAAAGACAAGGAACTTTAAGAGCTTGAAGAGTGCAAATGAACGAGAAACTAAAGGGCCCGGCTCAAGAACTCTCGAGACCCGTCGGCCATCTACGAAAAAACTCTATATCTATGTGTACATAGGTCGTGTGTGAGGAGCGAATCCTACCAAAAATTGCAAGTATATCGAAGACTCTCGGCCAAAGGTGAATCTCTGCTGGTTATGTATATGTCTGTGCAGGCAAAATGGTTGTATGGATCACAAAACTGATACGGATAGCATAGTAATATACAATATACATATTTAGGATCAGAGGGATCTGATCAAAGCGGTAAAGCAGGGAATAATTATAAGCTTTAAAGCACTTATGTAAGCAGTTGTCACAAAAATGATAATATTCTACATTTTAATAATATTTTTAAGATTCAAGATTCTAAAACAAAAATATTCTAGCGTTTTGTTGAGTGGAAGACCGATAAGATAAACATATTATCATCTTGTTATCAGAAATAGATAGATAACAAATCGTAGAGTCGTAGGTTTTTAAAAAGAATATTTTACGAATATTTAAATGGCAGACTACTTAAATTACAACTGCTTATATAGTACAAATATCGCTGCTTTGAGACATATACATAGGCGACAGCAAAAAACTCTTACAAAATTATACTTTTTACATAATATATATAATAAAGGTGTGTGGGGATAAGGTAGAAGGCGTTACAGTTTTATTTTCTAGTTAGGCACAACAATCATACCTCTCGATTTCCGCTATCCTGGCAAGCAAATTACAACAAATTTCATTTTGTGTTTGCGCGGTATTCGAATTCGATCAAAAACAAACAAGCGTTAAAAAATCGTAAGTATACAGGTTGATCGAAACGAAAAGGAGTGTGTGGGGTGTGTTCATAAATCGGCAAAGTAAGGGTATACAAAATGGGCAAAATGGGTGATAGCGGGAAAAAAATATAAATGATATATACACATATATATCGACTGACTACGTCTAGATAAATTTAAATGGGCGCGATAATTGTACACAAAACAAAAATCTCGGAACCCGCTTTTTGGGGGCGTTTCATTCTTTTCTCTCTGGAGCGCCACATTAATGAGGAGGAGGAGGAGCAGCAGCAGCGGCAGTTGATGAAGTAGGAGGCGCCTCTGCCGCGAACTGGTTCCGACTTGATTCTGGGACTTGATTCCGCCGCTGGCCACGTCAACTTACCTTCTTGAAATGCATCAGCGTGTCCGAGCTGTTCTCGCACATCTCCGTGATGAGCGTAACGCCAGTGATCAAAATGCCTGCAAAGATAGAGGGTTAGAATTGAACTCATCACATATTTATATAGTCTGTGACTCACAAACTCAAGATAAACTCATCTCAAGTATACTAAGCACTTGAATATTTCTCAAAATCTATTCGAAATAGCTATACCATGAACTCACCATGATTCTTCTCGCTGAGCAGGGAACGCGTGGCCGGCAAGAAGATCTCCATCAGCTCGGGCACACGGCGGATGACGCGAAAGGCGCACAGCGTCGCCTTCTTGCGGATGTACGTGTTCGGGGACTTCATCAGACGCTCCACCTCGCTGGCCAGATCCCGGGCCATTTCCGGTGAGGCGATCGCGCCCAGAGTGCACAGGGCCAGGCCCACGACGAACTGCGTCGAGCTGTTCAAGTCGCTGCATAAAGGATTTAGAATATATCAGTACATTTATATATATATATCAGTCTATAGCTTTAAAGTGCATCTTTAAATAAGATTTTGTAACTATTTTTAGCTTACTTATTAAGCTTAATGTCAATGTGTTTTGGTACAAATGCTTTAAATTAATCATTGAATGCTTAAGATTTATATTGAATTTTTAAAAACATCTTTAGCTACATATTTTCTACAATACAAGTGCCATTACAGATCTCCCGAATAGCTTACTTCTTCAAGCAGTTGGTGATGAGCAGGTGGACATCCTGCCGCTCATCCAGCAGCAGCATGGCGCCCAGGTATCCGATCCGCTTGTCTGTGAACCGCGTGCTGGCCGTCAGCTTAAGGCACTCCAGTTGGCCAAAGTGAGCCGGATAGCCGAGCATGTGTATGTACAGCAGCTTGGCAATGTTGCGACAGCTGTGGGTAAATAATGTGGCCAATTTAATGGTAATGGATATGGATATGGAGAATGAAGCACATGACTCACCGCCAGACGGAGTCCTCCTCGCGGAAAGTGCTCCGTATGTAGGCGCACTCTTTGTTGACCACCGCCCGCTCCTCGGCGGCGGTTCTGGCGGCGCGAATCTGTCGGATGAGGTCGCGCAGGCGTGTGGGCGTAGGCATTCTGACTGTGGGCGAGCAAAATGTTAATTAGAAAACCCGATCTGGCAGTCGATCTCTGTTAACCCCAACTGGTCCTTCGTTCGGATACTTGAAATTAACCAATTTACTGTAATCTAACATAAATACTTTGTTGAATAAACTAATTGTTTTTACACATTTCGTTTTTTATAAATATACAAATATATGGATCCCTCAGTTCCTTTCCTAGTTTAATTTTAGGAGCTTTTTTTAATATTTATAATATTTATCAACTTTTATTGTAGAATATTTTTAATTTTATTAACGATTTGATCATGACATTAAATTAACAATTTGTTACTAATATTAACTAATATCATTTACTATATGTTTTTTTTTTTTGCAAAAAGTCAAACCTACAAAACAGCAATCATCTCCCTTCAATTTTTTTTATCAACATAAATGAAGATCTGTAATTGCTTTTCAAGATTGTATTCATGTGAAACGAATGACTTCAAATCAGAGAATTCAGAACTTTATGAGAGCTTAAAATATGGTTTTCTAACATGTAAATTTCTTTAAATAATTTTTTTTAAACTAATTTTAGCATGATTGTGGATTAAACTACTATCGATTTTTTTTATCAAATCCTACATTAAATGAATTATTATTTTTTTATAGAAGGTATTTAGAAATCCTGCTGTTTCAGAGATTTATTCTAAAAAATGGATCGTTTTAAAATTAAGGCGGACCCAAACCTGCGATCCTTGGTCAGATTCAGTCACCGAATTTGCCCCACAGTGCATTGACCTCTAGAAAGCTTACCTCTCTCCACCGCCTCTGTGAACGCCTGCCGTATGGTGGCCATATTGAAGGCTGGATTGAATCTGTCGGAAAAAGTTAGGGGTTATAGGGAGACTCTTTGGGAGGGGGGACTGTGACTTTGGATCCTACCCATGCTCGGAGTTCATTGTGGCGGCGAGAAACGTTGAATCACTTGTGTTTGTGTGGCAGCCTTTTTCCGCTCTTTACTCGCCTCTCTCTTTTCTGCTAAATATTTTTATGCTTTTTCCTCTTTTTTGCCGGCCTACGCGCTGTGTTTTCTTTTTGTTGCTGGGCGGCGATGCAACAACACAAATTAGCGAAACCAACGGTTTTTCCTCCGCAGATCTTCCACGCACACACACTCAATCCCACACACACACGGACTGACAGCCGGCCGCTATTTTGTTGCACTCTCTCTCGCTCTCACTTGCTCTCGATTTGCAAAGCTAATGGCACAAAAAGTTTAGTAAGTGGATTAAATAAAGGCAGTAACAATAACCGCTGACATAAAGATCGCTGTTGTTATGAAACTGACATCTCTGCGGGTGCGTGTGTGCGTGAGTTGGCTTAAAAACAAATACACATGATCTCGATCTCGATCTCTTGCTCTCTCTCTCTCTCTGGTCAAGGCAACAACAAATTAGTGTGTTTTTTATTGCGGAGACGAGAGCGCAATGCAAATTGATTAAATGATTAATGCACACTCACACACGCACACACACACATTCGCGCGAAGGGCTTCCAGTGGACAATTGGAAAGGGAGAAGCGAAACAGTTAATCCGGAACTTGTTTACTTGTTTCCACTTGGTAAAAAGTGCCTAAAAACCTGGCCAAAAACGAAAACAGCTGCCGTCATCGTCAGCGATAGCATAAGTGCCCACACACATACGTACATATCGATTGCATTAAAAAATCATGAAACAACAACGAACGTCCCTCTATATAATATAGTATATAATATATATTATGCACGCGCGTAGGGCTATTTTGTCAGCGCTTTCCTCGTTTGTTTTCAATGTGATTTTTCGCCTGCTAATTTATGCGATTCACTGGAAGGCCCACACACACACGCACACACACACACTCGCAGGCCTTTTGGGCCAACAAGAAAAGGGCAGGAAAATCTATGGCACACTTTTCAACGGGCTTTTCCGCCTTATCGGATCCGGATCCGCTGGCACTATCATTAGCGCTACGTCTATAATAACCACCTGCCAGAAAAAACGCGTCAGCTTCGAAATGCAAAAAGTTTACAACGCGACAAAAAATAAAAAAACTTAATTTTAACACATACGGCCCGTCGTCGTCGCAAGTACACGCACACACACACACACCTCTGCCTTTTGGCTGGAATGTTTCTGCAAGTTGGTTAATTCCTACTCGGCCACTCTATTTACGCTTTAGCACATGTTCGCACGGCCAACTTTGCGCTGGTTATTCGCAATTTTAAACGCCACAAAATCAACGTAACAAGTAAAAAAAAATGTTTCGTCGAGAATATGTTGATGAGGAGCGCAACAGTAGTAGTGGGTGCGAGCGAGAGGGCGCTATTTACAAGCAGTTCGCAGAAAGGGACTAACGCGTCGTGCAGGAAGGCACTAGTGCGTTTCGGGTACAGTGGGTGTGCGCGAAGAAGAACGTGAACTATATTTTAATTAAATTCATTTTAATTTATTCTACAAGCTTTATCCGAAGCTAAATGGAAAACTTGACATGTATTTTTAACAATATAAATTACTTTTTTTTATTATAAAAAGTTAAGCTAGGCAGTCGACAGATTTTTTAACAAAGTCAAATATACCTTAATTTGGTATTTTTCAGGGGGAATAATTTTGTAAATCACTTTCAAAGCAAAAAATAACATTCAAAATTGCATTACAAAATTTTAAAATTAAAAATTAGCATTGCAAACACGGGGTGATTCAACGCTCTTTTGCCACACAACACAGATAAAAAATACCGCAGAACAAAACGGCCGGCGTACGGTCACACCGCGCCATAATAACGTCATTTTTTGAAACACTTTTTTGAACGATTCCTTTCAAGATCTTGACTTGAGAATCTTATTGGCGATCCGCCAAATCCGTGGGATACAATCTCACCTGCGATTGTTCTCCGGCGGCAGAACACTCCAGTCCTGCTCGTAATACGGATACATGGTCGCCTCTCACTTCTCACTGGAGCTCGGAACTAAACCGACTGGAAGGGGAATGTCAGCGATACGATAAGCGCCGAGTGCTCCACATAGGCCTTATCTAATGTACACTAATAGTTAGCAGGTAACGCTCTGCTTTTCCGACTCTCTAGCTGTAGCTAGGCGATCATTTCCAGCCCGAGCGGTGGAAACTCCTGCGGAAGACTGACGATTCCAGTGCCACTCACCAGGTGTTGTTTTTGGTGGCAACGCACTTATCTATCGGCTGATAATGGTAATAACACAATCCCGGCTGGTTGTTTCTTTTTACGGTTCGGTTCGGATAAGCGGAAGCGGAGGGAGGGAGCCCCATTGACAACCGCCATATCGAGGTGTACGAACGCCGAACGCCCGTGCTGTTAGATAAAGCCAACTCTCCCACAGTCGCCGATTTACATTAACCATAGCCCTTGGTTTTGGGATCCCCAATGTACACATTTTTAATAAATAAATAGGAAACTTAAATAAATTATGCTAAATTATTATTATTAAGCAAGTAAAATAGGAAGTATTTCTGAAATACAATAGGTTAAGTATAAGTATTTTATTTCTTGAAGGGATTAAATATACAAAGTACGAACTATTTACAAAATTCCATGTTTCATTGAGGAAGGGAATCCTAGTTATTTTTACTTTAATTGTAACAATTTTATGTGTAATTCGCTGTCATATGCTGAGATCTTTCTATCAAAATGGGTTTCCCCATTTCAAAGCTACTTTAAGCCCAACAGAAAGACACGAGTCTATGGAAAACAAATCTAGTTAAGGCCGTTGCAAGGCTGTTGTTAGATAAAGCGGCTATACCATCCGCATTTACAACAATGTACAATTGGTATCTCACAATCTCCTACCCGGCTAATTACAAATAAGCGTAGTCCTAAGCCCTAAAGTTACAAAAATACGAGTCTAATTAAAGCCAGTGGAGATGGGTCTGTGATGGGCCCATGTCTGATCCCTCTAGTCGTTTTCCCGCGGCGGCCGGACCACCGCATGCCGTTTAATAGCCTCCACCAGCCACTTGATGCCCTCGTCGACGCCCTCGCCATGAAGGGCGGACACGGGAATGGTGAGGCAATCTCGGCGGCCAATCAAGGCGCCCGCCTGCTGGAACACGGGCTTGATCTCCCGCACGCCCATCACATCGGGCAGATCCTGCTTGTTGGCCAGGATGAGCAAAGGCACGCCGGACAGCAGCTCGTTCTTGATCATCTTATCTGAAAGAGGGAGAGTATAAGTTTAGTGGATATTTTGAAATATATTGGGGTTTGTTGAAGGGTTTTCTTGTAGACCCCTTACCAAAGATCGCCTTGGACTCGTCCATGCGCTCCCGGTCGTTGGAGTCGATCACATAGATGACGCCATGCGACTCCTGGTAGTACTTGTCCCACAGCGACTGCAGCTCCTGCTGGCCACCGAGATCCCAGAAATTTAGCCGCACGCCCTGCACGTCGATGGTGCCGATATTAAGGCCCACTGTCGTCGTGATCTTGCTGGGATTCAGGCCCTTGTAGTTCCGCGTGAACGTCGTTTTGGCGGCCTCCAGGTAGGTCTACGTGGATGGACACAGGTGTTAATTTGGGATTGAAATCTAGACTAGTTAAGGTGGCTTAACCGTTTTGCCAGCATTGTCCAGGCCCAGGATCACCACGCAGTAGTCGTCCTTCTGAGTCATGTACTTGTAGAAGCCGTGCATCAACGTGTACATCGTATTGTGGATTTGGCCAAATAATAAAAACAAATTTAATTTTGTTGACTGCACGCTAGTGATGGCACTTTTGGCGTTTGAAGGCGGTGCGATATGTTTTAGCGGGAAAGTAGCTAGATTTTTATGGTTATTAAATTAATTAAGAACTGAAAGTGGCAAAGTTTAAATATAAAAAAATATTTAAAAAAATTTAATTGTTTACTAATTTTTAAAACATTTTGTTTTCACTTCTAGCTTTTTTGGACTTGAAATAGTTGTCATTTAGTATTTAGTATTTAACTCTTATATAAAAGGCAGACCGTATTCGCTGGCATTTAAGGGGCGCGCAGTCTGGCAACCCCGCCGCCGTACGCTTGTGTGTGTCTGTCCGTGTGCGTGCGTGTTTTTTTCCCCACTTTTCCATTGTATTTTGTGCTTGCAAATCGAGGGAACGCAATAAAAAAGGTGGTTTCACATAGGAACTAAGTCGCCTCGCCAACAAGAAGACAACCGCAACCGAGCCGACATGTCGCTATCGAGCCTGCTGCCCACGCCGACGAACGCGGTCTGGGATCGGGAGGACGAGCGTCGCCTGGCCGCCCGCGGAGCCCCGAAGATCGGAGCCCTGGTCTCCGCCAAAATCGCAGCTCCGCCGTACGGACAGCGCAAGGATTGGATTCCTCGCACGGAGGCCGACTTTGGCGACGGCGGCGCCTTCCCGGAGATCCATGTGGCGCAGTATCCGCTGGGTGGGTTTCTAGTCTCTGCTCTCCCAATCCTCCAACTTTCTCTATGGTTTCGCGGGATTTAATGGTATCTGAGGTCTTTGACCTTATCAATTATACACAGCAAACCCCTAGAAATGCATAATACTATATAATCTTAAGGAGTATATCTTATAATTGCAATAAGAAAACCTCCAGACATTTATACAAGCTTTAAAAGGCCAGGATTCCTAACTATATCATCTTCTTTTTTCCTATTAGATCTACATAATCTTATGTTTTATACTCCCGATTCTAAAGTGAAATCTTATTACAGCAATAAGAAAACCTTCAGAAGATATGTAGTATACTCCCGATTCTAAAGTTATATCTTATATACATTAATTATATTATTTTATAATTATATTAGACAGGGTTCCTAACTATATCACCTTCTTTTTTCCTATTAGGTCTACATAATCTTATGTTCTATAGCACCGATTCTAAAGTTATCTCTAATATATAATATATATATTATACAACCTTTAGACAGGGTTCCTAACTATATCGATCTTCTTTTTTCCTATTATTTCTACATAATCTGATGTAGTATACTTCCGATTCTAAAGTTATATCTTATATACTTTTATTATATTATTTTATAATTATATTAGACACGTTTCCTAACTATAATTATTTTCCTTTTAGGCCTCGGAGCCCCCGGAAATGTGGGCAAGAAGTCGGATGCCCTGGCCGTTCGGCTGGACGACAAGGGAAAGGTGAAATACGATGCCATAGCGCGCCAAGGACATGGCAAGGACAAGGTGGTCTACTCCTCCATCTCGCAACTGCTGCCGGCTGAAGTCCTAGCCGAAGATGCGGAGGAACTGCAGCGACCGGACGAGGAAACTGTGCTGGAGACCACGGAGGAGACTCGCCTGGCGCTGGAAAAGCTGACCAACCAGAAGATCACCTCGGCACTGCCCGTGCGCCACGCCCAGAAGGCGGGTCCCGCCCAGTACATCCGGTACACGCCGTCGCAGCAGGGCGACGCCTTCAATTCGGGCGCCAAGCAGCGGGTCATTCGGATGGTGGAGGCGCAGCTGGATCCGATGGAGCCGCCCAAGTTCCGCATCAACAAGAAGATACCGCGCGGCCCTCCCTCGCCGCCGGCACCCGTCCTCCACTCGCCGTCGCGCAAGGTGACGGTCAAGGAGCAGAAGGAGTGGAAGATCCCGCCCTGCATATCCAACTGGAAGAACGCCAAAGGTATAGAATGGCTTATCTCACATTTATTTCCACTAACTCTTGCCTTTCTTCGACCCAAGGTTACACCATTCCGCTGGACAAGCGCCTGGCGGCCGACGGACGCGGCCTGCAGCAGGTGCACATCAACGAGAAGTTCGCCAAGATGGCCGAGGCGCTGTACATAGCCGATCGCAAGGCCCGCGAGGCGGTGGAGGCCCGTGCCCAGCTGGAGAAGAAGCTGGCCCAGAAGGAGAAGGAGAAGAAGGAGGATATGCTGCGCATGATGGCGCAAAGGGCACGCGAGGAGCGGGCGGGTCTGCGCAACCCAGAGGCAGCTGATCCCTCATCATCAGTAGGTCCATCTGGATCAGGAGGCGGCGGAGGAGCAGAGGCGCGTGAACGCAACGATTTGCGGGCGGAGCGGCAGAGGGAGCGCCAGCGGGACAGGAATCTGCAGCGAGCGGCCCCGGAAAAGCGCTCTAAACTGCAGCGGGAGCGGGAACGCGACATCTCCGAGCAGATCGCCCTCGGCCTGCCCGCCAAGAGTGCCGGCAATGGCGAGACCCTCTTCGATCAGCGCCTCTTCAACACCACCAAGGGCATGGACTCCGGTTACGGCGACGACGAGGCGTACAATGTGTACGACAAGCCGTGGCGCGATTCCAACACTTTGGGAGCCCACATCTACCGGCCCAGCAAGCAGGCAGATAGCGACAACTACGGCGGCGATCTGGATGCCATTGTGAATACCAAGCGCTTCGTGCCGGACAAGCAGTTCTCCGGCGCTTCGCGGGATGCGGCCGCCGGCCAGAGGAGCGGACCCGTCGAGTTCGAGAAGGAGGAGGATCCCTTCGGGCTCGATCAGTTCTTGAACATGGCCAAAAAGGCGCCCAAGCGAGCCGAGGAGAAGAGCAACGAGCGCAGCAGCCATTCGGATCGCAAGCGCAGCAGGCGCGATTAGACAAAAGCTTTAGCTATCATCATCTCATCATCATCATCCAAATCATCTTCATCCAACAACCAAACAAACTTTTTTTAACTACTCCAAAAACTTGGCGAGAATTTCAATAATAATCACAGGATCTTGACATAACATAGCTCGTATTATTGAGGGATGTGCCGCTTCAGCCAGTTTAAATAGGTATCCACCCGCGTGACCACCATGGGTGTGCTGTCGGAACCGCACTCAGAGCCGCCCAGCGAGATGATGCCCACCAGTTGGTTGCCGTCCATCACCGGGCCGCCGGAGTCGCCGAAGCAGCTGCCCCTCCTGGCGGCCCCTCCTCCGGTGCACATCTGCCCACCACTCACGCCGGCGTACAGCCTTTTGCAGCTCTCCATGGACCAGCCATTAACCGTCGCCTTGATCTTCACCTGGCTGGTGGCCTCCGAGGAGCCACTGGTGCGACCCCATCCCGCAATGGTCAGTTTATAGTCTACATAGACATCGCGGCGGGAGGCAGTGAACGCCGGCGGCAGGCAGATGGGCTGGATGAACTGCGTGTAGATGACAGTGCGGGAAAGAAGCAGCAGGGCAATGTCGTTGGAGTACTTCTCTAGATTGGATCCTGTCTTGTCCAAAGGGCGATACATCTCGTGAACGATGGCCCGCTCGATGGGGTAATCCTCGGGCGGCGGTGTGCAGTTCAAGCCCTGGCAATTCTCCAGGCGAACATCCCACACGCCCAGCCGAACGAGATGCAGCTTCTCCTGGTCATTCTCGCTCGGCACACAATGGGCGGCGGTCAGGACCCACTTGGCGGCCACCAGGGAGCCACCGCACTTGGGCAGCACCCGATTGCCGTACAGCAACATGGCCATCCAGGGGAATTCCCGCATCTCGGACACCTGGCCATTGGAGATGTGGGGCCGCAGATCGTGGTGGCAGTAGTTCTTTATGGATTGCGGGTACTCCGGTCGCTTCGAGAGGCAACAAATCGTACTGAAGCACTCGGCCGAGTCCTTGGCCTGGTGAAAACCCTCCTCCTCGCGGCACTCCTCGATGGGCAGGCACTTGCCCCTTTCGGGTCCATGGCAGATACCAAAGTGCAGCCTGGGTTCTGCAATTGATACGTACTTATTTATAATAGTTTTTGATATTAATAATACTCCAGTAGGGTTTCTTTTTGAGTTTTTACTTTAGGAACCTAAATAATTTGAAATTACAATGTTTTTTAGTAATTGGTACTTATTAATAACAGTTTTTATATTATTCTAGTAGGGTTGCTTTCTGAGTTTTTACTATAGGAACTTAAATTCTTAATGTACTATTTTCAGAACAGTTTTTTAGGTCTCTCTGATAGCTCTACTATCTATAACAGTACTATAAAAGTTTTTTATATTATTCTAGTTGGGTTTATTTTTGAGTTTTTACTTTAGGAACCCAAATACTTTAATGTACTATTTTCAGAACCTATTTTTAGGTCTCTCTGATAGCTCTACTATCAGTTCGAATGGAACTTACTTGCCCAACAGCTGGCCAAAAACACTCCGCAGAGGAACAAGGCAAAGGTAAAGGTTCCGGGTCGGAGAACCATAGCTTTGAATCTGAATCAATAGACGCGGAGAGCATTTCCCAAGTGCATGATTCAAGCTCTCCAATTACGTAGTTGCTAGTAAAACCTGATATTATGTGTACTCCGCTTTTCTAAGTTAGTGAGAGAGATCGTCATAGATTAATATTAAATCTATAGTGAAAAAAGTAGCGTAGCCCATATTTTGTTCAAAGGGACGTCTTGAATTAAAAAATAAATACAATTTTTTGTTTTTGAAAATAATTTATTCAAGAACATAGCTTAGAAAGTACTGATTGATTAATGCAGTGTTTATTTTTATAGAAATTAAATTTTCTTTACATTTATAGACTGCACCCTTGTTTTTTGAATATGTTAATCTAACGGGTAAAATCCCGTAAATGCATTGGGGTTTTTTTTCTTAAAGAGAGAACTCTCTCATTTTAATTCCAGTTTGTTTACAACTTTTTACAGTGACGTTGTAGTTTAATTAAGAAAGAATAAACATATTTCATTTCCTTAATAATATAGAAATGATCAGAAATATTATTCAAAACATTACCTAATAAAATAAAGGTTTTGTTTTAAGCATCAATAATTTTAAAAAGAAGAATGTAACGGTTAGTTCTTAATACAAAAATTTTAAATTCCGAAATAATACCGTTAATTTACAAAACCAGTCAGTGTTGAACAACGTCGCGAGATGTGCACGTGCAACATCAGTTGGTACGAAATGTAAACAAACAAGGCAGTAAATAAATTAATTAAATTAAAAAACAATGCCAAGGAAACCGAGCAGCAGTGACTCCGATTCGGAGGATGACGCACAGATGCGTCAGTTCCTGGAGGCGGCAGACACCACCCTGCTCACGAATGCCATGTTCCAGACGGCGGATAAAGAGGAGCAGCCGGTGGCCACCGGGAAACAGGATGTTAAGCCACCACCAACCAAAAGCGAACGCTATGTGGAGGAGCAGGAAGCGCCCGCCAGCGATCTCCAGATCACGCAGGAAATGCAAACGCACATCTGGAGCAGACTGAGTGGCATAATCCAGAAGAAAATAGAGTTCTCCTCCCTGGAAAATCCTAATCTCGCGGAGAAACAGAAACAGAAGCCTCCGCCCGACCGGGTGAAGCTGGTGTCCAATGCCGATTGCTACTTGATCGCTGATCTGGTGGAGGAAGGTCCTCCGGGTCCCCAAAAGAAACCCAACATCAAGAGACGCACGCCCAAGGAAGACCAATCCTCGCCAGAATCCCTGGACTCCGTGGCAGTCACTGGGGAATCCCTGCTCGAGGGCAAGGACCTGCTCGCCTGGGCCCAGAAAAAGCCGCGCCAGGACAAGATCTTCCACTACAGAGCCAGCGATCCGAAGGCCACCAAACTAGTGGCCATTGAAGCCACCAACGAGTTCACCAAGCGAAGGCGTCAAAACAATTGGAACGAGTCCAAGATTGGCAAAAGGAAGGCCAAGAAATAAATATGGTAAATGGAGCTATTTAATTCATAAAACTGGAGATCCTAGTCTAGATGTATACAAAACTTTTAAGGTTTCAAAATATCCCTTTTGTGGGATATCTGTTTTTGCTTCAATATAGGGAAAGAAATTAATTTTGGTTGCAAATTAGAAGCAAAAATGAAGGTAAAAATCTTACAAATGGTTCATAAATTTCAGAAAGGGGGTTTCCTACCCTTTTTACGACTCAAAAGTGGTTTAAAAATATCCCATTTGTGGGATATCTGTTTTTGCTACAATACAGGGGAACTTTAACTTACAAAGAAATTAATTTTGGTTGCAAATTAGAAGCAAAAATGAAGGTAAAAATCTTACAAATGGTTCATAAATTTCAGTAAGAGAGTTTCCTAGCCTATTTACGACTCAAAAGTGGCATGGAAGTTGGTGACCGTGCCACTCCCGTTCCCACTTGTGCTGCCATTGCCGCTGGTGCCCGTCATATTGGAGGTATTGGAAGATATCTGTCCATCAAGCAGGCCGTAGAGCATCTGCTGGGAGCTGACGGTGCCGCTGGAGCCCGTGCTGCCGCCGCCCAGATCCTGCAGCATGTCGCCCATGGCCAGGTTGCCGCCGATGCTCTGACTGCTGCCGGTGGCGCTGTTGTCCAGGATGTTGAGGAAGTCGTGGCCGTTGAACTCGTTGTTGTGCTGCTGCTTTTGCAGGCTGCTCTGGCTCTCCTTCATCAGCTTGTCGTACTCCTGCAGCACGCTGTTGAACTCCCCGATCTCCACGCGATTCCGGGCGAGCACCTTGTGCTTGTAGTAGTTGTGCACCTGGGTGAGCGAGGTGCCCGTGAGCGCAGTGTGGGCGCTCTCCAAGGGAACCAGCTGCAGCACCGTGGACTTCTCCAGCCGCGGCTGAGTGTCGTAATTGCCGCGATACTCGCCGATGAAGCTGCGCAGGAACTCCTCGGTGGCATCGGTCAGCAGCTGCACCGCCGACTCCGAGCAGTCGGTGAATCCCGCGAGCCGCAGCATGCCGCACATCACCTTGCGCACCGCCTGGCGGCAGGCAGAGCCGGAGATCTCCGGATAGGACTGCGGATCCCCGCGCGAGTACGCCGTGTCCACGGTGGGCGTGAACCAGATGGGCTTCTGGAACTTCTGGCTGCCCACCAGCTCGGCGGCGTTCTCAGGGGGAAAGTCCACTTCTGGTATCATCAGGCAGGGATTCAGCAGGTAGTTCGAACTTCCCTGGGATGGAAAATTGTAAATTATAGGGGTTTCTCAAGGGATTTCCCGGTACTTACATTTTTATTGGAGTACGTTTCGATGAGGGACTGCAGAACCTCGGTTTGCTTCATCACCTCGATGGTCTGGGTGACCAGGGCGCTCCGCAGTTCCACCGTGTGGCTAAGGGAAATGGAAAAATAAGTTTTCCTGCAGAATTTATCCCTAATTTAACTATACTCACTGTTTTTCATCCGGCTGCAGTTCCCCGCGCAAGCGAATCTCGTCCAGCTTGGGTTTCTTGGCCGCCGTGGGCACATATTTGTCCGGCGTCAGCTGGACACCATCGTCCTCCGTGGGCAACGCGCCCCAGTGCTCCACTTGCATGCTGATACGCTCTTAAATTCTACTTAAAACATTTAATTTAATTTGTTTTGCTAAAAAATTAATTGTTTTGTTTTCGCCAGGCGTCTATCGGACCTATCGATAGGCTGCGCTCAACAGCTGACTGGGCATAAACATAGTGCGGATCTGGCAACGCTGGCCTCGAACGTTTTCTGTTTAGGTTATCAGAAAACGTCGTCGTCGCCTAATTAAATCAAGGTTAGGATTAAGAAAAACAAATAGAAAAAAACCCAACTGGTTTTGGCCAACAGCTAAGCGAGCTTGTGCGCTCCGAGTAGGTCGCACCACACACAAATATATATCCAATATATTTCCAACACCTGCTGTGACAAGTGGCAACGCCACGGCAGCTGGACACGCACACAGGCACAACATGTAATTATTTGTTTTCGTTTCGAGAATTTCAGAGGTAAAAACCGAACGCACTACGTGGTGACAAGATTACCCAGCGACGCAGACGACGAGTGGGACTGTCCGGCGGATTGGGGGCAGCGGGAAACGGCGGTTACAACGGCAACAAGATGCACCAGCAGCACATGGACCTCCATGCGCCCGTGGACCTGAACAAGGTGGTTATTTTTGCTGGTTTTCCCGTGGGGATTTCTAAACTAAAAGAGCTCTCTTGCAGTCCCTGGACGAGATGACGCCGGAGGAGCGGATGAGGTGAGTGCGGAGCAGTCGTAACCCCAATCCCAAGGCTAATTCGAACCCCATTTCCACCTCCTATAGAGCGGAGCACCAACTGATGGTGGAGAAGCATCGCGGCCACGACGCCATGCACTCCGAAATGGTCATCATCCTGTTCGTCACCCTGGTCATCGCCCAGATCATCCTGGTCGAGTGGAAGAAGCGCCACTACAGCTCCTACGCCTTCGTCACCCTGCTGGCCATGTGGCTCATCCCGCTGATCATCTCCTGCAGCTTCGGCTGGCTGCGCTTCATCCTCATCTGGCTGGTCTTCACCTGCATCACGGCCCTGGTGATGCGTCGGGCCATCAGCAAGCCCATCCAGGGCACAACGCCCAGGTGAGTCACTCGGCTAGACCTTTGGAATCCAGATAATAGCCAATCTTATCCGTTTTTCAGGCTGGTCTACAAGTGGTTCTACTTCATCTACAAACTGAGCTATGGGCTCGGTCTGGTGGGCTACCTGGTGATCATGGCCGCCTTCCTGGGCATGAACTACCTGTTCTCGCAGCCACCGAACACCTGGATGGACGTGGGCCTGATGTTCTGCTTCTACGGGCTGTATATCGGTGTTCTAGGGCGGGATATATCCGAGATATGTTCGGATAAGATGGCGGCAGCCATAGGCGTAGGTTTAAACTTGATATATGTTTGCTCCTGGCTTTAATCCGCCTATCTCCCGATAGTACTACACACCGCAGGGCATCCCCACGCGGCATCTGGATCAGAATGTCTGCGCCGTTTGCGGCAATCAGCTGCTGGTCTCCGAAAAGGAGGAGGGCGTCATCGAGAACACCTACAAGCTGTCCTGCAACCATGTGTTCCACGAGTTCTGCATACGCGGCTGGTGCATTGTGGGCAAGAAGCAGACGTGTCCCTACTGCAAGGAGAAGGTCGATCTGCAGAAGATGTTCCGCAATCCGTAAGGCTAACTTTGATTTCCATGGCTTGATAATGAGATTCCATCCCTCCGACAGCTGGGAGAAGCCGCATGTGCTGTACGGACGCCTGCTGGACTGGATCCGCTGGCTGGTGGCCTGGCAGCCGCTCATCTTCTTCATAGTACAAGGCATCAACTGGATGCTGGGACTGGAATAGGTCCTTCGCTAGCTTTCCTCGGCGTCTAGTCAAGCACACACACTTTGGATCAAGTCCTGCACATGCAACACCACACAGAAGACACGACGACAGACGACAGACCAATTGGAGGGGTGGCGAGTCACCAGGAGCACCACTAGCACCATCATTCCCCCGCCGCTCCCCTCCAGAACTCTCCATCCAACCGTTTTCCGGGTTTCCGTTTCCGTTTCCAGTTCTGTGTGTGTTTTGCTCTTCGGGCACCCAACTTTTCCATTCGTTCAGTCTCTAATCGAAACGTAAATGCAATTTCGGATATATGCATCTATATCTATATATTATAGCTATGTATTTATGTACATATGTGTGCCTGTGTGTATGTCTCCTAGGTATTATTGCCGATTTTATTTTCTTGATTCTATTAATTGCACTGGAGCTGGTTAGGAATAAACATATACCAAAAAATACATCTATTGATAAAGTACTGCGACTCTTTCATTTTCGGAAATGCTGTCTCCTTCGTTTTCTAAACTATAAACTCTAAGAAAGCAAGCACTCTGCTGAAATAACAAGTTTCTCGCTTTATTGTAAGGTTTTTGATTTTCTCAAGGCAACAACAATAACAAAAGATAGGAGAAATGAGCCCAAAAGATTGAAAACCCGCTGGCAAAACAGATTAAAACGGGGGCAGAGCTTCGCTATTAGGAATTAGGGATTTAAACCGACTTTGAGGCGGGATAATTGAACAAACATGTACGAAAAACACAGATTTAGTAGCCGGAGGCACCGATCATCTTGCGGATCTGCTCGAAGGACAGCCAGAAGGTGAGCGACCAGGGCGCCATGCGTATCCAGCAGGGCAGGAAGCCCTTGTACAAGGCCACAAAGCCCTCCCTGCCCACCGTTTGCCGCAGGCAGTCCACGGATCCGCGGTACAGCAGGCCCCTTAAATGGTACAAGATTAAGATTATGGATAAACAAACTCCTAAGCTAACTTACCGCCCCTTCTCATCCGTCGGCTGGTTCATAATCCTTGTCTTCACCACATCCGCCGGCGTGCCCATGATCGCCGCCACGAAGCCCGCGCAAATGGAGGCCAGCACATGAACGGTGTGGCAGTCGGGCATCTGCAGGCGGTCCATGATCAGGTGCTTGATGGTGTCGTAGGTGGTCAGGTCGCCCAGGTTGACCAGCGCCGCCCGCTGCACATTCGGTATGCTGCCCTTCCACAGGCCCTTCACTCCGCCGCGCTGGACGATCTCGCGGAAGGCGTGGCCCGCTGAGTGGACCCTTGGCTTCTCGCCCATCAGTCGCCGGCGTCCCTCCATTTGGATCTGCACCTTAACCAAATCAGCCGGCGAGGCCAGCCACTGGGCAACGGCGCCCGCTGTGACGCCACACAGGGCGGACTTCCAAACGGGCAGCGCCTGGCTGCCGTTCTCGGTGAACTCCTTGCGCATCAGGTCGTAGCTGCAGATCCTCACGCCGCTGCGGATGGACAGGATGGACAGGGAGAACTCGGGTTAGACTGGCTGGATAGCTGACATAGGGATAGCTGATATCTGATAGCTGATATCTGAATAGCTGCGGCTGTAACTGTGGCGATGAATGGGGAGTTGGAGTTTCGTAGGAATGCCCACCTATAGACGACGTGTCGGTAGAGCGCCGGCGTCACGCCCTGCCACAGCTTCAGGGCGCCCTCCTCGCGCGCAATCCCGAAGGCGGTGGCCACCATGCCGCGGTATTGCATCTGGTAATGGTAATCGTGGGGAATATCGGTAATTGTGGGTGGTTCATTGTAGTATCGGTATCTGTATCGGTTGCGGGCCGGAGAAACACAGGATTCACATGGAACAGGCACACAAACAAAGGGGAAACAGTAGGGGGAAGGTGGGATGGTTCGATCTGGGGGTTCTATACTATCAACCTAGTTATAATCTTTAGTCTCTATTAATATTTTTCTATAATTTCAATCATAAACAAATTATTAAATACTTTATCCAAGAACCAACAATATATCTACATACATTTCTACTATTTTTTTAACTAGGATTATAAAACATAATTTTAACTGTTTAAATGTTATCCATTCCTACAAAAAATTTGTTTTTTTAATTTTAAATTTCTGATTTTAAAGTGGAAGAGATATATATTTCTTTAAATCCAAAACAAGTACCTATTTATATTTGCTACAATCGTTATCATAGTTTATCATAGTCATATACTATCATCTCAGTTATAATCTCTAGTCTCTTGTAACTTCACCGATATCAATTCTCAATATTTATGTATAATTTCAATCATGAACAAATTATTAAGTACTTCACTCAAGAGCTATTCATTATATCTACATATTTTTAACTTCCTTTAACTTTCCTTCAACTAGGATTATTAAACATTATTATAACAACCTGTTTACATTTTAATTTCAAGATTTTAAACTGGATAAGACATATATACTTCTTTAAATCCAAAACAAGTACCTATTTATATTTGCTACAATCGTTATCATAGTTTCTTTTAGTAAAAAAAACATATGTACATAGCTTATCTGGTACAATCCGTAACCCCAAGAACAGCCATTAGGTATATATGGTGTACAATTGCTTTCAAATCGATCCACACACAAATGGGAATGGAAAACAGGATGGATTGCGACTACGGATGTGGTGGATGAGCAATGAGCAGGCCGAGGTGGGGAGATGGGGCTCTAAGCTGGGCGTGAAGCTGTGACTGATACCGGAACACCTCGCGAGGTCTTATCAACATGGCCGTGCCCACTCCGATTTGCCGTATCTCTTGCGGGGAATTGGAAATTCGGCGCTCTTATCGCGCGCATTTCAAGGCGATAAATCAGAGGGGCAGTTCCATGCTGGGATTACTTTGTTAGCCAGGGGATGTGGGATATGCGGGATTAGGAGCAACCAAAAGCCAATGAAGACGAGCACAAGAAGCGTGGGTTACTAGGCATCTCCACTCACATTGGACTTTCCGGCGGACTGGGCGGCTCCCTCGCCCTGGATCTGCAGACGCGTCTTCGTGAGGTCCAGGGGATAGGTGGCCAGCTCGGCGATGGAGGCGGCCACCACGGAAACGATGTAGGTGCAGGCAAACGAGTCCGCGTAGTCGAACTTCACGGGTCGCAACTGGTGGCGTCCACTGGAGGGCACTGGGCTGCTGCTCCCGCCGGCGACAGGAGCCACTGCTGGCGAGGATTCATCCGTTTTGGCTGCCATCTAAGAGCTAAGAGGGGGAGAAACACGTTAGTAACTCTATTAACCCAAAGTAAACAATTGCTAAACAAACTCTGAACAGGTGAAACTTTCACACAATCGCGTGATGCGAGCGGGTGCTCCGACCTCTCTGGGATTCCGGATTCGGATTCGGATTCCGGATGCGGTTGGGGATGCCTTTGTGTCCGTGACCAACGTTCTGCTTCCGTGCATTTACATAACAACAACGTTTTGGCAACACAATGGCTTTTGGCTTTTGCTTTCCTTTTTCTTTGCCCGCAATAACAATAACAATAACAATGGCAAAAGCAAATCAAAATCAGAATCGCGCTCTTATAAAACACTCGCTGGCACGCGCTGGGCGGCTAATCATGTTTGTCCACCCCGCCTGCGAAGCCGCTCTATTTATATCCTGCCAGATATCGGGGGCTATATGTCTGAGGCTATTGTATAAAACCTGTAGTTATCAGCGCAATAAAACAAAAAGGCCACAAAAACAAAAGCGATGCAGGCCAGGGTTGCCAGATGGGCGGAGTTGTCTATAGACGCTGAAAGAAATTACGTTAGATTTGCAGTTCTCAAGTGTGATTTTAAAATATTTTTTGGCTGAAGTAATGTTTTAAATTAAAAATTTTTAAGTGTTTCCCACAATTAATTTTTTTTAATAAACCAATTTTTTTTGTAAACCTAGAACATATTTTTCCCAGTGTACGTTGTGCGCGCTTTGTCTGGCAACCCTGCAGCCGGCAGCCTGGCAACTCCCGATTACTTGTTATCGATAGACGCGCGGCAAACTTTTGCATCTGCGCTTTTTATTTACTATATTATTTTGTTAATTTACGTGGATTGCGTGATGCAGGCCTTTTTGAAGACGGGCAAATCGACGGCGGGAGCTGGGGAGAAGAGCCAGGGAGCTGCGGCGGCGCGGCGCAAACCGCCGGCTCCCTGGGTGGAGAAATAGTGAGTTTCTGCTGGCGGCGCACATGTGGTTAAGTTAATTCTGGTTAATATCCCTTTTAACCCACCAATTTAGCCGGCCGCGCAACGTTGACGATGTGGTGGAGCAGTCCGAGGTGGTGGCCGTGCTGCGCAAGTGCGTCGAGGGCGGGGACCTGCCCAATATGCTGCTCTACGGCCCTCCCGGCACGGGAAAAACCAGCACGATCCTGGCCGCCGGCCGGCAGATCTTCGGCGACATGTTCAAGGATCGCATCCTCGAGCTGAACGCCTCCGACGAGCGCGGCATCAATGTGGTGCGCACCAAGATCAAGAACTTCTCGCAGCTCTCGGCGAGCAGCGTTCGTCCGGATGGCCGGCCGTGTCCGCCCTTCAAGATCATCATTCTCGACGAGGCCGACTCGATGACCCATGCCGCCCAGTCCGCGCTGCGTCGCACCATGGAGAAGGAGAGCCGCAGCACCCGCTTCTGCCTGATCTGCAACTATGTCTCCAGGATTATTGTGCCCATCACCTCGCGCTGTTCCAAGTTTCGCTTCAAGGCGCTGGGCGACGACCAGGTGATTGCCCGGCTGAAGCACATTTGCGAGGCGGAGGGCGTGAGGATCGAAGAGGAGGCCTACGGATCGATTGTCAAGATCTCTGGCGGAGATCTGCGCAGGGCCATCACCACCCTGCAGTCCTGCTACCGCCTGAAGGGCCCCGAGCACCTGATCAACACGGCCGATCTGTTCGAGATGTCGGGCGTGATACCCGAGTACTATCTGGAGGACTACCTGGAGGTCTGTCGCTCGGGCAACTACGAGCGCCTCGAGCAGTTCGTGCGCGAGATCGGCTTTTCCGCCTACAGCGTTGGCCAGATGATGGAGCAGTTTGTCGAGTTCATCGTCCACCATCAGGGGCTGAATGATCCGCAGAAGGCCACCATCTGCGATAAGTTGGGTGTAGGTTTCTGCTGCACATAGCTGTGGTTTATCCTGTTGTTAATTCTTTGATGTATCCCTTAGGAATGCTGTTTTCGCCTGCAGGACGGCGGTTCCGAGTACCTGCAGATCATGGACCTCGGCTGCTGCATCATCTTGGCTCTGAAGTGAGCACTTTCCTCGATATGTATGTACTTTTTTTTTGCGACAGAAGTCTAAAATATATTTTCTATTTAATTTGAATAGCTGGTCCTTGAAATTTTGTATATTTAAGTCTTAAAAACCAGTTTTCCTGCTACTAAATATTAAAAAGCATAGAACTGAATTCTCTTTAAGTTAATCTTTACAAATTAAAATGGAGTTCCCACTTTAGGGACTAAGAAATATTTAAATCATCCTCCCATCAGACCAACAAAAAACGCCTTAGTTTAGGTCTGAATTTGAAAATATATTTTAGGTTACTCTGTTCGATTTGCTAGTTGGCCACAAACTCAAACTCCTCCTCCTCGCGCTCCCGCTTGACGGCCACTCCCACGCCGGAGGAGGATGCCCCGCTGGCATTTCCCGCTCCTGATCCCGATCCGCTGGCGATGCTGCCCACGGCCGCCGCATCGCTGTCCACCTCCATTTTGAGGTCTCCTCCCCCGACGCCGCTGGGCTCGCTCTTCACCTCCAGACCTCCTCCGCCACCCGATCCGCTGGAGCTGGCCACCGTTTTCGTGGTGGTCGTTGTGGTGAACTTGATGACGGGCTTGGGAATGGTCACCACCTGCTGCTTAGACACCACCGAGTGGGCTCTCTTCGGCCCATTGGCACTGGAGACCGGCTTGACGACGGTCTTCAGGGGACGTCCCTCCACCGCCGACTTGGTCATCTTCTTGGGCTGATTTGTGGCCCGCAGCTTGTAGTTGACCCCGGTGAGGCAGTAGCGATCGGGGGGCAGGCGCAGACCGCAGTGCGGCTTGATGGGCGGCAGGGGCATGGCGTTACGCACGTCGGCCACCTTGGCCAACACATGACGGGCCGGCGGACCGGTGAAGCTCTTGTCCAGCGTCATCTCGGTGGCCAAGCGCACGTCGTCCATGTCGATGGTCTTCTTGCGCGCATGGTTCGCATACACCTTGGCGTCGTCCAGAATGCAGGTGACGTAGCCTGTATAATCGAAATTGGATATTATTAAGTGCATTCATTTAACTGTAGGTTAAAGCAGTCTCACGGAAGGTGAACTCCAGCATCTGGTTGACCACGCGCGGCTCGTACTCCTGGATGTTCAGCTCCTTCAGAATGGACATGATCACCTGCGCGTCCTTCGGCACGTGCTTTATTTGGGCACTGATCTTGGCCTTTTCGGCCTTCTCGCCGCTCATTTTGTTAGTTATTGTTTTGTTCAATTGAAAAATTATTGTTTACGGAAGCAATGTTGTAAAACGCCACTCACTTTGTGGCGCTATCTGAGCCATTACGCATACTCATCGATTGAAAGTTGCAATGTCATATCGATAACATATGTTCTAGGGATGGAACCACAGCCGATATCTGGTTGGTGTCCTAGCTAAACGGTCTGGCAACACCGACATCCGATAAATGGTGGGTGTATCTGCTAAATCGAACAATCTGGCAACAATGGTCCGATATCCGCCAAATGGTGGGTGTCCCTGCTAAATTGAACAGTCTGGCAACACTGGCCCGATATCCGACAAATATTCGGTGGGTGTCCCTGCTAAATCGAACAGTCTGGCAACACTGGTCCGCGATCAGCTCAATGGTGTGTGTCCTTGCTAAAATGGTTGCTGTACTCGCTTCCAAGGGTTTCAGTGAACTAGAAATTGGGGTAGTATGTGACGCTATCTTGACCTAGGTTTTTCAGCATAATTTAAAATTGAGGTAGGATATGGCGCTATCTTGACCAAGGTTTTCAGCAAAACTAAAAAATGAGGTAGTATGTGACGCTATCTTGACCAAGGCCACTTGGCTTTTGGCAATTGCTCTCAAACTGTAACTATCTAGGCCAAATGTGACTCTCAAACTGTAACCACATATACCAAAAGTGGCTCTCAAACTGTAACCATCTAACCAAAATTGGCTCTCAAACTGTAACCATATAGACCAAACGTGGCTCTCAAACTGTATCTGTGAACGATGACTCTAAAACTGTAGCCGTTTCACACAGCCCAAAATGTTCAAATTTGTAGGCTGTTCAAACAGTTGCAATAAATGGAAAATGACGCGACAAAAAAAAGGGAAAAGGGAAACTGAAACTTTAACGTAAGAAACTTTTATTCATTAAACGTACAGCTCTACATACAATATGCACTATACTTGGAAGACAATTTGAAGCTTGTCGCGCATTATTACATTCATATACATTGTACAATGAAACTTTTAGCTTAGATACATACATATTTTTTATTATTATTTTAGATACGCTACATGTACGTTACGTGCTACAATAAATTAACTCTTTATTGTTCCGTCTTTTCTCGCCTTTTCGCCGTGGTCATATATATGTTTATATATAGTTCCATCCATCCATCGATCCGTCTTTGTAAGATATTACGCAAAATTACGCGCAAACAATTCGCGCACCAAAAACTTGGACGCAACTTTGACTCAAGTCCCACCGATCAGTTATACATACAAGCATATTTATATAGCTCTATATAGACTACAAACTAAATTCTTGTCAAAAAAAAATGATGCTTTATATTATTGTCATTGTCAGAATGTGTATGAAATTGAAGATTTCGTTATTTGATCGCCAAGTTTTGTTGATTACTGGGGAGGGGGGTTGTGTTGGAGAACCAGGCTTCCTCCCTGGTCATTTGTGATTTCTATGCTGATATTGCTCGAAGAGTTTTTCTCGATTGAAGCTGGTTTTCCTCGGCTTTCCTTAGTAGTTGTAGGGGCCGTACTGCGAGCCATGATAATAGGGTCCTGGGTAGATCTGCGGCTGGGCGTAGTTGGGGTAGGGCGGATAGGGTGGCTGCTTCTGCGAGTAAACTGGAATAGAAGGTGGAAATTAGTTGATATTGCTGTTATTAGTGGAGAAGGGACTCCTCACCTGGCATCAGGTACTGCAGGTTCAGCTGCTCCTCCTTCTCCCGCTCATTGCGCAGACAAACGGCCGCTCCAGAGAGCAGGATGGCTGCCAGGAGACAGGTTCCGATTCCTGCCCAGGCCACGATGTACGACCAGTCGTAGGCGATCTTCGTGTTGTCGCGCAGGACCTGTAATTACGCACAAATAAAAGTGTCACATAAATTTCAATTCAAACCTTAAAAAATCAAAAACATGGCAAAATTGCTATTAAGAAACTTATTTGTTAGCTGTATAGATTTCATTGACAAAGTAAATATTTCAGAAAATTTGGCAACGGAAAACAGTGAAGCTCTCACTTTTTCGAGAAAAAATATTCTTGAAATCAAGGCAGAATTTCTCTCGCAATCTTTAATTTGAGTAGATTTATAATTTTCTGGATTTGTTTTATGATCATCAATCATCAGATCAAGAGAACGGTTTTATTTCAGAGCATAAGTTATGATGCATAGGTTGACATACCGTGTTCCACTGCTGGAAGTAGTCCTCGCCAACGACCTTCTCCTTCTCAAAGAACTCGACGGTGTGCCAGAGGCCCATGGCGCCGGCAGCCAGAAGACAGGTGACTAGCAGCAGGATCGAGGTGGCCGTGATGGCGCCCGAGGAGCGTTTCCAGCAGCCGGAGAGGCCGGTCCAGAAGGCACAGAAGATGGTCACGAAGCTGATGATGAACAGGGCGATGCAGGAGCGGGCCAAGTGGAGGCGCGAGGTGGCGTCCTCATTGGCGATCTTCTCGTCCTCCGCCTGCGGGAAGTAGTCGATGTTCGAGCAGTGCGTCTCGATCGGTGACAAATAGGTTGGCACTGCGGGATTTGGGATTCGAAGTCAGAAACTGAAAGTCCCATATTTATTTGATTTCTTACCCGCCGACGCCGGTGGCCGCTCCTTGGGATAGCAAATCCTGAACAATCCTCGTGTCCGCGTGTAGTAATAGTACTTCACATTCATGTTGTGTAGGAGTGACTCCGCATCCGAATGCTTGGCGGCAAAGGACTGAAATTGAGTGAGGTAAAAACATAAAATTATAAGATACACATTCTCAGTAGTATTTTAATAAATCTTAAGAGATAAGACTGATAAATATATTTTTGTTTGCACTTGAATTTACGGATTAACCTTCTTAAGGGATTAACGCCTGGGGTAAATGCCGAAATTCAAGCTCACCGATCATTGTTGTTATTCAATTGAAATTTACACTCCACCACACCCGCTGTATATTTTCCATATTTACTCATTAATAAACCCGTTTCCGCCCCTCGTGGGCGTCTCTTGATAATTTGTTCAACTACCTCGCCTCAGACTCCAATCGCAATGGCAATCAAAATAAAAATCACAATAACAATACCAATCACAATCGTAGTGAGAAATACAGACAGTCAGTCAGCATTGAACCGATGTCGATCATCATCATCATCCGGTCATCTTAACGATATACGGATGTTCGGATAGTGTGGGTTGCATGGGCTGTTTATATGCTATCTGGTATATGGTATATGGGTGCTTATATGCTGTATGAGCCCTCGTATCAGATCGAGTGGCATTTTGAACACGTTCCGCGGTTTTTCATTGTTATTTCTTTTTGATTTTTCGCTGCTGCTGGGTTGAGCAATTCTCCAGAGCGAGTTTACGACCCAAGGTTTTTTAGGCCCAAGTGTGCAAATGCATGATACAGTGCGTTTCTTGGCTGTAAGGCTGCTTTGGCTTTAACGATCTCTAAACTGATTATTGTCACCAGGGGTCGCATCTCAGTTAAAATGGTTTGGTAACTCTGTTTTTGTCGAGACCTTGAGCCTAATGGGTTTTTGGGTGAGATGTGCCAATTTGATAATTAAGAGATTTGTCTTTAATGTACCTACTATAAACATGATCGTCAGTCCGTGCGAGAAAAAGTTTCGGTTAGAACTTTTTGAAGCATAGAAATGACGTGCTCAAGAATGAAATCATTTCAATATGCAATCGCATTAATCACTTGACACATTTAACTCAAAATCATCTAAAGTCATCTTTATTTTCACCTTCACACAAATATGCGATCTTAAAAATGAATTTAAAATATGACGCATTTGATTAAATCACCTCACTCATCGAATCTTGAACCGTTTTTTTGTGCATTGTAGAACTCCACGTAGTGCTGTCTAATATTTCGACCACCTCCTCCATCAATTTCTCTGCGTGAAACCCGAGTGAAATCCAACAATTCCTCGTGATATCACGTTCCTCACGTTTTGGCAGTTTGCCAGAAATTCTACGATTTCTGTTTACGCGTATAATCGGTTGGCTTTTTCACCTTCTCAATCCTAAATCCTAAATCCCATATAAGAAATCCCAAACCGAGGGAAATCGCACAGAGACGAGACGAGTTTTTCACCATTACCATCAGTGCCATGCATTTTCATGAGGGGAAAAGAAATGCCAAGTCGAAAAACGTGTTTTACTTTACGGTGGTATGTCCGGTACTTAAACAACAATGGAAATACCAAAAAAAAAAAAGTAATAGACGAGGGGCTGTAGGAAGGGGGTTCAATGCCCAGCTTATATTGAAAACATTTTTCAGTTTTTGATCGTTTATTTTTGGGTTTTTCTGGGGTCTATATTATATGCGATTGGGGGCTTATGTAAATTGGCGGCTGGCTGGAAAATGAAAATGATTTTCGCTTGCGTAACCCTCGTCGTCTGGAGACGATGGTTAGATGGTTAGGGCACCGTGAACTGGTTAGGGCGTTCCACCTTCCATTTCTTTACACATTTCTTTATACCTTTCTTTATCCATTTCCATTTTCTTCTCCCCACTTATCCACACTCTTGAGAAATGTTTTCGCTTGGCTCGGCCCAAAAAAAAAAAAACGACCATCTGAGAGACCATCTCTTTATTAGCGCCTCCTCAGCGGATTAATTTTGTAACTTTCTTATGAAAGTCTTGGGCAATTAAGGGCCTCCATGTACACCTAACAAATTGTCCAGCATTCAATCATTCAATCGTTCAATCAGGAAGGGGGCCGCTGAGCTGGATTAGAAATGCATTCGGCTGTGAACGAAAACCGGGGAGATAATGCCGAGAAATGTGAAGAAATCGGCGGGATGGAGGTGGAGATGAGATGGAAAACGAGAGCGAATCAAATTATCGGTTGGTTAGCTGGATTAATGCGGCATGCCACTTATATAGATGCATCCAATCCATGTGGTTAAAGGGTTACGCATGGCGAGATATCGATTGCGAACAAAACCGTAATGCGAAAAGTGCTTCAAGGTTGATCAGCGATCGACGATTGTCCAGTCAGAAATGGAAAATAATCAGCAAGTTATCTGGATAAATTCGAGATCTTAAGTGCCACCGGGAAAGTTTATCAGTTGGATGGTACAATGCATTTTATCAATACGATTTCATCTGCGGCTGACCAAAAAAAACTTTCTTCAATCAAATTACCCATCGAACAGATGAAAGAAAGTCTCTCGCGAAAGACTGTGTCAAAAAGTTTTAATTTGTTGCTGATAAGATTATCCCATATGAATGCGACACTAAACCATTATTTATCACTCATTTCTAAACGAGGGGGAATGGGGAAAAATAGATTACATTTGGTAAATTTCGGATTATTATAGTTCAATTTAAATTAAGTTCAAAAAAGCTTTACTTTGATGGGGAAAACTAAAACATATTTGATCTTTAAATACTTGGATTATATTACTAAAATCTATTTAAACTGATATTGTTAAGATGATCACAATGGAGGTTAAGGTACTATATGTTTCCAATCTCAAGATCTCAAGAATCCTTATATTCAAGTTCTCTAGATGAAGAAATTCCAATCGATCGGTAGACCTGCGGAAACACTTGCGAACTGGAACTGCCATTTGCAACCACTTGGCAATCGGTTGTTTGGTGGTTCAGTGGCTTAGTGGTTCGGCGGTTGCCTCAGTTTCAGAGTTTCCCGAGCTCAGTGGCTCAGTTGGACAGTTGTTAAGTTGGCAAGTTGGTAAGTTGGCAAGGCACAAATATTTTTATGACACCCGGGTCGGAAACTAGTTTGGGGCCTACTAGTGCAGAGCAGACCCCCCTTTTGAAACCCCCCCTACATTTTGTGCCGACGACGGATGTCGGTGATTAGCCAATCGGACAACATGTGTAAGGCGGACTGTGGTGGGGCTGGGATTGGATAAAACCAGATACCATATACCAGATGCCAGATAAAGCTCCCCAAACTGGATCGGTTCTTGAGAGCAGGATGCCGGCAGCTGTGCTGCGAGTGCCTTGAGTGCCTCCACCACCCCCTTTTACCCTTCCCCCATTCAAGAAAAAAAGCCCCTCTAGTCAAGGCCGAACCAACTGTGGATTTTCCACCTCCCACACGGGCGAAAAATACCACCCAAATTAGTCATATATTTGGAATTTTTTGACACGAAAGAATTTGTAATAAAAACTTTTGACTACATAAAAAAAATCAAAATTCGGGCATGATTTAACATGATTAAACACGATTAACACTCTTCCCATTTATTTTCTTAATGCCTTAATATAAGATCCGCTTATATAAAAACACCTGTAGATTAAGATGAACGAAATGCGATCCAGTGATTTATTTTTGGCTTTGTTTTTTTCGCGGTGCAGCCTTTAATGAATAATTTATAACGCACTGCACCCAAGACAATACAAGAGAAAAACAAAACAGTTTGCAACCATTCCAATCCGATGCACAGACATCAATTTAAACTGTCGAGCAACTGGTTTCTCTATTTCTGTGACTGTTTCTGGTTTCTCGATTTGTCAAAATACCTAACAAAACACCAAAAAAAGGTCGTGGGAGCACGACATTGAGGGAAGATCGCCGAGATATTTCAATTCCACATTCTTGACACTCGTGTGCGTACTTTGGCCCACACACAGATGGAAAGATCGCAATTACAGCCCCCAAAGAAGCCCCATTAAACAGATTCATATGATATATTTTTATGGAACACGGAAGTCGTCGCCGCATTTGTGAAAAAAAAGTGATAATGAAAAAAAGTAATAATAGTAGCAGTGGCGAGAGACGAGAGACTGAAACCTGAAACCGATTGAAATCAAATGATTTGTTTATTGAGTGGAGTAGCGAATAAAAAACGCACACTATTATCGCTTGAAGCTGGGCTTCTACCAATTTTTATCTATTTTTATTTTTAGTTATATCTTTTTTGGTGGGAAGCGAAAGCGTTTTGAATCGCACGCTCAAGCAGTCTCCATAATGGGAGACCTCGGATGCAGAGATCTTCGAGACGAGACCCAAGAATCTCGCATGCGGATAATTGCGAAGAAATTAAGTTTCGTATAGCCTTAATTTTCAATTGCCGGGAACTGATTTTATTTGGCATGGAAAATTGAGATTTTAGTGGTAAAATGTTAGGTGATAAGTGGATATGAAGGCCAAATTAGGGAATTTAATGAATATACTTTATTTTAAGAACGTTTTCCTATTCCGATTTCTTAGAATTTCATTAAACAATTTCGACTTCTTCCGCCGCCGAAAAAAAACAGGAAACATCAACCGGTTCCCGATAATCTCCACCTTTCTTCCCAGAACTCTCGAATTCTCGAATCAATTTCTAGTCGCTCTGAGCCAAGTGCAATTCACCTTATGCTAATTTGGCTCAAATCGCGGGAATATGGCCAAGTGCTGATTAATCAATTTGGAATTTCACATGATGTCAGCAATAAAATAATAAATTAAGCACTCCGACGATGATGGCGTCAATAAATATCGAGAGAGAAACACAGCAAATGGGTTCCACTTCAGTTGAAAAGGTAAAAAAGAAATCTTCTGTCACACACGGCGTATGCGCAACCCCAGCTGAAAATAAAAATAATTAATTTCACATCGCGAATTAACATGTGTTTCGTATTTCGTAGTTTCGTCTTTCTGCCGACAAAAAGCTTACTAAGCGTAAAGACCCAGCACGAAATTCATTCATCGCCAAAATGGCAGGGAAAACAGGGAAAACGGCCAACTGGATGGAGCCAACTGAACAACAGCAGCTTTTCATTTGATATTTGATTGGGCTTTGGGGCTCGCTTTTTGTTTTCCTTTTTCTACACATATATTTCTCATTTTGTGTTTTCAGTCTTCAGTTTTTGTCATCGCAGTCGCCGGCATTGCATTGCATTTGCCCAAAGTGAGACGGGTGTAAAATGAAATCGAAGAATGGAGAGTGCATATATCCACACTGAAAAATGTATTTATATCACGCCAATGGGGAATTTATCAACAGTTTCTATAAGATGGGTTCAGGAATTCAAGGTCTAGAAAATAATACATGTATAATAATAAAAAAAAAAAAAAAAAATAAAAAATAATAAAAAAATAATAAAAAAAAATAAATAATTACCATTTTAATCATTGAAAGATATCGAACTTTTTAAATAAAATAAGGGTACATTTTATAATAATATTATTTTTTTTAATTTTTTTTTTTTTTTGGTTTTTTCAAATATTGTTTTCAATTTTATTTTGTACCCTGGGGAGAAGGGTTTTCTCTTTTCACCGATCGAACAACGAACCCCGTATCGAGTTGAAGACGAGGCCAAAACAAAGTTTTATCAATTGGGTTTGGGTGCCCGGGGATCCCAGTGCCACCCCCTTTTACCCCCTCCCATCTCAAAGAGAGAAACAACAACTGCGAGTTAGGGCCAAAAAGCGAAGTGGCAAAGCAAACCGGCCAACTAGCCGCATACCAATTTTGAGTCGTCGTCGTTGTCTCGAAAACGTGAAACGAGTGAAAACTCAACTTGAAAACCAGTTTGCTGGGGATCTCTGGGGGAGGAGGGTATAAGGGGGTAGGTACAACGATGGCGACGGCGATATAGGCGTGGATTCGTATCCACGATCCAAAGCCACAAAGCCTCAAAGCCAAAGCCAAATGGTTTGGCCTAAGACAAAACAAAAAACGATATGGCTTTGGTATGCCAGCCAAGTAAGAGTACTTCAAAAGATAATGAACAAGAAGGAGAAGCAGCCGGATCGGATCGGATCGTATTGGTGGCGAAAGCCAGAGGTGCATGGATAGATAGGGACACTAGTGTTCAGGTGCCTGAACTTTGTTTAACCATAAGATCTAGGAAGGAACAACACTATTGTAATACAATCATTTCTTAGAAATAGATTACTAAAGTTAGGAATACTGTAATATAAATGTCCTCTATAAAGAATAATGATGGCTACATTAATTATTTGAGAGCCTTGATGGTATATTTTATCTATAAATGCAACATAGAGATCCATCGATATCCTGCATACAAAAATAATTGTTATTCATTTAGAAACAAATGAATAAATAATTTTCTAACGTAATAATCATCATGATTCGTTCGGCTACCCAGGATTCCCTTTATGAGGACCGTTCATAATCGCTCTGTGTACTTAATTTTCCGCTCCCCGGGGATGCACTTTACAAGAAGAAGGTTTCCTGTCCCAGCCAGGTAGCCCATCTCGAATTACCTGTTGCACCTGAGCGGTTCTTTCAAAGCCTCATCTAAGGGCGGAAATTAAAGAAGAAGATTGGGAGGGAGGAGGGGAAGAAAGGTAAACGTACACAAGTAAAGAGAAGGGGACGATGACCCAAAACGGGGGAGGTCGAATCCGAATTCCCTTCTGCGTCGATTACTTCTAATGGCTTTATAAATGCCCTTAAGATCTCCACGCAGGGAGAGATCCAACGATCCAACGATCCACCGACCCAAGCGATCTCACCGTAATTATCGCTCCCTCGATTCCATTGAAACTTTCGTATTATTTCGGATTAGGCGACAAAGTCAAAAACGTGCAAATATTTTCAGCACACTCTGAGTCGTTTTCTTCCTCTTCTCCAGCTGTTTTTTTATTGTTTCTTTTTTTTTGAGGTAACTTGTTTTGGAATGAATGGTATGCGCACTCACACTCAAACGATCTTCGTACTACCTCTATACTTGTATCTCTCTCACATCTAATGTTCTCTCTCTCTCCCGACTGCAGTTCCAAGTCGGAGTTGGGGTTTCCACAGTAGTACTTCATTAAAGGAAACTTTATATTAGTTAGAAACTATTTTAAGGATGGGAGAAATTACTGCTGAATGAAACCAATATAACTAATTTATAAATAACCTTTAAATGGTATTTTTTTAACCTTTTTAAATTAAAATTAAAAATGTTAAAAAACTAAGACTTTTGAAATTTCAACATTTTTTAATCAAATGAAAATTGATTAGAAGTTTGACTGTATTTGCAATGTAAAAGGTGTAATTGTGTTGGTGTTGGTAATGAACATCCACTGTTACTCCTTCTCTCCTCCTCCCCCTCCCCCTGCTCTCCCCTTCTCACTTCTTCTTCTTCTGACTGGGCTCTTCTTCTTTTTTTGCTTCTCATTCATCGCGTTTGGCTTGGCTAAGCGCTCGCGTAGAAAGTTTGAACGTTAACGGTTGCCCACCCTCCACTCCCCCTTTTCCCTCCCCCTCCCCTTGCCCCTCTCTACAATGCCAGTTGTTGGTGTGTTTGCTTTCGACCTTTCTTCTTCTCCGCCTTGCCCTTATTTTCTTTTGGCCAAGCACAAAACGAGCAACTGTTACTGTTACCACCGTTTGTTGCTGTTGCCTTTGTTGCTGCCTCTTCTCTTCCCCTCCTCTTCCCTCCTCCTCCTCTTCTCCTCCTCCGCACAGTGGGCCACACACACCTGTTTGCAGTGCACAAATGCCTTCGAGTGCATCTCAATTATCTTGTTTATCTAAGCATCGCTATAGATATGATTCTTGGAAGAGGGATGGGATCCCGATTATACAAGAAGTTCTAAGATCTACAAGAATACAAAAGTGTAATAGAAATTCCATTCTTAGATAGAAGAATTTATCTTCTTTGATATAAATGAAATTAAGTTAAGCCTCAGTATTGAAAAATCAATATGGAATTCTTCTACGATATTCCAATTCACATATATGTATATTTGTATGGAACCTTAATTCTTCTAATAATTAATATTCTACGAATTCTTCTACGATATTCCAATTCAATTTTATTTGTATGGAACCCTAACCTTAATAGGGATTCCATACTTAGATAGTACGATTTATTTGTGATATAAAAAAACAAGTAAATACACAGAATTTAAAAATCAATAAGGAATTCTTCTGCGATATTCCAATCCAAATACATTTGTCTGGAACCTTAACCTTATCAATTTGATTACTTTAAAGCCAATCTTTTCAGATCCCTCAAGCTACTTTTGCCACATCTCTTGCACCAATGTGCGGAGTTCGTAACCGGAGTTTAAGCTCCGTTTTAAGCGTCAGAGTCTTCGTCTTCGGCTTCTTTGCTGTTTGTCTGTTTGGCTGTAACTTCTGCCACGCAGTCGCAGATGCACCGTATATTTTGGTGGCTCTTTCTGATTATGTATTCCAAGCGAATGGGCCTTGGGTTAATTCGATTCGTAGCCCCCACTTCTTTTGGTTTGGGGGCCTTGGCTGCAGAAGACTGAAGACTCAAAATTGAAGACTCACCTGTATCTGGTTGCGCCAGACATCGTAGTGCAGCCAATTATCCGTGGAGAAGGCGATCGCCAGCAGGGCGGTGGCGATGATCGCACAGATCGTCGCTATAGATAGGGTTACGGCCGAGCAGGGCATTTTGTGTGGTTTTATTCCGGAACTGTTTCGAAATCGCCTATATTTCGGTTGTATTTCGAGATTTATCCACCGAAAATCCACGAAAAACCACTATTCCTCGTCGATTTGTGATCTTCTTCTTCTGCTTCTTCTTCTCCTTCCGCAGCTAGATTCTTCTGCTGCTGCTTCTTCTTGAACTGCTGCTACTGCTGCTGCACAAATACACAGTTAAAAGAGCAGCAACCAGTTTCGAAGGCACAGTAAAAAAAACAACGTTCGTTTGGAAAAAAAATAATAATTTTAGCAACGGGCCAGCACTAACACACTGACACGTCCTCCAGCACACACACACGCACACAGCACATACACACGCACGCGCGCCGGCGAAGAATCTTGGAGCTTGGAGAATTGAGAATCAAGAACGGAGAATCGAATCTCTGAGCAGCGAGCAACTGAGACGTTGTGATCGCAACAACGTTCGCTAGCGGACTGAAAATCGTCAGCGACTGAGCCCGACTTCAGGTAATACCAAATACCCATATACCCATACCCATACCCATATCCATAGTCTCAAGTCGCAGTCGGCGTCGAAGTCGGCGTTTCATTTGAGCGCTTTGCAATGCAACCGAATGACGGGGGAAGGAGAGATGGGAGAAGGAGGCAAGGAGACGGTGTCTCTTCTACCTGCTGGATAAAGTAGAGACAAGAAATGAACAACTGATTCGAAGACCGAACCTTGAAATGCCCTAACAAATCGTTTATATCCATGCCAATTATATGGAAACTAGCTATGATGCTCTGAAAAGCCATAATATATAGATATACAGAGTTTCATATCAATAACATAATCTAATAACTATTTGTCAAGACTATCTTCAAGATTGTGTCAAGATTTATCGTATGATCCTCTGAAAAGCCATAATATATATAATATAATATAATCTAAGGTGTACCTAATAGCCACTTAACAAGACTATCGTTAAGATTTCGTCAAGATATATCGTATTATCCTCTGAAAAGCCATTATATAGCTATACACAAAGTTTCATATCAATAATACCACTTGTCAAGACCATCGTATTTAAGGGATATTGGATATACATGCCCTCTAATTGGATTACGAAACCAGAAACTCAAAACTAGAATATTACTAAATAAGTTAAGTTCTTTTAAATTTCTTGAGTTATGAATACCCCTTGAAAGGGTATGCCCAAGCCAAACAACAATAAAGCAGCAGCCTGTTGATATTTTCGTGTTTTCGTTTGGTATTTGGTATGTGGTGCTGTGGGGCTGCCTGTGCCAGTGGTTTCGATGGGGAGTGGAGTGGAGTGGAGTCCCAGTGGGCAGAAAGACAGGAAGGTAGGACGAGAGGCACAGAGACATGGAGTCACAGGCGTAGGCGGTGGGCTGGAACTCGCATTGAAGGGGAGTGCTGCCATATCTTTACCGTATCAGAGTCGTAACTCTGTCAAAACTCAACAACATATTTTATTTGCAACATATTGGGATCAGCCTCCTCAAAACAAATAGTACACTAAAATAATATTACACTAAACAATATAATCTCGAATAAAAAAAGAATGAAACACCTATCGAAACAGTTTCACTTTGAGGTCTGTCTAACCATCTGTCGAAGTGACTTTTCAGAGATTTGTAAGACAATATTTTTAATGTTTCATTTGAATATGGTTGGTAGTTTCCTGAAATCGACTGGCGAAACAATACCCCCAGCTGAAAAGAGAACAATTAGCTTCTGGGACGAGAACATATAGAATCCAGATAGTAATAATGGAAAACCGCCCATATGAGCTCCGATTAGTTCGGCCAAAATGGGATGCGAACGGCTTTTTCCACCGCCCGCTGTTAATCAGGGCGCAGCCGATGCCTCGCCGATTTCTCGCAGTGTGGAATTGACCCAAAGATGCTGCGACTGCGCAGGTAAAAATATATATATCCTTATACAGAGATAAATATATGTATATGTTTATAGCTGTGTGTGCGGCATTGGCATCTCGCTGCGTCTACTTGTTGTTGTTGATTTTCATCGGCTTTAATGCCTTTGTCTATTTTGGGTTTCTGTTTATGGCGTGGGTTTTTCTCAATTGCATTTTTGGGCGCGCTCTCGACTGCAGCAGCTCAAATGCAATGGCGGGCATGAAAATGTAAGCTCTTATATATTACCTAAGTAGTAACGAAGTAAAAAAATGATTAACTAATTTATGGTAATTTATTAAACATCTCTCTCTTAAATAGTTTATTTTCAGGATCAATGGTACCAATAGTATTAAAAATAAAATAACTCCCTTCAAATAAAACTCAAAACGGTTTAAAAATTATGCAATAACGCCCATCTCTCTATGATCTATGACAGAAATAAATGTGTTATGAAATAAATAATGTGTTTCAAAATTTATGTAAGCATTATTAAGCTAAGAAATTCAAATCAAAAAGACAAACAGTTAGTCAAATAATATTTATTTTTTAAAAAATCGTTTTTTTAGGAACGACAGAAAAACAAAGAAGCTACTATTTCGACTGCAGTTGTTAGTGTTATATGTGTGAGTGTGGAAATACCAGAATTACCTAAATAACAACAAGAATAGCCATGCACTTATATAGCAATGCTTGTAATCGGATCGGATCGGCATGTTGGCCAGTTCAGTGGGGTTCTCGATCTCAATTGCTGGCCAAAAGTTTCAGGCCTCTCGAGTGTCTGTCTGTCAGTCTATCTATCCGTCTCTTTCTGCGCCCCAGCACCCCTCTCTTTCTGCACATATAATTCGTTTTCTTTTCGCATTCCACTGAAATTCCATGGCGTCGCATTTATTTTATTTTTTTTTGCCGACTTGTTGTCACTTTTTCAGTTTTCAATTTTTTTTCTCCTTCAGTTTCAGTTACCCGAGGTGGTGGGTTGGTAACCAGCAGCATTATGCGTTATGGCACTTAATTCACATTTTAGCACAAATTATTAAATATTTGACGGGCCGCAAACGAAAGTGAGAGCGGTGGTGAAAAGGCCAGAAGAAGACGAAGACTTCCGCCACTGCACACAGAATGGCTAATTTATGCGATTATTGGTAAGGCAAGGCAGCCCCAACGCAACCCGGCCATTTGCGGTCGTATTTCTGTCATTTTAATAACTCTTGCATTGTGGCCAGGCAAGCAAATATCACAAAGCCCAGCGAAACGTGTTCGTTCGCCAGTGAAAGTAAGTGCCAAGCCAAAGTCAACAGTCACTGGGTAACAGGCGAAAAGGCATCAGGCAACAGGTAGCAACAGGTGGTGACCGCGACGGTCAGAAGCCAGAAATGGCAATGGTTCCCATCCCGAAAACATCTCTAAGAGATCCGTGATCTTGAAAATTAAAGAAATCGAATACCATCATTCTGTACAATTTGGAAATATTTGTTAAAGTTTTGTAACCTTTTTAATTATAATAATTAATTCGGACTTCATCCATAGGGATTTTTATTACAAGCTGAACAAGGTATGATATTTGAGCCAATATTTCCATAGTTTCAACCAAGAAATTTCAAAATTGGTTTTAAATCTACCGTTTAAATTAAATTTTAAAAATACGCACTGCTTGCTTTGCGCTGTGAGCAACAGGTTCGAGTATATGCTGTGTCGACGACATCAACCGTGGTTTATGTCTACAGTGGTTTGGAGCTTCGCTTTTTTAGAGATGACAAAACATCCATGATTTTTTGGTTTAAAATTCCTAATTAAATAGATTTTATAATTGAGACGAATTGTTTTATTTCGAATTCATGTAACAACAGTTTTGTTTCTGTGACTTATTTATTTTAGTTAAATAAATAATAATAATAATTCCATAAAACGAGTAAAATATAAATGCATTTGCGCAAAAATACGCTGCAATGAACAAAAATTTCATATGGGACACCCATTTGCCTTGCAATCTTTCTTTTAATTCAAATCAGTTTAAATTTTGCGCCAAAAAACTCGAACAAAACAGGCCCACAGGGTGATTCGATCCAAAAAATAGCAGTGTTTGAAAACACAAATTTGTGTGGTATTTAAAATACTGAAAATACCGGTGCAAAATACCCCCGAAAAAACCTATCGATACCATCATGTACCATCTCGAAAAACTTGTTTTTTTTAGTTTCGAAAAAAAAATGCGCAGCGGTGCAGCAATTGCAATGCGTGCAATCAATCCCGTTAACAATCAAGTGCTGAGCGCGCAGAGCAGCCAATAGGAATCAGATCGGAATTGCAATTGGAATCAGGATCGGGAGTCGCGAATCTAATCGGAGGAAGGCAAGTGCGCTGGTCGATTGCAACTGCAACTGGAATTGTTGTATTTGTAATGAATGCAAACGGGCCCCGTGTGTGTGTGTGTGTATGAGTGAGTCTGGCCTGTGTATGGGTGTTTGTGTGTGTACGCGAGAGCCAGGAGAGCAATAATTAAATTAAGCAAAGGTGTTAAATTAAGCCAGAGTGTGTGTGTGTGTGTAGGTGCGTAGGTGTCGTGGCTCTCTCGTCTCTCGCCTGTGTGTGCGTGCGAGCTGTGTATATATGCAGGAGTGACAAAATTCTAATAAAAATTCTTGTTATCGCTGCTGCACCCCCTCCCTTTGCCCTCCCCCCTTTAGTCCACCCCCTGGCGGCACCTCTACATAAAATGGCTTAAAAAAATACTAGCAAACGTCGTACTACGAAAACGACGACGCACGACGTCGGTGGGCGGTGGGCGGTTTTCCGGGGGGCGGCTGCCTTTTCCGGCTACTCTTTGCCTCTTTTTCCCTCTTTGCCTCTTGCTCATGTGTGTGTACTACAGCGGTACTTTTTACGCACTTCAGAATCGCAATCGGAATCAGAATCCCTCTCTCTTCAAATCTCCTGCTCTCCCGCTTTTCGAAAACCCTCTTTTCAAATCCGTTTTTGAAAATCAGAATCCTTTTCCTGCCAAATCTCGAATAACCAAATCTCAACGCCCAAAAAAAAAAAATCTCGTCTGCTTTTTGGCTTCAATTTCTGCGCACAAGCACGAGCGTAGGTGAAAAGGGGGCGGTGGGTGGCAGTGGGTGGAAAGGGGGTGGTTAGGGGGCGGCCAGGACGACAGGACGAAAAACGGCGCACGCAACTGTCATTGACCTTCAATTGCATTCGTTGCAAGCTGCAGCCGCCGCACCCAAAGGTCATAGTCATAGGTTGGGATGTGTGTCATCCAATTAATCAAAATCGAACCCTAAAAATGGTAGCTAATGGTCCATCTATCCGTTTTATATAGCGCTTCTAAAGTAAGAAATCCTTATCGGTCCGGAAAAAGCGCCTAAAACCGGCGATATTATAATAATATAGGAGAAATATATAGATATTTTGAAGTTCTAGTATTCTTGAGGTCCTTACATCCTTCATATCTGTAGATATGTGACTAAAAAGATCTTTAGGATCTCTAAAAGTTTCTTTAATATCCAAATTAATTAAAATAAAGTAATATTTGGGTATCAAAATGTTATGATATCTTAAAAATACTTAAATATTCTATGAAACTGATTTTAAAGTACCAAAATCGAACCCTAAAAATGGTAGCTAATGGTATCTATCTATTCGTTTTATAGGTAAAAATATCGCTTTTGAAGTGAGATATCCTTATCATCATTTTGCATGTGAGAGCTCCTTAAAAAGGCGATATTAAAAGAATATAGGAGTAATATCTTAAAGTCCTTACATCTTCATATCTATAGATATACTATTTAAAGGATCTTTAAGTTCTTAGTTAAATCTCTAGGAATTTCTTGAATATCCTAATAAATTAAAATACAAATAATATAATATATGAATTACAATTTACATATCCTATCATATCTTGCAAAAGTCCTTAAATATTTTATGAAACTAATTCAAAGTGTCATGTTGTATTTTTATTATAACATTTTTGTAGTTAACCCGAATTACCCCCTTTTATCTCTTCCCATAGCTGTTGCCTCTCACCTGAGTCTCTGGCCCCCGAAAATGGAGTCGTCCATTAAGCTTAAGGACAGCAACTCGAACTGCAGCTCCAACTCAAATGGCAATGTGGGCGGTGGCGGTGGTGCAGGGGTGGCGGGAAACGGAGGAGGAGGAGGAGGCGTTTGCGTGTCCAGCATCTGCAGCAGCGACAGCTTCAGCATCATGCCGCCGCCGCATCACGAACTGGTCAGCGCCAACAGCATCGAGCTGAATGCGGCGGCCTCGTTGAGCGACGACAGCGGTGTTCCGCTGACCACCAACAGCTCCATTTCCAGTGGCGACTCCTACCGCCTGGGCATGTGCAAGTTCGAGATTGAGGTGAGTTCCTCTATAAGTAATCCCTCCTAATCCTAATCCCCTAAACTATTCTTCAGATGGTCGAGAGCGACGGCGAGGTTTCGCAGTTCGATTCGCTGGACAATTGCTCCGAGGGCGGTATGAGTGCCGAGAACTTCAATACGCTGAAGAAGGGACCCCTGGCGCCCATTGATCCGCCACCCGAATTCCAGGACTCACCTCAAACGACTCTAGTGCGCTCCATCTCGAAGAACATTGTGAACAGCCTGCGTCGCTGGACCTCCTCGCAATCGTCGTTCGAGCATCTCAAGGACGATGCCGCCACCATGGTGACAACATCGGTTGTCCTGCCTGCCGAGGAGCAGCATCCCCATCCCAGCCAGCAGGAGTTGGTCCTGCAGCTGGATGCCTTGGATGGCCAGGCTCTTGGACAGATGAGCTTGAAAGAGTCCTATGCGATCAACAAGCATTTGTACTCGAGCGACTCCATACTGAACAGCCATACGGACAACATTTACGACGAGCCCAACAATATAGTAAGCAGTTCGCTGGGCAACAGCGTCGATCTGCTGGAGGAAGAGCAGTCGGAGGCCAGCAGCTGTTCGCCTTTGCCCTCGCCACCGCCGCCCGTTTCCCTGGTGAAGATCAAGCAGACGCTGTGTCCGTACTACCAGGATCACACGCGCTACTTCAAGGCCATACCCACGGAGCAGGACAACATAGCGAGTGCCAAGGCGGCGGCGGCCCAGCAGAGATTCAATAGCGCCGGGCTCTCGGAGATTCACGACTATGATTTGTACTATGGAGCCAGGCGACAGCCGGCGGACAACAGCAGTCTGCAGCGACGACAGGCTTCGCTGTACAGTCCACTGGGTCACACCAGCCATTGTCACTATCATGGGAATAATGGCTCTCATCCGCATCATCATCATCATCACCACCATCATCACCACCAGCCGGGCTATGGTTATAGCCACGGGCAGCGTCCCAACTCGCGCAACTCGCTGAACAGCCGACTGAGCAGCTCGCACAACTCACTGAATGTCTCGTCGGCCAACAAACCGGATGACTCCATTTTCATCACCCAGGCCATGTCGCATGATGCGCTCTTCACGCGCGAGATCTCTGACTTTTACAACGTGCCCATCGACTCGGATATCTACGCCTTTCCCGTGGACATGATCGAGCAGCAGCAGCAGCAGGAGCAGCAGAAGCCCACGTATCACAAGGCGAGCAGGCGGAACAAGAGGAACAAGCGCAAGCAGCGCTACGGAGGATCAGAGACCAGCGATGGTGATGGTGAGAAGAGCAAGCATGGCAAGTATAGAACCCCAGTGGGCATTAGCCAGGTGGTCAGCGAATCGGAGCCACTGCACATGACCCTCGACGAGGTAAAGCAGTTCTACCACACCCTCTACTCGGATGCGGGCGACAGAAGCGGCGGAGGAGGAAAGCCCACGGTTAAGCCGATGGTCAAGTCGAGCAACGAGACCATTTGGAGTGTGTCCACGAATACCACCACCACAACGGCGAGAACGCGGAGCAGTGTGGGCACCACAAGGGGAGCAGGAGGTAATCCACCTGGAGGAACTGGAGGAGCCAGCAGTGATGGAGGCAATCCTGGTGGCAACAAGTACTTGAGCAAGCAGACCAAGCACAATCTGGACAACGACAAGCTCAACAACAACAATAACAACAACAACCAGCAGCTGGAGAAGCCGCCAACGGAGCAGCACAACAGCAATGCAAATCACAACCAGCAGCTGCAACAACCGCCGAACAACAAGCACGTCCTGCACTCGGAGAAAAAGTCACAGTTCACGCTGAACCTAAAGCAGCGCTTCTGCAGCATCTTTCGCTTCCGGCGGAGCAATCACAGTCGCTGCCGAGGATCCACAGCTGGCAGTCTGGTGAATAATGCGAATGCAGGAGCGGCCACGGTGCCGCTGATACCGCCCACGGCAGCCCACGTGATAACCAGCGCTCCGGGGGCAGCGGGCCAAACACAGCTGGCCACCGAAGTGGCGCTCATTACGGCGGAGGCGGACGAACCGAATGCCGATCTGCGCAAGAAGTTCCAGTCACGTGCCCTGCCACCACTACCAAAGAAGGGTGAGTAGTCCTGTGATCCCTTATCCAATTAGATCAGAGTTTTTAAAGCATTTTTATCCCCCAGCTGCTGCCTATGCCATTGAAGCCGTTAAATCGGAACCCGAGGAGCTGAAGGCGAACGTGATCCAGGAGCCGCGGGCACTGCAGTTCACCTCCAGCATTGAGAAAGTCAAAGACGTGGGTTTCATCCTATCCTAGGATACCATAATCCTAAATCCCTTCTTTTCGTTGTCTAGTACGGCTGGTACTGGGGTCCCCTGTCCAGCGAGGCGGCCGAGAAGGTGCTCTCCAGCGAACCGGACGGCTCCTTTATAGTGCGCGACAGCTCCGACGACCACTACATCTTCTCTCTGAGCTTCAAGCTGAACAACTGCGTGCGCCATGTGCGCATCGAGCAGGATCAGGGTGAGTTGGAACTTCCATAGCAAAAACCTAACCTAATAACCTTCTTTAAAATTAAACAAAAAAAAATCTGATATGAAATAGGTTCAATTCTAGCTTTTTTCATATCAATATGATTCATACATATCAACATGATATTTTATCATATCATATCAAATACCAAATTTAGTATTTTTTGAAAAAATACTATAAAATAAGATAAAAATAATCTTTATTCATATCAAAATGATATAAACTTGATCTTTAGAAATATAAAATTTACCAGCACATATCAATTTGATATTTGGCCAATTTTCTGTGTAAATCCTAGTATAATTGTATACATTTACATTAATTTAAATCTACTCCCTTACCAGGAACCTTCTCCTTTGGCTCGTATGCCAAGTTCAAGTCTCAAACCATCACCGAGTTCATCGAGAAGGCCGTCGAGCATTCGCGGAGCGGCAGGTTAGCTCAACTTTGGGTCCGTAATTCCGCTTATCAACCTAAAACCCAATTTGTATTCCCAGATATCTATTCTTTCTGCATCGTCGCCCAGAGCACGGACCAATGCGTGTGCAATTAACCAATCCAGTATCTAGATTTAAGCATGTACAAAGCTTGCAGCACATGTGCAGGTGAGTTATCCTCATTTCTATCGCCATTTTATACCCGATTCTAACGAAACTTCTTTGTCGACACTATAGATTTGTTATACTAAAGGCGGTTATACGAAAGGATCTAATACAGACATTGCCATTACCGAGAAGACTTCTAGACTATCTTAACTATAAGCACTGCTACTCCGAGCAGGTGGAGAGCGACAGTTCCCATTCGCAGGTGAGTTCTTAACTTGGTAAAATAAATCCAGTAAATTACTATTATTTTTCGGGATTTTACAAATATTTTAAATTACTAGTTATGACTTTAAACTTTTTTTAAAAAGAAAATATTTAATTTTTCCTATATCCTTTAGATATCTGGCGATGGAACGATGTAAGTGGAGGGATAATGAACAGAGACGATTCGCTTGTGACAACAAAACGTAAACGAAAGCAACAGAAATTATTACCTTAAATAAGTAGTAGAATTTAACGAAACATTAAACAGCAGTAACAAAGCAAACAAACAACCGTTAAACGTTCTGTATAACAAGAACAGCAAACAAAAAAAAGAAGAGATGAAAAAAAAAACACCAAACATAAAACAAAAGTTAAATGAGTAAGCAAAGCGAGGAAATTGTTAGTTTTGCTAAAAAAAAAACGAAAAACGAAAAACCAAGGAAACAAAATTCAAAACTCTGTTTATTGATCATTTTTTTGTACTCGGTGCTATACTATAAATATTAACTATTTAATGAAAGGAACGCAGAAGCAGAAAACAGAATATGACGATTATATAAATTAATTATGCGTAGTCAAGTAAACGAATCACAGAATTGTACATAAATATGTTTGAGAGCCAGTAATCCAAGTAATCCCACCCACAACCAGAAACCAGAAACCCCCTCCCCTTTGGGCACGAATCAGAAAGAGAAAGAGAACGAGAATGAGAGTGTGAGGTGTTGATGTTTTGTGTAATCAATTAATTACTTTTATGCTTGCCTTTTAGCTGTGATTTAAATAAGTCGTCGAATGTTAATTGGAAGACGATTTGCAGTTTGATATTTGATATTTAATATTTAATAGATTTGATATAGCCTAGCCCCCATATAGTTGAGGTTCTGTTATGCACACTCGATCTGAAATCTGAAACTGATAGCATTTCGAAGCTGCTCAATCATCACGACGCCTGTGCCCAAAGGTCCTTTCAAGGGAAAGGGATCGATCATGAAACAACCATTATTGTACTTAGTTTAATCCATGTCATGATACACAGACACACAGATGAAAACCAACTACCAATAATTGTATTTAGATTTATTTGAATTGTTAACTAATTTTTGTTTTCGGCTTTGTTATTTATGTTTTAAGCTCAACTCCTTTGTACACTATTGCGTATGGTTTGTTTTTAGTTTGTATTTATTTCTTTGTATCCTAAAACTACCATCCCTCAATCCTCCAACACAATCCAATCCAATTCCTATCCAAAATCCAAGCCAAAATCGAGTCCGTCTTGGACTCTGCTCCTCTTTAAAAAACATTAAACAAACAATATTTGTCTATGGAAATAAAATAAACGAATGAAATGACGATAGAAAAACCAAAAGCAATGCAGATAAAGATGATGCGAGGCGGGGGAGAGGAGAACGAACGAACGGTCACAGCAAAAGAGCAAAACAACAAAGGCAATATAAAGAACATTTTTAATAATAAAAATTAAACAAAGGAATTGCTGGTTTTTAATATGGGAAATACATTTGGGGATTGTATTATATCCTATTTTTTAACTCCCTTTCCCAAAATGAGTAATTTATTATCTAGAAAATTCGAGTGTTTCTCTTGAACTAAAAAATGAATTGGCATGAAATTTTGGCATATAATCGCATATGGGCACTTCCAAAATGTCGCTCGGGACATTTGCACACCTTTAAAGTTGAAAAAAAATTGTAAAACAATGGATTTTAATTTTAATTATGGGCTTTTCTTTTCACTCTTCCCAAGCTCTATTTTTGGTAAAAATCTTGATTTTGTACCACTTTTAGTTTTTAAGATATCGGTAAAAAACTGCCGTATTCGCTCGGGACAAAAATAGAAGTGGATTTCGGGGAAGTTCATACAACACCAGAATTTAGCAAATTCTGATGGAATATTTGAATGCGATTTTTTTTAGAATGTTGTTCAAACATGTCGCTATGAAATGCTTTTGGTTTTACTCAAAAATTCTTTGCCGTTTTTTTTTTATGCACTTTCAACCACATTCGCTCGGGACATGTCGCTCGGGACATTTTTTCCGACTGTTTTGTAAAGCGGATTTCTTTACCTCTATCTCTCAATTGCTGGATGTTTTGTTTTTAACTTAATAGTTTAGCATGTGAATGAAGCATTCAGTACAGAAAAATGTCACATATTAGCATTCCTATAGGATAAATTTACAACAGAAGACAGGTCCAAAAAATAACAAAAAAATAGCCAAAAACGGATTTTTGCGTATATTGGTGGGGTTTGTCATAAAAATAATCAAACTATACTCCAAATTTGTAGTTAAGCTCAGTATCCAACTAATTAGAAACTAATATCGGGGCAAAATCATGTGGAAATATGTTTTATTCAAGTTTCAAGGTTTTTGGCTTGGTGGACTTTTTTTTGGAAGTGCCCATATAGTTTTAATTAAATAATAGAATCGTCAACTTTTGACCTAATCACTTTTGGGAGTTCGTTGAGTAACTTTGTTTTCACATGACTCAGTGTTATTTATTATTTTCTTAAATTAAAGGAGGATTTTGATGTGTCAATTCTTAAGTCTTCTTATCTCAGGCGAACTTTTCCTATATAAGCGACACATTCGAACCCAAGTTTAGTTAAGTTTAGCTCAGAACTTGAGAGAATACACAATGAATTTTGGCTGGTTGTCGCTTTGTGTGTCCTTGTGGCTCCTGAAGTCATTATCCTTGGCGGCCGCAGATTCACTGGATCCACAGTGCAATGATCAGTGTGTGGACCTCTTGTCGCCCTTGATGGATCATCTCCAACAGCTTCGGGAATTATCCGATACGAATGGCGAACTAAAGGACATGGTGAATACCAGGGAACTGGCCAACAAGGACCTGAAAAGCCAGCTAACTATTGCTGAACGAGATTTGGGATCCCAGGAAAGAGTATTAACTGCCCAAACTGATGAAATCAAGTATCAGGCTCAAGTGATCGCCTTTAAAGATGATAAAATACAAACTTTGACTAAAGATTTCAATGAAGTGAAGGATAAATTGGAAATCGTAAACCGTCACTTGAAAAGCCAAGATGCCACAATCAGTGATCTGACCAAACAGTTGAACAATCAAAATGAACAGTTGAAGGACCAAAATAAACTAATCAACCAGGTGAATAGTTTGACGCAAAGGGAGAAAAGCTTGGAAGGCAGGTTGGCAAGTGCCATGTCCACCAACGACCTCAAAGAGAAGGCTCTCGAGAGGAAGGATGAGCAGATTAAGAAGCAAAATCAACAGATTTCGATCAAGGAAAACCAAATCAGCGGATTGGACAGGCAAGTAAAGTCTATTGACGAGAAGCTCGATGAGGTAACCGATGAACTGCTGAAGGCGAATGGAACGGACAGGTGTCCCACTAACAAACCAAGTGGCATTTACAAGATCAAGCCAAGTGGTCTGAAGCACTTTGCAGTTCCCTGCAACACAACCGGTTGGATGACGATCCAGAAGCGTTTCAACGGTTCCGTGGATTTCAATAGATCCTGGCAGGAATATAGGAATGGGTTCGGTGATATCAATGGCGAGTTCTTCCTGGGACTGGAGAAAGTCCACCAGATGACCTCGGCTGTGCCGCACGAGCTTTACATTCGACTAGGCACAGTCTACGGAGCCACCAGCTTTATTCACTACGACAACTTCCAGATCGGAAGCGAATCCGAATCGTATATGCTGAAATCGCTGGGTGTTCACTATGGCCCAGCTGGGGATTCCCTGAAGTACCATTTGCACGACAAGTTCAGCACCTACGATCGCGATAACGATCTGGCCAGGGGCAACTGCGCTGTGGACCACGCAGGTGGATGGTGGTACAAGGCCTGTTGCATTAGGTATGTTGCTTTAAAATATCTATTAATATATTTATTCTAAGACCTATTAATTTCAGCACCCTGAATGGCAAATTCTACAGCAAGGGCGTCAAGGGCAACGGTCCGCACGGAATCCAATGGGCCTCTTGGCAAAACTACGACTACGATCTGTCGCTTACTCTTTCAGAAATGATGATTAGGCCTAAAAGTGCCAAAAACTAATTGAATATAATATTTTATTTTTTTTTATTTAATATTTATACCGTAATCTTATTGAAAAATATTTATATTTCACTACTTTATTTATTATATATTTATGTACCATCACTTTTTAAATATGAATAATTTTTTTTTTTTATTTTCTATATCATGAAAAAAAATAGCTTATTGTCTTATTAACAAAAGTTGTTTTTTATATCTATAAAAATGGTTTAACCAAAGATCAAAACCATTTTTATATAAAATAAATATCCTGTAGAAGCTGAGCTATACATATAAAAAGATTTTTTTCAGTGTTAGCTAATGCACCATCCAAAATCTAGCCATTACATCCTCCCAAGTATCTACCCATGTAAAGGGTAAGAACATTCAAATATAGAGGGCCTTTGTGCGGACAGTTTTAAAAGTAGATGGCGCCAGTATACCTAAAAAAATTCTATATTTTTAATAACTAATAAAATAAATATATTTAATTAACATTGGGAACTCTTTCAGCTTTTTTTTATTTAAAGAAATAACTTAACTTGAAATATAGATTAAAACCCCGTCTTTTAAAGCCACAACAAAATAAAGATATGTTAAATATCGACTTAATAAAGCAAAGTGAATTATACAAATCATATATTTAAAACGATCTTCTCCGCAGGGAGCCAAAGAAAATGGATTTCCGATGGGTAACAATTGGTAATCAGGTTCAAATGCGATCGGTCTGCTTTGTCAACGAGAGGGGAATAGGGAAACCATATCATTTTTCTTCCCAAAAGAGGGGCTATAAATTGTAACGGAAATCTGGTTAACTATTGGTGGGGAAGGGGCTCCCGATCCCGATTCCCAACCCGATTCCTCTCCCGATTCCGATCCCCTCGAAAAGGGGGGCGCCTCTGCGACTGCTGATGGACTGGCCAGTCGACTTTTGACGCCTCTTTTGTCTTCGCTCGGTTCTTTGTTGCCTTGTTGGCTGCGGCTTTTCATTTTTCCCAACCGTCTTGTGATTAATTACATTTTCCTTTGCCGCTTTTCTCTCGCTCTATGCCCGCTTTTCAATTCAATTTTTTGGCCTCATCGTCAGCTTCATCGTCAGCGTCACTTTTTGAAATTAAATTTTGATTAATTGCAGTCGGCACCTCTTTTTGTGTTTTTTTTTGGTGTTTTTTCGAGTGCGGCGCTTCGGGAAAAGTGGAAAAGTGTTTTGCAGCCTGCAACTCTGCAATCGGAATTCGCTGCACTTGCCCCAACCACCGAACCATTGGCCTGTCACCCCCCCGCTGGTTGTCGGGTAAGAAAAAGGAAAGAGGAAAACCTTCTCGAGACGAAATAATTTTCAGGTGTGAAAAATTTTGAAATGCGCTTTCAATTTGCGCTGCCGACGCGAGGAGATGAGAGGAGATGGAAACGGAAAAAGGCAGGCGATGGAAATGGAAATGGAGATGTAGAAGCGAGTGCGCCCCATTAACGCAGCAACCAAATAAAGTCATTACCAATGCGCAGGTTCCGAAAAGGTAAGGGGCTGGGGGAAGATTGCACTGGCAGAAAATGTGGTTAAATTTAAATGGGTTATGCATATTTATTGCAATTAATAGAAAGAAAGAAATTATAATAGAACCAGTAATATTTCTGAACTAAAAAATAAAACAAGACAGAATACCCCTTACTTAGCTTGAAGAAAGTGCGAAGGAGATAGAGATATGCAAGCAGCAAAGTCACAGAGCGACAAAGCGACACCTAGCGCCTAAAACTCTGCGAGTAACAGGTAAAAAAAAGTAGTATATAAAACATATAAAAAATTCTAAACCAAAAATATAAATCCGAGCATTATTTTCGGTAGCATTTTACAAAGATAATTAATATAAAAATAATCTCAAGTTATAAACTATATCCCCATTAGCTTTTTTCTCAGTGCAAAGGCACAGGTAAGCTGCCATCTAATGCGCCCCAAACAATTTGCAACGTAGGCCGTGGCTACACCTACCTGCTGCCAATGGGCAACATGCAATGTGCCGTCCAAAACCACCGCCTCCTGGTAACCCCACTCATAGAACCACCCCCCCCTCCTAACCCCTAGCCCTTCTCCTCTTTTATAGACTTGGCTCGTTTGCAGACACCAAGTATCCAAGTATCCAGGCATCCCAACATTCAAGTAACTTTTCGTGTCTTGTGGCTAGCTGCAAGTCCAACTGGAGGACCGAGATCAGATAACTCAATTATTCGCGGCGTAAACAAATGCTGCCTTTCAGGGTTTTTAGCCAACATCCCGTCCATCTGAGCCACCCAGCACCACCCCCCTTTACCTCACCCCCTTCGAAGGGCAATGGAATGAAGTCGAATGGAGGGATGGGTTATTATCCCAGGCATAAATGGATTGTAAACGTGATTTTTATAGTCATTTAGCATAATAATGCATTTTATGGTTTTGGCCAGTCGGAGCACTCGCTCTATCTCGCTCTGTCCCCTCTACCCGTCTCACTCTCTTCCTGCCAGTTTTCTTTTTGCTTTTCCGCCTCCTTCGTCTGCGCTTTACTTTTCGCGGTTTTCGCGTAAATTAAACCTCACTTGGTGGCTTTTCTTGCTGATTAGTGTTCAGATTTCAACTGTGCCAAAGTGGCTGAAAAAAATATGGCCGTGCTATTTTTAATAAATTTTAGTTTGTATTTCTTTGCTTTACAGAAAAATTCATCATTTAAAGAAAAATAAAACATACAAAAAAATTTTCTATAATTCAAAAAAATATTTTAGACCACAAGTTAAGTTTTAAAGATTAATAGTAGGTATCTTTTAATGACTTAAATTAAAGAATACCAAGAACCAAAAATAATACCAAAACATTCTGCAAAACTTTTCCTTTAAATTAACGGTATGGAACCTCCTTCCACTGATCACAAGACTTCACCGCCGCATAAACGCAAATCTCTCAATCCAGTTGAACAGTCTTCAACTTCCCCATCGACTCTTTTAACCAATTTGCGCCCCGTTCACGTTTGTTATTCACGCTTTTCAATTGAGAACACGCCGCCAGATGTGCCTCCTGCCCCCCTTGGCCCCCCCTTGCCATCCTGTCAGTCCCTCGCCGCCCCTGGCAGCCCCCCTTTTCAAGGGGGGGGATCACGGCTGGGGCCTCGTTTTATTGTTTGTCTTCTTTATTACAAGTTAAAGCGTAATTACTCAACAAATATGCGGCAATTTGCAAGCGAACAGCAAGTTGAGACTGAGCCACTAACTCCAAGATTTGGGGGAGGGGGAAGGGGGGTCTTGACCAGAAGAAGGGGCCCGAAGAACCCAAGGGAAGACTCCGCCTGAGTCCGGCTCCGTGAGCTGCAGAAATCAATCGACCAAATGTCCGACTGCAAATTTGTTTTTATTTATTTCCTACTCGGGCTGCAAAGTCGAAACCGAAGATGTGCACAGAGAAAAAGTTTAAATTAAGTTAAGTTTTTTTTAGACTCAAAAAAACATTACTCCTGAATTTTATAAACTACCCATTGACTTGGAGTCTAGGGAATTTTTCTACATTTAAAGGAACAAAAGTTCTTAATGTTGTAAATTAAAAAAAAAATATTTCCTAAAATGTGCAAATGTCGCCATAATAATATCTAATATTTCGTATAACTATTGATAACATTATTAAATTTTATTGTATAATACAAATATTTGTATTATATAATATTATATATTTAATCTAAAATACTCCTTAGTTTCCTAAAAGCCGTTATTAGTTGTTTTTATAATTCAATTTTCTTTTTAGGTTCTCAATCGATTTTCTCCCAGTGGAGCTTAAACTGCGGCAGAGACTGGCGGATGGATAGATGATTCCTTCGTGTGCTTGATGTTAGCCGACACCAGAAATGAAATGAAGTAATCCAATTTGCTCACCGGTTGTCCAACGCCAGTGGCCCAAGGTGCTTATTAGTGCCCCGGACTCTGAGCTCTGAGTTCTGAGCTCTGAATTCTGGACTCCAGACTACAGACTTGTCTTTGACTGACTGCTGCTGCCTGATTTGGATTCCGATTTAAGGATCCCCATAAAACGCTGTTAACTCCTGCATAAATCTCCATTTGATGGCGACCCCCTGATTCCGATTCAGATTCCTGTTCCAATTGCAATTCCAATCTGTTGCGGAGGGTGTTAAGCGCTCGTCCCAGTGTCCCCGGAATTATTATCGAAATACTTATCAAACAATAAAGTAAACTCTCGGGTGCATGCAGATTTATATATGATTTATATGGCACGGGTTTTGGGTTTGGGCTTGGGCCTATCTATCTTATAGCACCGATCAGCCAACCGCACGCGACCTTCATAAAAATCCGAAACAGGAGAGTCATTTTCAAATTATTTCCAGATTTTCCTCGAGGGGTGGCACAAAAGCACAAAGGACTGTCGTCTCCGGGTGTCGTTTGACTGTCAGAAATGTCGAATGTTTATCAAAACAAGTAAATCGCATAAAAATAGAGCCATTGTCAAGGGTTCGTGGTTCGGAGCTCGGGGTTTTGGGACCCCCGGGGTCGTGCGCCCCTGTTTGAAGGGAGGGTTCTTATTTCTGTCCAAGTCCATGTCCTCAACTGATGCTGGTCGCCCGATTAGCCGCATATAAATCGTACTTAAGCCATTATAAATTGTTATCCTATCATCCAATTGGACACAACTAACAATTTATTCGGCATTCTGGTATCTCTCAACCGGGAAACAAAAAAAAAAGTCAAGAAGTTTGTGGGGAATTAGGTCTTTTCGTTAGGTTATTAAATTATTATATTTATTTTTACAACCAGGAATTAAGAATAATAAAACTTGTATTTTGAAAGGTTATCCGTTTTGTGTAATATGATATGAAGTATTATTCTGATATTTTGGAATACCTAAAAATAATACCCAACTGTAAATAAATAAATATTATAATAATAAATGCTGGATGACTTTAGAATATCGAATATTTTCTTAAAAAGATCAATACTTTTACCCCCGTTACCTTTACAACCCCAATGATATATCTCTCTGATTTTCGCCGGCATTT